AGTTTTTTTTTGTAATTTCAGATTCAGAAAAAATGTTTTATTTTTGTACCCTGGTGGGTTAGATAAAAAAATTTGATTGAAATAGCGAGCTGTGGATTGTACCAACTGATTTCAAAAAGAAAATTTAAAAAAAAATTATTTTTTTGGTCTGGGCAAGGTTCGTACGGAGGTACCCGTAGCTCTCTTTTCGTTTTTTTTCAATGCATATTTTTATTTTTAGATTGCTCTAGCTTCAAAAGTAATAATCGCTGATCCAAAATTTTAGTTAAAGATGAAACCTAAGACTAACAGCTTATGATTTAAAAAAAAATTTCGAAAATCTTTAAATTTTTTTCATACTTTATGAACGAATGAAAATGAGACATGAAAAATCGAAAAATTGAAAAATCCGGGAAATCGATTTTCGACTTATGCTCAAATAATTGGTTGTAACAAAAAAAGTATGAGGCCTAGAAAGAAAAATTTCACATCATGAAATATCTGAAATATAGAGCTTTCGAATGACCCCTTGATCGTAAAAATTGAACGAAAATTGTTTCTTCAGTTACTAATACCCCTACTGCACAGTTTTTTTGAGACACCCTGTATATAGGATGGTTTAATCTAAACATTTATAAGATGAAAAAAATGTAAATATCCCTGCTATAACCGGAAAACCTAAAATACGTAGGACATTCGTATATAAACGTATTGGTATGAAACTTACGAAAATAGGCAATTTTTAGGTTTTCATCAAACTATCAAACTATAAAATATACAAGTTTTTCAGTAAAGAAAAACTGAAAATATATGTAAAAATGCGTAGAATAAAAACCTAAAAACTAGGAAAAATTACATGGTATGAAATTTACGATTTAGGTTTTCATCAAACTTCTAAACTCCACAAAAAATACAACTTTTTAAGTAAAGAAAAAGACGAAAAAATACATAAAATAAAAACCTAAAAGCTCAGAAAAATTACGTGTAATATGTATATGTAATTATTTGTAAAACTATGTTTCTGAAAAACTAAGCATTTAAGAAAAAACCGCTTGGTATAATAAATATACGTAAAAACGCGTATATATGCGTAAAAACACAAAACGTATAACGTAAGTTCTTTACTAAAAAGTTGAGCATACACATTTTTACGAAAATATACCTAATAATACGTACACCTATATTGAGGCGTTAGTAATTTTAGGCTTTCGGGTTAGTAAACATACTTCTATTTAAACATATGGGTGAAATGCCTTGATACTGCAGTTTTTCCTTGTTTTTGGTAAGTCTTTTTTTAAAAGATTTTTTACATAACATTTCTTTCTGCATGCTATAATGATGTGCAGAAAGCAGAGATAGTATACATATAATGAATGTTGTAATTTTAGATAATAATGACTTATTGTTAAAAAAATAGTCTTTTTCTAGATGTATGCTAAAGTTATATTTTATTATACTGTGTACTCGTATATCCTCGTATATCAACCAAATATAGATTTCAATTTGAAAATAATTAACTAAAACTGTTGGGTGATAAACAGTTATAGCTCTGATGCCACTCAGTTATGATAATATGACACCATCGCCATATCATATTCATATTCCATCAGTGTTTAGGTAGATAACTATATTTGATCAATAATACAACGTATCGCGACGATAATATCTCTTTAGTTTTATAAATTGTGCAACCATATCTCAAGAAACCTATAAACGTTGAAAATATCGAACCAGGGCGCAGCCAGGAATAGAAAATGCATTTATATTGCAGTTTCTAGACTTAGAAACAGTCCACAGGGTTTTATTTAAACATTTATCCTTCATTGTTCTATTTTTTTTCGGATGGCTAAAGATATCTTTATTTTTAAAGATATTTTAATTTTCTTGTTTCGAATTTCTANTCTGAAAAGAAACCCTGTCTGTCTAGACTGCTCGGACAGCTGCAAGCCCACGGTTGGTACTTTTACGCCTTACGCTGTAGCGGTTGGCAGTATTTCTGTCTGCAAATAACATTGAGAGAATCAAAACAATATCTTGAGGTTAAAATACGTGAATTGTGGAATTATATTTAACAGGAAAATGAAGTGAAATAAAAAATTGTTAGCAATGTGGAGAAAAGTTTTCAGTGCAATATTTATAGTATTTTACATAAATACTAGTTTAGGTTTGTATATAGTTTACACTATACTTATATTATTATTAATAAATATATTTTTAGTTTAGGTTAGTTTTTAGCAATACTACATTTTCATTTAGAATATAATATTCAAAATATTGAAAAATATAGCCTAGGTTAAAAGGTATCACTTAATATATATTTACATTATTCTATATTGATTATAAGTTTAAATTAGTATTATAACAAAATATACAAAATTATACAATATTCCGTATCAATATATAGGGTCTGTCCTAGAGAACGATTTTTGGACCCGCCCTCACGCCCCCCCCCTTCCTATCAATTTTGTACATGACCACTAATTTTAAGCAAAATTATTAACATTTATTTTTTATTATTTTAGAGTTAGGTTAGGTTAAAACAATGTCTGGGCNTATTATTATATATGTGGTTTAGGATAGTATTTAGCAAAATATATATATTTTAAATATTCTTTATTATTATATATGTGGTTTAGGATAGTATTTAGCAAAATAAATATTTTCAATATTCTATATTATTATATATGTGGTTTAGGATAGTATATAACCAAATATATATGTTTTAAATATTCTATATTATTATATATGTGGTTTTGGTTAGTATTTAGCAAAATATATATATTTTCAATATTCTATATTATTATATATGTGGTTTAAGTTAGTGTATAGCAAAATATATATATTTTAAATATTCTTTATTATTATATATTTGGTTTAGGTTAGTATTTAGCAAAATATATATATTTTCAATATTCTATATTATTATGTATGTGGTTTTGGTTAGTATTTAGCAAAATATATATATTTTAAATATTCTATATTATTATATATGTAGTTTAGGCTAGTATTTAGCAAAATATATATATATTTTCAATATTCTATATTATTATATATAGGGTTTAGTATAGTATTTAACAAAATATAAATATATACAATATTTCAGGCAAAGCTGTTTTCCCAAGCTTGATAATATATAAAATGTGATTAATTCCAGGGCTGCGATGTTTGTGTGGTGTGTCTGAGACCCCTATTACGGATCCTCTGGCTACTCCAACCGTAATAAAGGATTCATGCGAGGTAAACTGCCCAACCCACGTGGATTTAACGGTTTTGTCAATATTCCAGAAAGCTGTGACTTTCAATCACAATTTGACCCATTAAACATAATTTGTAAGCCTTGTTCCTTTTATACTTTTTTGTCGGCATATGCATTTTGAATAAAAATGTGTGGAATAAACAAAGTAAAAGATTGTTGAATTATAGACCAAAACACGTTTGGTTTTAAATAGAAGAAACCGAATGCTGCTCACTCTGGTTAGTCCGGGGTGAACCTTACCAAGGGATTTTTTTTTCCAAAACTCTGAGAAATCTAAATTTTAAAAGGGTTATTAACAAAATTTCGAGTGACCCTTTATGTAAAAATTCCTAAATCATAACTGTAAGCTGTAATCCTTTGCCTAAGCCAAAACTATGGAGATCCTTGTTAATCTTCCAATTGAGTTCTTTGTGAAAGTGCATGCAGCTCTTATATAAAATAAGGTTTGCTTGAAATTACGTTGACAGTCTCTTATATTAAAATGCAGTAAAGTAAGTTTTATTCTTTGTGGAAAAGAAAGTCTTAGTAAATAATACTTTGATTGATTGATTTACAATGTTTGTCGGAAAAAGTAATCGTTTGATTAATTGATTTGCTGGTAAATTTAGTTTTAAAATCAGTTGGGTTTTTATATGATTTTTGATTATATGATTGATTGATTGATTTATTATATAATTAATTGATTATATGATTTATTGATTGCACGCTTGATTGACTGTATGCTTGATTGATTTTTTGATTGATTATATGGTTAATTTTTATTGTTAGAATGCCTACTAAATTGATTTAATGAATTTTAATTAATCGATTGACTCTTTGCTTTATTGATCGATGAATTGCTTCCTAGGTTGATTTTTAATCATTTAAAAAAATGATTGATTTGTTTTTTTTTCTAGGAGCCTAGCCTTGAGGAGGGAGGGTGCCTGGAGCATGGAGCCTGCTATGGAGTCTGCTCTACGGATGGTTACTGCTTCAAATCTATCTCAAGGAAGGATAATTTTATACGGAGAACTTACAGGTATGTGGTCCAACGGTACAGGGGTATATACTTGAAAAAGCACCCCCCCACCCCACCCCACCCTACCTCTTGAAAAATAATGTTTTCCTCAGTTTATTATAAATGTTGCGTCAAAAAACATTTTTGATTCAGAGAAAATAAATTATTTTGAAGGAAAATGAATTTTGGTTTAAAGTGTTAAGAATCACTGGGGAAATAATGAGCCTGCTGGTGTCACACTTTTCCTCCCCCCCCCCTAAAAAAAAATTTTTTATCTGGGGCCTCGAGGGGGTGGGAGGCAGAATTGTTCAAAATATATACCCCTTCAAAAGTATTTTGTCCATAGTCCAATATGTTAATTATTCAATTAAAGGGAATATTATTAAAATCTGTGATGTTAAAATACTTTATGGATAGCCAACCGATTTGCCGGTTTATGGATAGCCGACCGATTTGCCGGTTTATGGATAGCCGACCGATTTGCCGGTTTTAAGACAATTGATTTTTATGGGAAAATACCCAAATTATTTAAACTTTTATGATTGTATTGTCAAACTATATTTGTTTGACAACATATTGGCTTATTTTTTGTTGTTATCTTTATGTTTTTTTAAAGCCGGCAAATTATATGTTTAAAAAAAAAGCTTGGAAAGGCATTGAAGTAATAAAGGGCATTTTTGTCCTTTTAGCAGCTTTATAAGAACTTATGTATTTGTTGCTTTGTTTTTGAAATAATGCAATTAGAAAAATGATTATATTTTAATGATTAAGGGAGAAAAAAATAAAGAATTTTTATGTTTGTTTGATGATCCCATTTCATAGGGTTTAAAAGGTTGGAATTTTTGCTTCAGTAACAATAGAAAAATTAGCTTAATTAAACATTTTTCAAGCTCGAAAAACGACATTATCATCCTGATTGTTGATCAAATTAAGGTTTTAATAAAGGGACATTAATAATTAAATTGATTGTCTCTTTGATAAGAATTTTTAAAGTGTATATTTTATTAAAAAAAAGATTCTAGAGAACTTTAATGATGTTGCTTTTCATAATTTTAGAGCTTTACTTTTTTCTTTTTTATTCAAATTACAAAACTAACAGAATTAATGTAACATCAAACACACATTTAATCTCGTAGAATGCGGGTTTAAGGGTTTAAAAAAATGTCAAGTCCTGAGCCCGTGATTTAAAAACTTCGGCTCGAGTCGTGATTCCTGAAACCCGACTTTAAGAACCAATCTTCGACCCAAGCTCGACTTAAGGAGTTAGGCCCTATGAAAATAAAACCGACCTTGGTTGGTTTTAGCGGAGAATAAGGCTCAATGTTGAGTCTTTTTCTCATCAAAACCCGGAATACACCAATTCCTGCCATGAAAATCCGCCAAATACAATATTAAACCCGCGTTTGAACTCAACTCTGTAGAAAAAAAGATGCAGCTTGAAAGTCGTAAAGGCCCAACGACAGTTTAGACCCGAGCCGTATTTTCCCGAATTTTTAAATCGCGGGCTCTGATGCTTTATCCAAAATTACAAAACTTTCTGAATGAAACATGGATCTCGTATAATGGCTTTAAGGGGTGTAAACGGTATATTTAGATGTTTGGATCAGCATATGCTGACCCCCGAGCATAGACCTCTCTACTGCTACGCCCGTGCAGATATAACTGACAGGGACCAGCTCACATCCTAACTCTTGCCGTACAGTGGGACTTATAAAACTGTGGAATACTAAAACGACAATTATGTGTACAGTGTTTTTGATGTTGTTATAAAGCAAAAAATTTGCCAGTAGCATGCAAATCAGATTTTCAGTGAAATGGGTCATTGTATGACGAGGGGGGAAGGCAAGCTGCACCCGTGTAGCCTCCATTCTGCCTTTTACTCACAAACATAGAGTTGCGGCAACGCACTCACCCGTTGCACCTCATTACCGCACCCTATATCCTCCGGTAAAATGTCTTTACTTTTAAATGCTTATTATAGAGAAATGCAGCGTTAATTTAAGATTTTAAGGACGTCAAGGCATCTATTATAACCTAAACATATTATTTATAGTTTTATATGGTAATATGAGTAAAGTAAGTGTAATTGTTTTGTTAAAAACAGTGATTAATTGTGATTTCATTCTAAAATGTAATATTTTGTACATGTTTGCATATGTTTATCTTTTCTAAAAATGTTTTGAAGGTAAGGAGAAATTCAATCTTTACCAAATTATCTAAAATCAGATAGGTAGACAGATAGATAGACAGATTTTGATAATTTTAAACCAAATTGCACGCAAAACTGTGTTATTTCTTGTAAAAATTGAATTTCTCTCTTACTTCAAAAACATTTTTAGAGAAGATTAACATCAGTAGGCATGTACAAAATATTATATTTTAGGAGAAAATTGCAAGACATGTTGTCGTAGGATATAGCGATGCGGATAGTAAGCGCTACGGGGTGAGCGCGTTGCCGCAACTCTATGTTTGTGTGTAAATTGCTTGAAAGAGGCTATACGGGGTGCGGCTTGCCTTCCCCCCTCGTATGATAGTGTATACGGTAGACACTCTTAATTGCAGTTTTATGTTCATTGGACTATTTAAAATGAGTCTAACCGTCGTCTTCATATTCCCCAGTTTTACGAGCCCTACTTTATATTGGTCAAATGTTTTGTTTTACACATTTGAAATTTAGAATTTGTCCTAATTTGTCCTGTCACCTGTATTCCTGTCTACATATGTATTCCTGTATACTTGTATTCCCGTCTAATTGTATTCATGTCTACTTGTATTCCTGTCTACCTGTATTCCTATCTACTTGTATTCTTATCAACCTTGTATTCGTGTCTACTTGTATTCCTGCCTACTTCTATTACTGTCTACCTGTATTCCTGTCTACCTGTATTCTTTTCTACTTGTGTTCCTGTCTACTTGTATCCCTGTCTACCTGTTTCCTTTTTACTTGTATTCCTGTCTATTTGTATTCCTGTCTACTTGTATCCCTGTCTACCTGTATTCTTTTCTACTTGCATTCCTGTCTATTTGTATTCCTGTCTACTTGTATTCCTGTCCACCTGTAATCGTTTGTACTTTGATTCGTGTCTACCTACCTGTATTTCAGTCTACTTGTATTCTTGTCTACTTGTATTCCTGTCCACGTGTATTTCTGTCTACTTGTATTCCTGTCTACATGTATTTTTGTCTACTTGTATTCCTGTCTACCGGTATTCCTGTCTACCGGTTTTCCTGTCTACCGGTATTCCTGTCTACCGGTATTCCTGTCTACCTGTATTCGTGTCTACTTTTATTCTTGTCTACCTATTTTCCTGTCTACCGGTATTCCTGTCTACTTGTATTCTTGTCTACCTGTATTCCTGTCTACCTGTATTCTGTCTACTTGTATCCCTGTCCACCTGTAATCGTTTCTACTTTTATTCCTGTCTACCTACCTGTATTCCTGTCTTTGGTATTCCTGTCTAGTTGTATTCCTGTCTCCTTGTATTCCTGTCTAGTTGTTTTCCTGTCTAGTTGTATTCCTGTCTACATGTATTCCTGTCTAGTTGTATTCCTGTCTACTTGTTGATTTATGCGATGCAACGTTTTTCTTACCTTTTTTTTCTACCCCTGTACTTCAAATTATTTGTTTTTCTAAAGGGTTGACAGTGCAACAATTTTATTGATTATTATTGATTTAATGTTCTTCGTGAATGTAAAGTCAGGAATTGAATTTTCCAAGGCCATGATTTGATAAAAAAGTAAAAAATTACATAAAATCATAATATTTTTTAAAACAAAACTGAACTTAAGTTAGAATTAGATTTTTACATTTCTCTTACATTGCTCTTACTTTAAAAAGTATTACAGTACTGAAATGCCCCTACTAGGCCGTTACCTTAATTATATACATTAACAATTCTAACCAACACACTATTCTCATCCCCCCCCCTTGAAATCTCTTGTTACGTCTGGGTTTTGTTGTTTATTGTCCTAAGTGATGAGCTTCCTTGGTCGGAGTAGGTATAGAGTAGGTTGCTGTAAAACCGGAGAACTCTGTAATTCAAATATATCTTTAGTCCTGGATCCTTGGACTCCAGGTAGGCAGTACAGTACACTGCAGTACAGTACATTATAATCTGTAAATCTTGCATGTTTTAAAGCATTATTTTATCTGTCTTGCATGTTTTTTAGATTTATACATTATTTATACATTTTTGATTTATTTAAAAAAAACAGATTTTATCTGTCTTAAAATGTTTTGGAAAAATAATGAATTTGAAATTTAAAAATGAAATAATGCTTGTTTGATTTAGTTTTTAAAATTGATTTAAACATGGCTTTTGGATTTAATTTAAAATTTTCAAAATTAAAACTGAGAGGATCAGGAAGGATAATCTAGCTCCATCATAGTTAATATTTTTCTTGTGAACTATTTAAAGCCATTTTTAGATGAACATATATATATATAGTAATGCACTTTGTATAAGGTTTAGCATATATTTTTTGACGTAGGGGTTTTATTTACAATGAGAAAGAAATTGAGTTTTTTGCCAAATGATTTTACATTTGTATAAAAAATGTCAAATTTTCAATAATTTTGATGATTTAGATAGATACAGTTTATTTAATAAATCTATTTACATAGTTGCATGCAACCTTGGTTTCCGAATTTCTGGATGTGCCGAGATCACAAAATGGCGTCAACCATGTAAATCAGGACCCAGTCGGCCATTTTGAATATCAGATATTATTATTGTATTAAGTCTTCAAGAATTACAACACACAGCTGTCGTCGTATATATGAATAAAATGAAGACGACTTTCTATCTAAATTTTGATTTCTACTAAGCTTTCAAAAAGCAGAGACACATAAACATGTAAACAAACAGATGCTGTTAATTAACAGCTGCTCTTTGTTTTCATGTAATCTTGTCATTTAAAAAATTTATAAAATTTATTGATAAAAAGTCGTCCTCATTGTTTCGATATAATCGCCAACCACTATAATATATAAATATATATAAATACACACCATTTTGCACCTGCACACTATTTTTTGCATGCCTTTTAGTTTTTAATGTGTGCATTAATTCAATCTAGCTTTATGTATATACTTACAAGACTTTTGTTTGATTTTTAATCAACATCTTAATATTCTTTCAAACTAACCTATATTCACTAATATTAAGATATAAAGATGTGTACGTACATATTACACTGTCTATCGGTGGAGAACCATAAATACACGAAATACGACTGAATAGAATACCGTACAGTCGGCAGTAGTCTCGAACGTTTTGTGGTTCCCTGAGCTGAAAACTTTAGAATGTGATATCCTTAATCCTGATCTGTTAATTAATCTGGAGATTAAATTCATGAGGAGAACAAGCAATATTTAATCTGGAGATTAAGAAAAAGAGTGGATCAAGCATTAATCCTGATATCCACCATTCTAAAGTTCCCAGATCTGAATGTATACATCACTATCAACATTTGATTGGTTGTAAATAAATAAATTTCTCAGATCTTTTACCTTCTGCATGAGCCCTATACTTGCTGCTAAATACTAAAATACCATGATATTTTGTTTTCTCTGACATAGAAGAAAATCCCCGAGGCAAGTATTAATCTGAAACATCTTTAAATACAAAGAACAATTTAGACCTAAAGATATTGAAGAATTTCTCTAAAGAAGTCTTGCAATAGTTAAGATAACCCACCTTATACCTTAAAATAGAAAATACGTATATAATATAAAAAAACATTAAAAAAAAATTTAGAAATCCTGATAATGATTGGAGAAGTGTTAGATTGACTTGAGATAAGATAACCCCATTTAGTCCACTCAATACCTCTAGAGAAGAGATTAAAACTACTAGAGCAACTCCCAGGAATGAACCTAGAGTAAGACTATAAAGAGTTTTTCTAATCTATATACATTTTTGTAATCTGATAGTGTTTGAAATTTGGTATTTCAAACTAAGACTACTTAAACTAACAGAATTTATAATTTGAAATATCAAAATCAAAGTAATTGAGTTTTTGTATTAAACTCAATTCCTTTGAATTCTAAAATTACTGAGCATGACTGACCGGAAACTGGTGAAGGTACACTTGCTGCTCTGGACCTGACAACTTTTGCACTGAGAGTGAGAACTCAACTCAGATCTCTGAAATTAGTTTCCATCAGACCAACAACTTCTTCAGTTCTTTTATACGGAATGGTAGATTGAAAAACATAACTTTTACATAGATGTTCTCAATAATAATATGTTTGCTTTTTTATCTTAACCAGCACCTTGCACATTGCACATTTAGTTTTATTCATTTTTAACTAATTATCAGATTTTAAAGTTGTTGAGGCTTAACAGAGATTATTTTTAGAAAGTCCAGATAGAAGTACTCTTCTTCTCATCCTGGCTATTGCTGTTCCTATCATCACTCTTGCTCTCATCATCCTCATCTCCATACTCATATACAGACAGTGTCATCCCAGGTATCCTCATCCCTATACTCATATATACACAGTGTTATCCGAGGTATACTCATCCCTTTACTCTTATAGAGACAGTGTTATTCCAGGTATCCTCATCCCTATACTCATATATAGAAAGTGTTATCCGAGGTATACTCATCCCTATACTCATATAGAGACAGTGTCATCCCAGGTACACTCAGTCTTATACCCATACTCATATATAGGCAGTATCATCCTAGGTATACTCATCCTCTTCCCTATGCAATTTCTATTGGTTCAGAAAAGACAGCAATGATGACCAGGAAAAATTTAATAAAAATTCTACAGTAAACTAATTAACTGTTAAGAAACAGGTAGAGAAAATAAAAATTAACTCTTATCATCGAAATTAAGTAATCTTATTCAGTTATTGGTTCCTGTATTTAAAAAAACTGATTCTCAAAATCATCCCTCCAAAATGGACAATCTGTGAAGATTTTAAAGATTGAATTTGCAATCTTGCTAAATAAATATGCACCGTACAACGTCTGGAAGGTCTCAAAGGAATCCTAAACAATTTCCCTACAATACTGCATTCTAGCCAGACACTCCCTTTGTTCAGGTTTGGTTATCAGATGGTGTCTAAACCAGTTCAAAACACTGTTGTGATTGATCTGAGTTCTAACCAGCAGTTGACCGGCAGCACGTGTGTAGATGAAAGTGAGAGTATATTGAAGTGTATGCTGGAGAGTACATGCTCAGGTAGTGTTTCTAATAATTTTGGTTCGCTTTTTAAAAACTTTTGATAAAACTTCCAACATTTTAAATCTGTATTTTGTTGTTTCTAGAAAATTTTGGCACAGTGGACGAAAGGCAAATGTTTAAAAAAACGATTTTGAAAACATTTGCTTATCTTTGACTATGGCAAATTTTGACCCTGAAATAAAATATAATAAAAAACGAATCAGAAACGAACTAACTTAATGAAAGTCCAATGCTAAGGGTCCGGAGCAGGGTTACCCATCCTGGTTCAGAGGAGTATTGCAAGACAGGTACAATATATTCCAATTTAAAAATTAGAATTGAGATGTTTTCATTTTGTATTTGTGACTTGGAAATCTATAGAACTCATAGCATGTAAAGATTATAAACCGCAAATCCTCAAATTATAAAATTTTTGTAACTGTTCTGATTTTTTTCTAGAAAGGAATTGAGTCTTTACCACAAACTCTGATTTTCCAATCCCTATATCTTTGCAACCCAATGTCAAAAACCTTAGATATTTCAAGCAATCAATTTTATGAGATCAATTAATCTAAGTTTGAAATATCAATGGTTTACACGATCAGGTTGCAAAAATATAAGGATTAGAAAATTTGTTTATTTTTGGCAAGGACTTAAAACCTTTAGTGCTTATACTTTTTTGTGTCTTGTTTTGGCTGTAGAGTTGTAGGAGATTCGACCAAAGTCATGAACCATTTAACAATTCTTTCCGGCCATTAACAAGCATGGAAAGTATAAATATGAGGCTGTTATCTAAAACCTCTTATTCTTCAAATAGGAGCAATGGTATAGGGTTTGAATATAGCAGTAAATGATTTTTTTTAATAAAAGGATTAAATTGATTAACCCGTATTAAGGTATCCCTGTTGGAGTGTGTGGGTAAGGGTAGGTATGGAGAGGTTTGGAAAGGATACTGGAGAGGAGAAAGTGTGGCAGTAAAGATATTCTCAAGCCGAGATGAGAAATCATGGTTTAGAGAATCAGAGATATATCAAACTGTTATGCTAAGGTAAGTTTTGTAAGAGAAAGAAAAATTTATTCCATCGTTTGGAATTTTTTTGTTTATTTTAAACTTATCAGAGGCCCCTCAAGAATCTGTTTTCTCTGGATAACATTTTTTGGTTTTATTACATTTATTACATTGCGCTCGAATTCTGAACGAAAAATCGGCTTTTTCTCCGGCCACAGTTGTCTTTGAAAAGTAAGACTAATACAAATCAACAGCGAATAGGCTGCACTGTTTAGTTTACCCTGAAATTACCGAAATAAGTGAACGGTCCCTATAAAAATAAAAAAGCTTGCATTTTTTTAGTAAACCTTAACAGAAGCTCAGCTCCAGGTTGTTCAGAAAAGCAATTATTCAAAGACACCTTGCAGCTCTATATTATTTTGAGGGGAAAATATATTTAACTTCGTTATAATAAAATCAACTTGAGATCTAAAAAAATTGCAAAAGATCGACTTTGATCGCAGTTTGTATAGTACATCAACGTAGTTTGTAAATTCCCAAACAGTTTGAAAAAATAAAAACAAATTTTTAAGATTATGATAAAAAAATGTCATAATGTTTACTTTAGACACGAGAATATCCTGGGATTTATTGCGTCAGATAACAAAGACGAGGGCGTAGTGACGCAGCTCTGGCTTGTAACAGACTACTATGAGAACGGATCACTCTTTGATTATCTCTCCAGGTAGCAACAAGTTAATACTTGTGTTTGATTCTGAATTGACATTGACCTTGACCTTGACCTTAATTGTGAACTTGCCCTAGATCTTGACCTTGCCCTAGACCTTGACCTTGACCTAGATCTTGACCTTGATCTTGATCTTGATCTTGATCTTGATCTTGATCTTGATCTTGATCTTGATCTTGATCTTGATCTTTCTTGACCTTGACCTTCTTGACCTTGACCTTGACCTTGACCTTGACCTTGATCTTGATCTTGATCTTGATCTTGATCTTGATCTTGATCTTGATCTTGATCTTGACCTTGACCTTGACCTTGACCTTGACCTTGACCTTGACATTGACCTTGACCTTGACCTAGATCTTGACCTAGATCTTGACCTTACCCTAGATCTTGACTTTGATCCTTCCTTGACCTTGACCTAGATCTTGACACTGACCATTGCATTATAAGATGTTTGGTGAGTGCTCCACAGATGATAAAGATGGCAATGTCTATTGCTACTGGATTGTCCCATCTTCACATGGATATCATTGGTACACAGGTAAACAGAACAATTTATTTATTTAGACCTTATAAACCTACCATGTTGGAATCTTTTTAACAAGCTCACATTAACTTTTGGACATTTTTACTCCAAGTAAAAAAGTAAAACTATCAGAAAAAGAGCTAGAACAGGTTCGATTTTCCATTTCTCATTTTTCTTCACGGAGCATGAAAAAAACTGAGAATTTTCCAACATTTTTATTTATTCTTTAACTTTGGATGTTTAGGGAAAACCAGCCATTGCACACAGAGATCTAAAATCAAGAAATATTCTTGTAAAACGAGATCTTACATGCGCCATTGCGGACCTGGGACTCTGCGTCAAGTAAGTACCTATTTTTAAAAAGATCTTTTCTCAAAGTTTTTCTAATGATCTTATTTGTATGCGACAATATTTTAATGGATTTTCTTAAAACTAAAAAAATTTGCGGATTTTCCTGTTTTTATTGGAGGATTAAAGAAAACTACAGGTCAAATTTCAAGTCCGACTTACCTTCTCTGGGGTCATGGCCGAGATCCTACAAAAAATTGGGCTCGATCGGTTCAAGCCGTACGTTTACCGGAGACCAATACACACAGGAACACTCTTGATCGAATTGCCTCAAATTTTGATTGGGGAACTCAGTAGAACCATTGAAATATTTTTAGTTTTGTTTATAAATTCTAAGAGTTTAATATAAGATCTCAATGTTTAGGCACAATTCTATAACTGATGAAGTTGATATACCAATCAATAACAAGGTAAAAAAACATTTCCATTCTAACTCTTATCCATTTTGTATTTTTAATACCAGTTTCAATTTCTTTGCATTGCCTCCAATACTCCCCACCCCTAGGGCGGCCCTGTATAAATTGTTCAGAGGTGCACTTTTTCTTTTGAATAGATATATATGAAACTAAGAAAAATCCAAAATATTTTTATTTTTGACCATTTTTTCCGGTGCCGTCGGAAAAAACGTGATTTTTTGGCCATTTTTGAACTTTATTGATTTTATTTCTTAAAACTTTTATAAAAACCAAAAGTTTTTGACTGAGAATAATGTTTTATATCATTTTGGAAATCCCAGATAATGGTCTAAAAGATAAAACCAACTTATACTGAATATTTTGAAAAATCATAGTTTTATAAACAGTTTTAGCCCCAAAATCATCGATTTTATTGATGCGCACTTGCACCTCACTAACATACCCTGAGAACTGAACAAAACAAAAATTTTTTTTTTTCATTTTCTATATTTTATACTTATTCTAAAATGTCATTACTTTTTGAAATACCTTTAAAAATGGTCGATTAATGAATAGTTCAAAAAACTCCGTTTTTTTGAGTTTTTTGAAAATTGTAACTCTCTGATAGTTTAATTACGTGTTTGGACATTTTGAACTTGTTCTTTTAAAATGTTCATAAAATGCATAGTTTTTGGAATGTTGTTTAATATCATTTTGGAAACCCCAGCTACTACTTTATAAGACAATATTTAAAAATTTTTAAGAAAATTGTTTAAAACTATTTTATTTTTATGTAAGTTTAGTCGAAAAATAATCTGTTTTTTTACTAACCTTGTCAAAACACTCGCTGACAAATATTAAAACATTTTTTGTTTGTTTTTCACTTTCTATTTGATATACTCTATGCTTAATGATTTAGACAACTTAAGAAATCTATAAACATTTTGAAGTGATATGTTATTGAAGACAAGTGATTTTCCTCCAACTCAAAGACATGTATTGAAATACTTGTAGAATCGCCAATTTCTAACTTCAGGTCAAGGTTGGATACAATTTAATATCAAGCTATATGTTAAACATGATAAATGGAACAAAATATTGTTTGCATTATTTTTCATCTATAGCATTGATTGCACGTTTTTCTTAATTGTTATGGAAAAATATATAATTTTTGAAAATATTTTTGTACACAATAAAACAGACAAAATTTGGATTTGAAGCTGCCGTTTACTACATTTCTGTGAACTTGCAGCAAGAAACCTACTGAACAACTTAATATGGCGAAAAATCAGGACCATTCTCAAGAAAAGGACTGATTGGAGAACAGTTATGTCTATTGAATCTATGAAAATTGTTCCTTTTTTCCCTGTGCCAAATGAACAGTTCCCCAATGTACCTGATGACTTCATACTGAATATCTCTACAGCACCAGAGATATCTTTATCACATATGCAAATGGGATTATATCTGAGCTGGGAACTTTTGATTTCTGGATATCGGGATTAATGCTTAATCCACTCTTTTTCTTTATCTCGAGATTAAATAATGCTTGTTCTCCTCTTGTTATTAATCTCCAGATTAATTAACTGATCTTGATTAAGGTTATCCCATTCAAAATTTTTCAGCTCTGGAAATATTTCTACTGACTTAGAAAAGAATAAACCTGGCCCACATTCTAATGCCAGATGGCTAAACCAGTTCTCAAGACTGTTAAGAATATATGCAGCAACAACAACAAATCCTCCTCATTGTCTGATACGTATGGTCCATCATAGAGATGAAACAGCAGTTTCAAATCCAAATTTTGTCTGTTTTATTGTGTTCCAGAGGATCTCTTTTGATTTTTGTGCACAGAAATACTTTCAAAAATTAAATATTTTTGAATGACAATCAATAATGCTGAGATGAATAAAATGTAATATAATTTTTTGTTTCATTTATCATGTTTAACTTATATAGCTTGATATTTAAACTCTTTAAATCGGGTCCAACCTTAATCTTACAGGGACTGTAAAGAAAAAATAAATAGGCTGAAAGCAAGAATGTAAAATAATTTGATATTTGATTGTGCCTAACCATGACCTGCAGAAGTTAAAAATTGACGATTCTACAAGGATTTCAATAAATGTCATTGAAGTGGAGGAAAATCACTTGTCTTCAATAACATATCACTTCAAAATGTTTATAGATTTCTTAAGTTGTCTGAATTATTAAGCATAGAGTATATCAAATAGAAAGTGATAAACTAAAAAAAAATGTTTCAATGTTTGTCAGCGAGTGTTATGACAAGGTTAGTGTATAGTAAAAAACCAGATTATTTTTCGACTAAACTTATATAAAAATAAAATAGTTTCAAAAAGTTATGAAATTTTAGAATAAGTATAAAATATAGAAAATGAAAAATTTTTTGTTTTTGTTTTGTTCAGTTCTCAGGGTATGTTAGTGAGGTGCAAGTGCGCATCAATAAAATCGATGATTTTTGGGCTAAAACTGCTTATAAAACTATGATTTTCAAAATATTCAGTATAAGTTGGTTTTATCTTTTAGACCATTATCTGGGATTTCCAAAATGATATAAAACATTATTCTCAGTCAAAAACTTTGGATTTTATAAAAGTTTTAAGCAATAAAATCAATAAACTTCAAAAATGGCCAAAAAATCACGTTTTTTTCCGGCGGCACCGGAAAAAATGGTCCAAAATAAATAATATTTTGGATTTTTCTTAGTTTCATATATATCAATTCAAAAGAAAAAGTGCACCTCTGAACAATTTTTATAGGGCCGCCCTACCCACCCCATGCTCCCCAGAAAAATATTCTTTATTTTATCTGTTCTATAACTTAATCTTTATACTTCTTTGCCATTTCACTACTTTATTGATCATAAAACTGAAAATGAACTCATTCCTTTTCTTTTTCTTTCTAGAGACTAAAATTGAACTATCTAGACTTACAATCATATACCTAGGTTGGAACTAAAAGATATATGGCTCCTGAACTATTGGATGAAAGTATTAATGAGAAACATTTTGATGCTTGGAAACGTTTTATTATTTATGACTCAGTAAAAAATGAATAATCAGAAATTACTTGAGAACTAGTGAAATACTGGATTTTTAAATACTTTTTAAACGCTTTTTGACTGGGGCTTTTTGAAACCAAAAACATATTACATTAAAAAGTACTATATAGATATTTTTGCTTGGGAATTAGTTACTGATGAATTCTATAAATATATTGATAATAATCATGATAAAATTGCAAAATTAATCCTGTCACGTCCTGAAAATAAAAATGAATTTAGATCCATGAAATATTTTGGAAAAAATGTATTGTTTTTAGTATACTGGGAGATAACACGGCGATGCAGCGACAGTACTATATGTCAAGAGTATCAGGTATAAGGCAATTTGGCAAATAACAAAACTCATAGATAAACATTTTTATTTTCAGACCCCCCCTCCTTTTCTTTCCAATTTTCTTTAAAAGTGTTTTTTNAGGTGGTTTGTGATCTAAAGGTTTTGTTCAGGTGGTTTGTGATCTAAAGGTTTTGTTCAGGTGGTTTGTGATCTAAAGGTTTTGTTCAGGTGGTTTGTGATCTAAAGGTTTTGTTCAGGTGGTTTGTGATCTAAAGGTTTTGTTCAGGTGGTTTGTGATCTAAAGGTTTTGTTCAGGTGGTTTGTGATCTAAAGGTTTTGTTCAGGTGGTTTGTGATCTAAAGGTTTTGTTCAGGTGGTTTGTGATCTAAAGGTTTTGTTCAGGTGGTTTGTGATCTAAAGGTTTTGTTCAGGTGGTTTGTGATCTAAAGGTTTTGTTCAGATGGTTTGTGATCTAAAGGTTTTGTTCACATGGTTTGAGATCTAAAGGTTTTGTTCAGATGGTTTGTGATCTAAAGGTTTAGTTCAGATGGTTTGTGATCGAAAGGTTTAGTTCAGATGGTTTGTGATCTAAAGGTTTTGTTCAGATAGTTTGTGATCTAAAGGTTTAGTTCAGGTGGTTTGTGATTTAAAAGTTTTGTTCAGATGGTTTGTGATCTAAAGGTTTTGTTCAGATGGTTTGAGATCTAAAGGTTTAGTTCAGATGGTTTGTGATCTAAAGGTTTAGTTCAGATGGTTTGTGATCTAAAAGTTTAGAGCAGATGGTTTGTGATCTAAAGGTTTAGTTCAAATGGTTTGAGATTTAAAGGTTTTGAGTAGGTGGTTTGTGATCTAAAGGTTTTGTACAGGTGGTTTGTGATCTAAAGATTTTGTTTAGGTGGTTTGTGATCTAAAGGTTTTCTTCAGGTGGTTTTTGATCTAAAGGTTTAGTTCAGATGGTTTGAGATCTAAAGGTTTTGTTCAGGTAGTTTGTAATATAAAGGTTTTGTTCAGGTGGTTTGTGATCTAAAGGTTTTGTTCAGGTGGTTTTTGATCTAAAGGTTTTGTTCAGGTGGTTTGTGATCTAAAGGTTTTGTTCAGGTGGTTTGTGATTTAAAGACTCGACCATCTTGTCCTACACAGTGGAATCAAAATGAGGTAAAGAAGAAAGAATTTAAAAGGACAGTATAACTTATTCTTCATTTTAAAATTCCAAAATTATGGGGCTCAGTTACATTTGCCATAAATACTTTTGCCATAAATACATTTGCCATAATTACACTAGCCATAAATACTTTTGTCACAAGATCTTGCCTTAATAATTTTCTAATTCTTACAAAGTTATAAATCTAATTATTTTGTTAAATGCGCCAAATTTACTCATTAAAATTCCCAACTAGCGAGATATGAATACTAATACAGGAAGAAAGAGCTTGGTAAAGAATCAATGAAAATGCAATACGTTTTTTAATAGAGCAGTATCTTAATCTTATTGCTCAATGAGCTGTCTGTCCTTAATTAGATTTGTTAATTGTTGTTTAAAAATTATAGTTGTCTAAATATTATATTGTATTACATAATGTTAATTGTAACTATAATCAATTGTAATTATGGCGAGTGTAACCATTATAGCAAGTGTAACTTGATACACTATAGCAAGTGTAATATATGGTAAATGTTACTTATGGCAAACATATCATGGCAAGTGTAATTATGGAAAATATATTTATGGTAAAAGTATTATGGAAAAGTTAAACTAAGCCAATAATAACCTTTATTTTAAAACTTGGTATATAATTTGCACAAAAATCAAGGGTTAACTGCTTTGGTGTTTGGCCGGCTTAATATCTACCATTATTGCTTATGCTAATAAAGATATTGTTGTTTATCGTTGATGGCAATTTTTAAAGAAAGAGATAAATGAAATAAATTGGGAATCATAATTGGAAGAAAGAGTTTAATTTCAGTTTATTACAAATGAAACAAATTATGAAAGAGTTTATTTTCAGTTTATAACTAATGATAAAGATTATGAAAGAGTTCAATTTCAGTTTATAATTAATGATACAGAGTATGAAAGAGTTTATTTTTTAGTTTAACTAATGATAAAGATTATGAAAGATTTTATAACTAATAAGATAAAAATTATTGAAAAGTTTAATTTTAGTCTCTGAAACTAATGATAAAGATTTTGAAAGCGTTTAATTTTAGTTTCTGAACTAATCATACAGATCATGAAAGGGTTTAATTTTAGTTTCTGAAACTAATGATAAAGATTATGAAAAGGTTTAATTTTAGTTTCTGAAACTAATGATACAGATCATGAAAGAGTTTAATTTTAGTTTCTTAAACTAATGATAAAGATTTTGAAAGCGTTTAATTTTAGTTTCTGAAACTAATGATAAATATTAAGAAAGAGTTTAATTTTAGTCTCTGAAACTAATGACGAAGATTATGAAAGAGTTAAATTTAGTATCTGAAACTAATGATAAAGATTATGAAAGGGATTAATTTTAGTCTCTGAAACTCATGACGAAGATAATGAAAGAATGTTGGTTTGAAAACCCCTCTTCCAGGCTGACTGCCCTCAGGTACAAGACTAATTCTGAACTGAACTGAACTTGAACTGTTGCCTTTGAAGATCATTCTTCATGGATAACCCTGTAATATGTATATTTTTAATATTTTCAGAATAAAAAAAACTCTCGGGGTGTTCAACTCTCAAGACCTTCTTGAGGATCAGAAGGCAAAGCTGAAATTAGCTGTGGAAACCTCCACTAGTTAAGAAGACGACCAGATTCTTCTGATGGTAAGGAAGACGACAACAGTCTTCTGATGGTAAGGAAGACGACAAGATTTCTCTGATAGTTTGGAAGACGACAGTTGTCCTTAACTATAAATGTGAAGACGGCAAGATCAAACAATTTAAATTAAACTTTTGTGAAAACGCTCAAGATATATTTTCAATTGTGTTAGTTCTTTAAATTAATGAACAACAATCTCTTAAAGGGACTGTAGAGGAAAAAGGAGAGGGCTGAAACCTGAGAATCTCAGGAGATGATTGTGACCTATAAGAATTCTACCTGATGTTCCTGTCTCGATAAATTGAAATAAAACAGTTTCAAAATGATACCAAAACGTATATATGTAAGATTTCTTATAAGATTCGTATCATTAAACAGATCATATTCAACAAATACGCAACCAATCTGAAAATGACGATATCACAGAGGAGTCTGAGAAACTCAGGATTGCTCCTAATTTTATTTGAATTTAACAATTTTTCATTTTCAATAGAAATAATTGATAATAATATTTATGCGTTCGGATCATGTCGCCAGAATTCCAACCAATGGCTTTGCAGCATTATTCTTCTGTATCACGTGACCAGTATACTGCACTGCTATTGGAGGGAGTTCTGGTCACGTGATATGGAAGTATGTCTTACATATATATACGTTTTGGTATAATTTTGACTCAGTTTTATGTCAATTTCTCGAGACAGGAACATCAGATAGATATCTTATAGGTATCGTTCAACTCCTGAGATTTTCAGGTTTCAGTCTATACCCCCTTTAATTTTTCCTTTACAGTCCCTTTGATCACGGAGACATTTGAATGTTAAGAGGGGAGATTTGCAGATTTGAAATATTTTTCCTCTAAAACATACTTTCTTTTACCACATTCTGAATTTAAATTTAAAATTTTGAACCTTTTGGATAGCTACATTTTCATTTGTTGTATGTTTTTCGGTTAGCATGTCTAAAATTTTAAAAACTGACACAATTTTGAAAAAGCTTTGCCAAAAATCTTATAATCAGTGTTGAGATCATTACACTAAACTTATGTTTTTTTCTAATGTTATAAATTAAAAGTTGGAGAAAGGAAGAATTTAATTTTTCCCATAATAATTTGACTTAGTTGCTGAGGAGATTGCTTCATCACAAAAATATTTATGTAAATATACTTCACGTTTTGTCAGTTAAATCCACGTTCTTAAAATCATCATTAAAACCGGCTTTTCAATTGTGAAGTTGTCTTTGATAGTTTGATTTAATTCAATTCTAATTATCCAGGCTTAAGATTTTAATTTAGTAAATTATAAGAAAGATATTTATTAAGCTGTTTATTTAAATAAAAAAATGTGTATAAGGAATCTTAGGCGCATTGTGTCATTCTTAATCAGCTTTCATTGTTGCTTTAACTAAACGAGCATTATTTTTTCGTCTTTTCTTAAACAAAAACAGTAACAATTTTGCAGATTTTCATGCCAAATATTTGTAGGATGTATATTACATATACAATACTAGACTTTTCTAGTTACAATTTTATCTTTCCAACCTGTCATTTTTCAACGTTCTTAACAACAAATTTCAAGAATTTTCTGTTAAATTAATGGATTTGGAAAAATTGTAATATTTATATTTTTTTTCTGGCAAGATCTTCCATTTCAACAAGCCATACTCGTTCCCCGGTTTAAAAAAAATTTGTGCCCAATCGGTTTAGCCGTTTCAACGATTTTTGGATACAAACAGATAAACAAAACATATTTTAAGAGCCATAAAACTGATGAATGGGAATAACTTTAGCAATCTTCATGTGTATTTGATGTTGTTATAAAGCGAATACTTTTACTAGCTAAGCTTGAAAATGAAAACGAATTCATGTGTAATGGCTCTGTGAACACAACACAATTGCTGTGTTTTATGTTCATTGGAATATTTAAAATCAGAACTTGAGTCTAACAGTCGTCTTCCTATTCCACAGTTTTATGGGCCTCACTGTAGATAAGTCCTTAATAATTTTGTAAAACCTAAAACTAAATATTTATGATTGTAAAAATGTCCTCTACTGAGAAACATATTTTCGATTGCTTGTTATTGGAAGCCAACCCAGTAATTTAAACTGATTAATTCACACGCTGTTAGCTGTTAAGACCAATATAGCTATGTAGTTACCCAGTGCTGAATATTTTTATTTATATTGATTTATGTAGAATATAGTTGCGTTATTTTATAAACAAAAATACATGCATTTATAAAATTTGTATTTGGTTTGGAATTTTTTTTTCAGATTTAGATTAAAAAAATAATGGCGCATTTATTGCGGATACAGTTCTTCCAGTTTTTCTGCCATTAACTTTATAGCATTCCATACCTTGGCACCTAATAGTAAAAACACAATTAAAAACTATTTCTTCTTTAAAGATAATAATTTTAATAATACATTTATAAAATGGCATATTCATATATTCATACAAGAGATTTTAAAATTTAATACATTCAATTGTGGTTTCCCCAACATGTGATTTCTGCGGATTTTTGCGCTTCAGTATCCATTGAAATTTTAAAATTTAAAAACTTCCTCATTATTGATCAGATAAAGTTTTAAGGGGTATACCGCTGTGAAAAAGCCTTCCACAAGCAAGCTTAACAGTCATTTTAAATCAGAAATACTGCTGAAAACTTCGTAATTGTTTTACCTACGTCTGGTATCTCCGTAGGGGAGAGTTCAGAAATACTTCTGAAAACTTCGTAATTGTTTTACCTACGTCTGGTATCTCCGTAGGGGAGAGCTCGAAAGAAGTAGCATAGTCATCTGAAGAACATAAATCAGCTTGAAATATTATTTAAAAAACTAATCAACATTACTTTACAATTTGAACTGAGCTGAAAACTTTAGAATGAAATATCCAATTGTCAGATAATGTTGCTTCTCTGGAGTTTAAATTCATGTGGAGAACAAGCAATATTTAAACTGGATATCAAGAAAAAGAGTGGTTTAAGCCTTAATCCTGATATCCACCATTCTAAAGTTTTCAGCTCAGATGAAACAAATGATGTCCAAGAAAATATTTACCTACATGGGGATCCAGCTCAATGGTGTATGTTAGATTTATATTCTAAAAAAAAAGATTATTATTTTAAAAAAAATAATCTTCAAAAATTTAGAAAATTAACTTATTTGTCAAAGGGATGATTTCAGACAAAATTGGTCGAGGGAACCATAGAGTGGTGACATTTCCAATTTACTTCATCATTTGACATTAAATCTAAGGGACATACATTCTCAAATTAAATTTTATTTTGTGTAGTGTTTGTAAATTAACTCACGGTAGGGAAAAGTTACCGAACTTTGGTGTAAATTGTAATTTGTAACAAATGTATTACCTTAGTCATATAATAGTAATCATCACTTCCACCTCCCTCTAGCTCCTCCTCTCCCAATAGTTTTGCCGCATTACCAACCCTAAATAGTTTTGCAGCATTACCAACTCTAGATAGTTTTGCCGCATTACCAACTCTAAATAGTTTTGCAGCATTACCAACTTTAAATAGTTTTGCCGCATTACCAACTCTAAAAAGTTTTGCCTCAATAGCAACTCTAAATAGTTTTGCCGCATTACCAACTCTAATTAGTTTTGCCGCATTACCAACTCTGAACAGTTTTGCCGCATTACCAACTCTACATAGTTTTGCCTCAATAGCAACTCTAAATAGTTTTGCCGCATTACAAACTCTAATTAGTTTTGCCCAGGGGGCGGGCATAACTCTCCTAATTTTGCCTGGCTAGGTTTATACTGTACAGTGAAATTTGTCGAAAAATGTTTCCTTATGACTGAGTTGGTATCATAGAGTACAGTGGGTTTAATCCTAAGTACATCTATTTGTACGGTATTGAGTGGACAGAGCCCGAAATTTAAAAGAGTATCGTTGAACGAAACTCCCGGGTTTCCTTTTTGGGGTCTTATTATTTGTGTAGATTTTTATTTAAGAGATTCGAAAAAATGGTAAAATATGATGAAACTAAATAAAACAATATTTCAAAACAAAAATATCGATATCCACAAAACTGGTTAAACCCATTTGTGAAACCCGGGTTACAAAACTGGTTTTCAGAACGATACCCTGTCTTAAGTTTTGGGCTCAGTTAATTTTAATATTTTTCAACTATGAGATATTGTAGTGTCAAAAATTGTGTAAACAACGATGTATCATAGTGTGAAATTTTAGGACTTTTTTGCCGGAAACTTTTTTCCAAGCATATTCTGGTTCTCAAGTACCCCAGCAGAGATAGGGTTAAGGAGAAGGATTTTATTTTTTTTGTCTATTTGTCATGTCTCATTTTTATACAAAAATCATATGGGCTTGTTTTCTTTGCTTTCACTTTTAAACAATAACTTTCAAAACTGATCTACGAATTATGATCCCCCCCAGGTAGAATTTCTGATCGGGTCATTGTGTACAGTGGCTGTACAACAAGAAGTCTAAAATTCCAGATGCCCCCTCTATTACTAATATCTCGATGGTTTTGCCGCATTCCCAACTCTATAAAGTTTTGCCGCATTATAAACTCTAAAAAATAGAACCCCCGTATTAAACGTTTTTAGTCAATATAAAGTATCTCCCTACAAATGTCAGTTGTAAAAAAATAAAATAAAATAAAAATATTAATGTATTTTCTTACACAAATTTTAGTTTCTCGTTGAAAGCATCAGCAAAATCTGTTAGAAGAGTTTTATTCTCCCCTTTAATCTGATTTTTGTGATCATCTGGTAACCAGCCCTAAATATTCGTATTCATGTTATTAAAGAGAATAAACATTATAATACAATGTTGTCCACAAAGCATGAGAATAAATGACGAAAATACAGATTTTTTTTCGATTTCATGTTTACTTAGACTGTGGATAGTAAATATCCTTCTTGTAAGAATGAATGGATACTAACCTGTGAATAAATATCTCCTTCACGTAAGAATAAATGGATATTAACCTGTGGATAATAAATCTCCTTCCCGTAAGTATGAAGGGATATTAGCCTGTGGATAATAAATCTCCTTCCCGTAAGAATCAATGGATATTAACCTGTGAATAAATATCTCCTTCACGTAAGAATAAATGGATATTAACCTGTGGATAATAAATCTCCTTCCCCAAAGAAAGAATGAATATTAACCTGTGGATAATAAATCTCCTTCCCGTAAGAATGATTGGAAATTAACCTATTGATAATAAACATCCTTCCCGTAAGAATGAATGGATATTAACCTGTGGATAATAAATCTCCTTCCCGTAAGAATAAATGGATATTAACCTGTGGATAATAAATCTCCTTCCCGTAAGAATGAATGGATATTAACCTGTGGATAATAAATCTCCTTCCCGTAAAAATGAATGGATATTAACCTGTGGATAATAAATCTCCTTCCCGTAAGAATGAATGGATATTAACCTGTGGATAATAAATCTCCTTCCCGTAAAAATGAATGGATATTAACCTGTGGATAATAAATCTCCTTCCCGTAAGAACGAATGGATATTAACCTGTGGATAATAAATCTCCTTCCCGTAAGAATGAATGGATATTGCTGCAAGAACTTTATCATCCAGGGAACTAAGGTATTTATGATTATATAGGTTTGATTGATTAAAGAGAATTTAGATACAATTTCAAGTCATCCCCTCCATTTATATGTCTGATTCCCCATGATACCCTTTACAATTTTGTTGAATGATATATCATTTTCCTAGCTTCAGAGAAATAAACGCTTTTTAAGATAGAAAAAGGAAGATATCTTTGTAATTATTACTCAGACAGAGGTTTATAGTAGCGGTATTGGTACATAGGACATGCCACACTTAAAATAAATTGGGCATAGTTTTTTTTGTTTGTTTACTATTTCGTTTTTTTTGTTTTCAGGAGAATCTGGAGCTCTTAAAGTATGTTCTTATGACACAAGGAAAAATGTTGACTCTGAAAGAAGATATGAACATTTTAGTTTTCACAGATTTTTCTTAAATCTATTGAAACCCATACATAACCTTGAATGTTTAGAACGGATAAAAATAATGCCCAACTCTTGAATCTTTAAATTGAGGGTCTCTCGAAATTACTATGGCGTCAGAATAAATGATTATTGTCAAAAGGGGTGTGAACAGGGGCGGATACAGGACTTAAGTGAGGGGGGTGCTAGATTATTTCGGAACAAAATTTTTTTTTTTAAGATAGACATTTTTCCTGTTTTGCACTAGGTTTTCTTTCCCTCAAGTGCTATTGAGAAGCTATTCTGAAATCCCGGGGGGGGGGCGAAGGTCCTTCCGCACCCCCTGTATACGCTCCTGGGTGTGAATAAGTATTCATGAAAATGAATATCCCTGTTCAAGAATCATACCGGAGAAACATGTATCGTTGTGTATAATTCTATTAATACAATAAAGCCAAGCTCAGCTATTTCATTAGATTGGCGTCCTAAATGTAATACCAGGGAGATAGCAGGGCATTGGTTCAATAACCCAAGATAACAGGAAATATAACGTTAGGGAGATAGCGGGGCATTGGTTCAATAACCCAAGATAACAGGGAATATAACGTTAGGGAGATAGCGGGGCATTGGTTCAATAACCCATGGATAACAGGGAATATAACGCTAGGGAGATAGCGGGGCATTGGTTCAATAACCCAAGATAACAGAGAATATAACGCTAGGGTGATAGCGGGGCATTGGTTCAATAACCCAAGATAACAGGGAATATAACGTTAGGGAGATAGCGGGGCATTGGTTCAATAACCTGAGATAACAGAGAATATAACGCTAGGGAGATAGCGGGGCATCCCAAGATAACAGGGAATATAACGGGAATCCAACATGAAACAGGGGAAAACGGCAGTTCTGTACTAGATCTCCGTCCAGGCAGTCGATCAGCTCATTATTCAGCAGAGAGGCGAATATTCAAATATGCGTTCTCAATAATCATAAGTTTTTTACTAACTCGTATCATTTTATTGTTTCGTGTGTAAATATATGTGCAATATGCATTTTTTTTGTTCCATTTGAGGGTTTATTTCAATCAAGTTTATATGGGGACAGTTGCTCAATTCAGATATGACACAGTGTAAAGAGCAAGAGACCGTATTTACAGTAATAGCCAGACAACTCAGAAATATAGGAAGACAACTTTCTTAGGTTCTTTCATGGCATAAGTCATTTTCCTTATTTTCTGGCAGTAAAAATATAAATATTACCTGATGTGTTTATCAAGAGCTAAAGTTTCAGGCTCTGACAGAGCTGAAAGCAAAGAAATACATAATAACTATATTTATAACACTGTTATTTTGGTTCGCAGTGTTATAAAGTTTTTGGAAAGACATTTTCTCTTTATCAAGAAGGACAAGCCTTCTTAAATTTAATTTAAAAAAATCTAATGTAATCTAAAAATGCGAGAACCTTCGAGATATAAAGAAAATTTATGTCCAAAAACTTTATAGCACGTCGTGCCAAAATAATAGTGTTATAGATAATTTTATTAGACGTTTGTGTACTGTCTTATTTCAATGGCTATTTCTAGATCAAATGAGCTTTGAAACAAGGCAGAAATCAAAATAAAAAGTTGATTTTAATTTTATTTTCATTTCATTTGAAAAAAAAGTATTTTGAAAATACCTTAAATTGAGGAAGAATGATAAAGTACAAAATAGTTTTATAAATTATAAAAATTATATTTCTAAGAAATTTTATCTAATTAGAGATTAATTAGCAATTACATCTTAGATTATCTATGAGAATTTTTAAAATGAAATATTGCTGATTTACATCTAATTTATGTTACAATGTACAAAATGCTTGTGTGTTTGATTCGAATATTAAAACAGTAACCCGCCCTTCCCCCCCCCTTAGAGTTTTCAATTTCTTCAGGATCAATTTGAACCCGTACATGCCTTCCAGAACGTAGACTGCACATGTGTAGCATCTAGTGGATAGATAGATATTGAAAATGGGTTAAAAGGACTGAAATTGTAATTTCACGGTAACACTTTAAAGCTTTATCTGATAGAGAATGAATTAGATTTCAATGTTTATAAATTGATTATTTTCAATCAGAGTTTCACTACAGAAGTGACTTGCGCATTTCTACTGCAGTAAAGCATATAGGAATTATCAGAATTAATCACCTTTAAACATCTAAAAACGAAAATATCTTCCTAATTATTATCCAGATGAAGGTTTTAAGGGTAAGATTGTAAATCAGATCTTTACGATCTTTGCATAAACTTGAAATTACACTTGTAGTCCTTGTAAGAAAGATTTCGCCTTAGTTTCCAAAAGTTTATGATGGTATATATCTTTCTTAACAGTTTAAGGTAAGGTTCCATTCTAGGGCTTAACCGAACCATATTGAACCCGGAGGAAATCGAAACCTAAATTTATACAAATTACAAAAACTATTATTTTACCATGAGCTCCACGATACATTTCAAAACAGGGTAGATTACTCTCTCTCACAAACCTATAGATAATGTTAAATTAACATATATTCAGAGATTTCAACTAATAGAATATAGAGAGTCGAGATCCAGGTCAAGCTATTTAAATTAGTTACGGCTGGTTAAAATACGCTGCTGATCTCAATTAGTTATTTCTCTTAATAAATAATAGAATTTCGACTTTCGAGCCCCATGATTTGTAATTTTAGAAAATCATGTATTTCTGACTTTAGGGTGAAACAAAGATGGAGTTGGAAATTTAAAAAACTAGAGAAAGTTAGATCAATGATCTACAGTCGTACATTAATCGTACTTTTCTCTGTTCAAAGTCGGATTGGAGTTAAAAATTGTTCTTATCTAATAAAATTGTCAATTTGCATATTTTTAACCGTTGATATGATTTAACTAATGCACAATATCTTTCCCTGTAAGAATTAAATTTTTTTTTAAATTTATTTTGAGCCTGATAAAACTTCATATTTCAAATAAAGAAAAACGCGAAGTATGACTTTGTCCAAAAAGAGATGTAAATAGTTTAACTGCAACCATATCTATTTTAACTATATTTTTTTTGTATTTATAAGTTCCTAACTCAGATAATAATGTCCAAAAATTCTAAGAAAATATTTATCTAATCTTATTTTAATTTATACCTCTGGTTACCTTTACCAAAACCACCAGGAAAATTTCTGTTCAAATCCACCCCACTTCATGTTCAGATCAATTTAAATCATTCCAATCTATAAAAAATGAGGCTTGTCTGTTTGTTTGTTTCTATCCAATAAACGCCAAAACTGCTGAACTAATTGGGCTCACATTTTTTTAGCAACTCAAATTACCCTATTTAAAAAAAACGCATGAATTTAAACAAAAATTCCCGAAAATTTGAGAACAATCGAAAATGGCGACTTTCAGGCCAAGAGTTAAAATTCATAATGGTTATCGGTAAATATGGTTAGTATGTATACAAGTTTTACAAAACACCTTATTTCAATGATAACCAGCTCAGTTATGACATTTTTTACACATTTGGTTTAAACTTTATACAATATACACAGTATAAACCAAAACAAATGTTTAAACAAAAAGTGTGTTACTTTTGATTTGAACAGAGCTGGAAACTTTAGAATGGTGGATATCGGGATTAATGTTTGATCCACTCTTTTTTTTAATCTCCAGGTTAAGTATTGCTTGTTGTCCTCATGAATTTAATCTCCAGAGCTGGGAACTTTAGAATGGTGGATATCGGGATTAATGCTTAATCCACTCTTTTTCTTAATCTTCAGATTAAAGATTGCTTGTTGTCCTCATGGATTTAATCTCCAGATTAATTAACAGATCGGGATTACGGATATCACATTCTAAAGTTTTCAGCTCTGGAGATTAATATCAAGTGCATGGAGAACAAGCATTATCTAATCTTGAGATTAAGAAAAAGAGTGGATCAAGCATTAATCCCGATATCCACCATTCAAAAGTTCCCAGCTCAGATTAAATTTGAATTTTATTAATTCTCTGATTTAAATATTTCCTGCACTCGTCTGGGTGAACATCACATCTACAGTTAAATCATACTAAAGCCAACTTTAAAGTTTAAAAAATATTGGTAAATTATTCAAACAAATATTTTTTAAAAAGTTTAAAAAACATACTATTAAAAAAAATTTACTTTTGAATATTTTAAAATAATTATGATAATACTCTATTTCTATGTAACCTGATTTTGTATTAACAACTCAAATTACAAAAATTAAGTTGTACACACCTGCAGTATACCTTTTTTAAATATAAAAAATAAACAACTTGGAAAAACATAAAAATAATATATTATTAAAAATTAAACATTAATAAGATTTGCCTAGTTTCCTGCAAGCATCATTTTGCTCCTGGGTCAAATTCATCGAGGAGACAGGACGGCCATTTTTCCTCTGCATTCGGTCTACACAGTACACATTGAAGGGAGTGTTCGCAAAAAATGAAAGGGGGTATAGGCTTAATGCGATAAAAAAGCGCTTTTGATCGCTACTAATCTTACTTCTATCTGTTGCGTCTATAAGGAGAAAATTGTTCAAGGCGTCTCATACTGAAGAACGTAGCGCCCATACAAATTGAGAAAATTGCAACATACGACTCAGACCGTCAAAAAATCAATTTAATTTCAGACAAATCATTCATGACTCACACCGAAGAACGCAGCGTCCATACAAATTCGGAAAGATGCAACTTAACACTCAACTCGGATCGTAAACAAATCAATTTAAAAATGAATGCGTCTAAAAATAATCGATGACAATTGTTTGTAATATCCAGATGATTTGTTTGGAATTAAATTGATTTGTTTACGATCTGAGTTGAATTTGTATGGACATTTTCAAATTTTCAAAAAACATTTCTGACCCAAGGCAAAATTTGATGTTGTAAAAGTTGTTTTTTATTTAAAAATTTAAACTCAGACTAAAATTATGAAACAAAATATTTTTAAATTTTTTCGTTTATTGTTTATTATTACGATGCATAGTGTATCAAAGTAAACTCATGTAACAAACAATTTTTAAATAAAATAATTCTCGGATTTTTTGCGAGCCTCATAAAAGTGAAAAAAAAATATTGATGTTTTCGACCTAAAAACGATGTCCAAAAGCTTGTATATATTTTTAGCTGTGTAGATTTTCATGAGACTCTATAGAAATCCAAAATGTTTTGCTTGAAATTGAATAACACCATCTGAATTTATAAAATACAACTAAGCAAACCAATCATTTGTTAACATAAGGAAGGGGGGAGAGGGTCACTTTGTACATTGTCATACAATTTTAATAAATGTGTCATGATCATCATAAGCGAAGAGTCTTCGAAAATCAAGTGAACAGTCCCTTGAGTTGAAAGCTGACCTTTGACATGTGAAAGATGATAACCATCAGGATTCAGAACAGGGATAAACTGCCATTGATAGTTAAGCATTACATTCTAAAATAACATTGTGTTCCATTAACAAGACAATTTATACCATTAATATTTAAGCAGCACATTCTAAAATTACACTGTGTTCCATTAATAAGACAATTTATACCATTGATAGTTAAGCATTACATTCTAAAATTACATTGTGTTCCATTAATAAGACAATTTATACCATTGATAGTTTAGAATTACAGCCTAAAATTACATTGTGTTCCATTAATAAGACAATTTATACCATTGATAGTTAAGCAGCACATTCTAAAGTTACAGTGTTTGCCACTAATAAGACAATTTGAACCATTCTAAAATTACATTGTGTTCCATTAATAAGACAATTTATACCATTGATAGTTAAGCAGCACATTCTAAAGTTACAGTGTTTGCCACTAATAAGACAATTTGAACCATTCTAAAATTACATTGTGTTCCATTAATAAGACAATTAATACCATCGACAGTTAAGCATCACATTCTAAAATTATATTGTGTTCCATTAATAAGACAATTTATACCATTAATAGTTACGCATTACATTCTAAAATTATATTGTGTTCCATTAAAAAGACAATTAATACCATTGATAGTTATGCATCACACTCTAAAATTACATTGTGTTCCATTGATAAGACAATACCATTGATAGTTAAGCATTAAATTCTAAAATTACATTGTGTTCCATTAATAAGACAATTTATACCATTGATAGTTAAGCATTACAGCCTAAAATTACATTGTGTTTCATTAATAAGACAATTTATACCATTGATAGTTAAGCAGCACATTCTAAAACTGCAGTGTTTGCCACTAATAAGACAATTAATACCATTAATAGTTAAGCATTCCATTCTAAAATTATATTGTGTTCCATTAATAAGACAATTAATACCATTGATAGTTAAGCAGCACATTCTAAAATTACATTGTGTTCCATTAATAAGACAATTAATACCATTGATTGTTTGCCACTAATAAGACAGTTAATACCATTGATAGTTAAGCAGCACATTCTAAAATTACAGTGTTTGCCACTATAATAAGAAAATAAATATCATATTGAAATTTAAGCAGCACATCCTGAATTATATTGTTTGCCACTAACAACGATATTTAACGATACAAACTAACCTCAGAATGTTCATCTGCATTTTCAAACACTGATGCTAACTCCTAAATTTTTATTTATTTAGAAGATTTAGAAAATTTTGTTTGTTAAAAATTTGTTTTATTTTTTTATTCATTTTGAAAATTTAGCTGCTTTAAATGCTTTCAGCGCGCTACAGTGATAACCAGAAAACAATGGAAAAGGAAGACGACATTATGGCATTACTCAAATGTATTTGATGTGGTACTTGGCAAATTATCTTTTGTTAAAGTAATCCTATGGGCGAAAGTTTTTGTTGGATATCCGACTATAAGCCTAGGAGTTATAGGCCTAGTTTTGCCCTTTGCTTGAAGAGATTCTTTTCAAAGATTTGACCTGAATAAGATAAAGACAAACAGCACTGCTAATCCATTCCCTGGCATGGTTTCCACAATCAAAGAAAACAACATAATCTGAACATTTTACTTATACTTTTAAATTCCAATTTGAAAGGGACAGTAGACGGGATTTCAAATTACCCTCCATATTTGGCATGGATAACTGAATCCTTTAAATCTTTGTCTGCTGAGAAATCCGCATTTTTCTTGCTAAAAGCTGAGAATATTTTTTAATGTAAAACCGCTTATTTGTAAAGTTATCAATTTAATTACATGCATTTCCGCAGATTAAATAATGATAAACACTTTAAATCAATAAAACTTTTCACTACCTGAATTGTTCCCAATGGTCACCAAGTAAATATCATTTTGATAATCTTTCCCCTCGATGTATGTATTCCCTATAACCTATGTAATACTAAACTAAAGCAAAAAAAGTACTCTATATAGTAATAGACACTCAAAGTTTAACTAACAGTAAGTGAGTCTTTCTTCTGGAAGTGAAATTAAATATAATATTTGACTCCAAAAAAATTGCACCGAGAGATTAATAAATGGGCCAAGATTTTAAAATTTTGTTTAAATCGACATTATTGTACAAAAAATGTTAAATTTTACTTTTTGTTAATTGCTTACCTCTAGCTGTACTGTGTCCTCAGCTAATTCACTGATTTCTTTTAGAAACTCGTATTGTTCCGATAGTTTTAAATATCTACAAATTCAACGATATAAAACAAGTTAAAAAGAAAATTTGAAAACTTTAAAATTGTTTAAAAGATACCAATAAGCAAGAAATCAGTTGGAGTCCTCTTTTAGTTGTTCAAATCAGTTAGTTGTTCAAATCAGATAGTTGTTCAAATCAGTTAGTTGTTTAAGTTAATTATTTTTCTTTGAATTTATATTGGTTTTACTCTTTGTAAAATATTTGTTAAATATTTAATTTTTTTGCAAAAAATTCATTCGAAGTAAGCATTGGCGGGTTGGAGTAAAAACACAAAAAAACCCACTTTTTTTATTACCTTCCTGTGTTCAATATATCAAACTTTTTCTTACTTTCAACTCCTAAACAGTAATTATTAACAATCTTAAGCTACCAACAACTGAGTTATTTATAAATACAAAGTATAGACACAAAGTATAAAATAGAAGAAACGTAAAAAATCATGAATAAAAGTTTTAATATGGAATTTAAAATGAAACCTAAATTCCAAGTGAACACTTACTGAATTTGAACTTGGATATCTAAATGACCGTGAAATGGCCTCTTAATTAGAAAACCTTTTTTATCATTTTTGATGTTTTTTTTGTAAAGTTAACAATAGACACTTAACATTGTCCCTCTAGAAATTAAATTACTCACTTTTTCTACTCAGAGTTTTGTAATCAACGTTTAAAAAAATAGATTGTATATAAACTTTAATGTCTTACCATACTTAGATAGCCCGATGAAAAATACAAATGTCAAAATTTTCATATTATTATAGATAATATTTAGAATATAAGGAAATTGTTTTCATAATTTCTCTAATTTCTGTGAGAGGTTGAATGATAACCACTAATTGACTTCAACTGAGAATAATAATTATTCAATGCGAGCCGTCTTAAAACACTTTTTTGTGAGTGCAAATGTAATATTGAATTTTTTTTATTAAAAACATATCTTTTAATATTGAATTAACTACTTTAAAACTTGGATTTTATTTGTTTTTATTATTAAACTTGAATAAAAATATTTTGAACGTTTAACTTAATGAATCTGAGTGTCAAGTTTAAATACAGTTTAAATGATTCCACAGTACACATAAACTGAATATTTGAAACAAAAATATTAAAACAACTCTGCGAACTTTTTTTATAGATCTTTATCATAATTATTTGCTCTTAACATGATGGAAACTTTTCCTTTCTTATACAGGGGTGTATATTAGTTTTGCCACTCATATTTTTGCCCCTTTCCCCCTTTTCGAAATATTTCTTTTGATCCACAATTTAAAAACAGATATTTTTTACAGGGTTATGCAGTCCGCGGAAACTTCGAAAAAAACTAGGAGATAAAAAATAATTTTTTTTTATTTTCCCCTTAACAAACCATCTTAAAAAGCTCATCTTCTTCTATATAATAAAACAATACATTCGTATATATGTTCCCTCTGGCCGGCCAAACGACTGGACCGAATTGGCTGAAATTTTTTGTGATCACTCATGGGTAGTCTTGGGGTGACATAAGATAAAAAAAATTTTCTCAAAGTTTTTTTTCGACGGAAAACGCCGGGTCTTCAGTTAGTTTTTATAAATAAATGAAAAATATACAGCCCTGTTCTTATTACATTGCAGGGGCCCATAAAGGTTTAGTTTAAGCATTGTGGTAAAACTAGTTGCTTTATAAGAACATCGAATACACATTGCTATTAATTAAATGTAGTTTCCATATATTCCAGTTTTTTCCTATTCGGATTTATTATACGAATTCCATCCTATAAGCTAAATATCTGAACACAAAAGACAGTTGAAATTACTACGATTTGTACAGTCCATTTAGTTTTAAATTTACTAGAGCAGTTTTAAAAATGTGACTTTAAAGTAAACGATGTATAAAGATTTAAAAAGCAATAGCTTGGGGGCCCAACTTTGCCTGAATTTTCCCCTATAAAAGTACACCTACTAAACATAGAATTTTAAAACCAAACTAAGAATAATCCCGTGGTTCTCTCGAGTTCCACAATTAATTTGAGGCAAATCGATCAAGAGCTTCCTGAGTTAGGATTGAATATACAAACAGATAAACAGAGATTACTGCTTAATGGAAACAACAACCGGATATAGTATATTTTAATGGAAATAAAAATCGGATAAAGTATATTTTAATGGAAACAACAACCGGATATAGCATATTTTAATGGAAACAACAACCGGATATAGTATATTTTAATGGAAACAACAACCGGATATAGTATATTTTAATGTAAAACAACTTTTGAATCTTTATTAAAGCCGGGTTTGTTTGATGAAGTAATTAAAATATAATTTCTCTTCAACATATTTAAATACAGAACTTTTTACCGGAGTCGGCGTTTATATCAATACAATGGAAACCAATTTTCTATTTAGGATATGATTGCTACCAAGCCTTTTTTCGAATTAAGTTTACAATTGCAGAATTACAGAAACAATTAATTTTCAGTTTCTCTTTGTTTTCATGTTTATGTGTATCAATGATGTTTAAAAGTCTGATAGAAATGAAAAATTTAAAAGCGTCTTTAATTTTCTGATATTTACGCAGGCTGCTGTATTGAATAATTATTGAAGAATAAGTTTACAGTTTTATTTAAAACAAAAAGAAACTAAAATGCTTGATTATAAAGTTTACTCTACCCATCTACTTAAAAATAACAAATGTTCTTTGCTAATTTATTTTCAAGTATATATATATATATAAGCACAGATAAAGAATTTAATTACAAATAGTTAAAAATCAGTCAATTAACAAAGAGATCTTGGCAAATTTACAAAAAATGTTGGTCGGGCAAAGCCTGAAATCAGCACTTTTGCATTGTATGAAATAGTGCTATTCTACAACGTTTGACCTCGATATCCATTGTGGCAACTTTTAGATTTGAGATATAAGTGATTTTAAGAGGAAAAAACTTAATCCGCAGAACTGCATAAGATATAACTTATTGAATCAGTAAAAGTTAGCTCCTTGCACGACATTCTCATTGTAATAATGATTACGCAGGAAATGCAATCTATCTCCGACAGCAATCCTAACATCGTCTTCGTTTTTGAAACAATCTTCGCTCTTCCTCGTGCTGGTCTCCCAGTTCTCAAGGTTGAAGGATAAACAGCTCTCAGGATATGATATTGAACCACTCAGGGACGGAAGTGGTAGGATTCTCTTCCAGGTTGGAGCAGGCTTGGTCCTGGGTCCCCTATAGTGAAGGTAGAGTATATACACTGCTATACACAGGGCCAGGAGTATCAACACTGATGGAAGACCAACTGCAGTAATGTAAAAGCATGGTTTACAGGGATTCATGTTGATCTTCTAATTGTTGAACAGTTCTATTAGTACTAAAGATTAAGACTAAATAGGAACTGGGTGAACTTGGTTTATATACAGCTGGTTGACGGTCACCGCGCGTTTTCAATCATTCTAAGCAACTCAGCCCGGCCTCGCCGAGCTAGTATACTGTTAGCGGTCAATCTACGTTTGAGTGACCATTGAATCCCCCCCCCCCCTTCTTTAGTGCCTGCCTGACAACCTAGACCCCCCGGCCCCCACCCCGTGTGACAAAGGATCCGTACTAGCACGGTCAATTAATAATCCCGCTTTTCACAATATCAAAGGAAATGAGTCTTTGCCACAAACTCGGAATTTTAAATCCCAATTTCTTTAAAACCAAATGACGTAGACCGTAGATATTTCAAACTGTGAATTCTGGTGGATCAAACAATGTAAGTTTGAAATATGAAAGGTAAACATCATCTGGTTGTTGAGATTTTGGAATTATAAAATTGGAATTTGTGACAAAAACTCAATTCCTTTCCTCCTCCACCCCCCTCCCTGCCTTGTTCCAAGCCAATACACTCCAAACTATGTAAAACAATTTTAAAGAAATTAGAACATGAAAAAAGCATAAAAAAATTAGTAAATTTCTTGGAGTCACATCCAATTTTTCTGAGTTTCTGTACTGCAAATAGCAGCTAGCATTAACTACTATGTTTTTGTTCAATTTATTTTATGGAATAAAGTTTATTATAGATTAAGAAAAAAGCTCTTTTGTGTGGAGTGTCGTTGATCTTAAACCCTTGATCTCGATATCCAATATGAGAATTTTTAATGAAATTGAATATTTTAAATCCCGTTGACTTTTCATCCTGAAGGTTGGTAAATAATTGTTATTTTAAACTAAGATGATTTGATCGAACAGAAGTCATGGTTTGAAATATCTAAGATCTAAGACATTGGGTTCCTTTGACGATTAATGCTTGGTTCCTCAGTTATTACCAACAGCCACTAAAGTTCAGGTTCAGGTTCATTTGATAAACTATATAAGCATTTTTAAATTGGTTTCCTATTCAACTACCAAAAAGACGAGAATTTTTTCCTTTTCATTTTGTTACATTTTTCTTATTTTCTTATTTTTTCGTATAATCTTAGACGAGAAGTCTTTTTCTACCTTATTTTAGACGGGAAGTCTTTTTTTCATGTCAGATCCTATTCCAGATCTCAGTGTTGTTAAGTGTTACTAATATAAATTCCATACCATAAAATAGAGAGTAAACTGCGAGAAGCATTTTGTAAATATTTGTGTATTTTTTTTATTATTTCTACATATATGGATTTTACGCAATTCTGTACCATTTTTGTTTAAATAAAAGTTTGTAAGAGAGTTATTACCAACACGGGATATACAAATCATTTAAATTCTGTAGATCTGCATCAGATGGAGATTAATGCTTGTTGTCTATCCTGAACCAATAGAAATAGTATGGCGGTAATATCTCTTTCTATCTCATTATCCAATTAGAGTTATGAATCCTTAAATCGGCGCTATCAGTAAATGGAAATATTTACTTCTACTGAAACTATGGCGGATCGCAAGATTCAAGATATATAAGTTCTGACGTCTGAACACAATTTATCTTCTCGTTTTTCTTAAAAACTATTTATTGTAGAGTTTAGTATTTAACAAAAATGTGACATATATTATTATAAAACATCATTATGGCTATGCTAGAAGAAAATTCACGGGATTTATTGACTAGTGAAAAAAGATTTATTTTCTGCAAGTTTGGCACCGATTGCACAGCTCGTTGATATGTAAGGTACATAGCTTAGATAAATAGATATAGAATATAAATATATCCTCTTTTTGTGGAAAATTAAACGCTTTTCGCAAACAGGTAAAGGTTTCTGCATAACATTTGACAGATTGAGATTCAAATTGAAAGTATCAGTCAATTCAAGATGGTTTTTCGCAGCAATTTCTAAAATTTAAAATTTAGAATACAAAAATACAAAAATTCTTTGGGCTTTGGCATTAGGTTTGAAAGGTGAAAATATGGTTTAAATCATGCCACAGCACATTCAAAAGTTTACATGCTAAAATTCTTCGTAAGTCTTTTCTGGTGAGGTTTAGTTAGTAGGATCTAATTTAATATGAACACAATTTATCATCCAATCACAAGCCAAACTTCAAGTATTTCTTTATTTCGAATTATGATTTTTAAGTTTACATAACATCAAACATATGGATGCAGCTTTTTCTGCTCATATCTTTTATTTAACTCCATGAGTTCCTAAAAATATTTGATATCTACAATTAGAAACATAAAGGGACTGTTAACGTTATTTCAAGTGCGTCTTCAATTACAAGAATGCTCAGTAAACCAGGCCTTTTAAATTTTTCTTTGAAAAAAAATCTAGATACAACGCTCAAGAAAAAAAATTTCATGTTAGAATTTGTGATAATTAAAGACTGAATTCCAAATAAATAAACTATAATAGTCGATATTGAAGAATGATGTTATTACTTTTTCTGAAAGAATTTTTACACTGTTTTTACCTCTTTGAAATCTTTCATTTTATCAGCTATTAGCTGGAAGGTTTTCCATAGTTTATTGGCTAAAATAAACAAAACAATTAGACAGTTTATAAATAAAAAATATATTATTCTAACCTATTGGAATAATCTTTTTAGGTGATATAACAAAACCATTTGATGTGCTTGAATCTGGATCTAATTATTAACAAATAATAATTTTTATTAATAATATTTTTTGCACAAATCGTTGAATTTCTACCTAATTCTAGTGTCAACGAAATCTTTATGTCCTAAAGAAAAATAAATTGAAATTTTAAGATACTAATCAAAAAAAATAATGAACACTTTTTCGTATAAAAGTTTTACATGATAGTTATAATAATAATCATCAGTAGCCCCTCCGCTCACACCCTCTTCACCAAATACTTCATACACAAAACCGGTTCTAAACAAATCAATTGTACACAAAACCTATTCTAAATGAATTCGTTGAACACAAAAGCAGTTCTACAGAAATTCATTGAAAACAAAGCTGATTCCAAACAGTTTCATTGTACACAAAACCGGTTCTTATTATGCATCAAAACCGGTTCTAAGCAAAAAATCGGTTCTATACACAAATGCATTGTAGTTAAAATGAATAATATGAATAAATATTTTGTAAACAAACTGCAGTTCTAAACAAATCGGTTCTGAACAAAGCAAAATAAATAGAAGTAATTTAAATCAACAAAAGTATATATATATACAACTTTAAAATTCTATAAAGTCGTTTTTATCCATGTTGTTAAGGTGACACATTTTAAATATTTCACATACTTACTTATAGTTAAGAAAAGTATTGGTTGTCTTTACAAAAGATTTAAACCGATTAAGATCTTTTCCTGTCACTTGATTCTTATCTCCCTTCTTCATCCAACCCTGTAGGAACAAAACTATTAGAAAAAAAATCCTCATCGAAAACCTTTATTTGGACAGGATATGATCATCAAAACTTACATTTAGATAAGATTCACCCATTATAACCTTACATTTGGTTGTGCTTGAACCATTGAAAAACTACATTTTGAAAGGATATGACCATCAAAACTTACATTTAGATAAGATTCATCCATTGAACACTTACATTTGGTTGTGCTTTAACCATTGAAAAACTACATTTGGATAGGATATGTCCATAAAAACTTACATTTAGATAAGATATACCCATTGAAAACTTACATTTGGTTGTGCTTTAACCATTGAAAAACTACATTTGGATAGGATATGACCATCAAAACTTACATTTAGATAAGATATACCCATTGAAAACTTACATTTGGATGGGCAGTAACCATTGAAAAACTACATTTGGATATAATATAACTTTGATAAAACTTACAAAGCGATACGATAAAATCATCGAAAACTTGCATTTGATTATTGTATAACAATTTGTATCGTACATTTCGATATTACATATTTACTGGAACTTACATTTGGATAAGATACAAACCATCGAAAACTTACATTTGGATATGATATAACCATTGAGTAGCAATGTATGGATATTGCAGAGAGTATATTCTTTCTATCATTTGGATTTATTATTTTATGATTTAAAAGAACTAGATTAACTATTAAACGTACTGTAGAAACGTAATGTCTGATCAAGAATGATTGAGAGATCCATGATTTCTCTTTTTAAAAAAATGGGATTTTCAATTGTGTTTACAAATGAATTTTAGCTGTTTGATAAAATTAGAAATTTCATGATCTCTTCCCCTTTGATATTCTTAAGGAAAATTTAATAATTAAGATTTTCCATTCTATAAATCCATTTTCCTAATGCGTAATATATAATTGTGTAATGCTTGAGTTTCAGGTTCACTTAGATCTTAGTAAAATGTAAAAAGATTTTAATGAATGAATTTTCTTGGTAAATTCTTGTTTTGAAAAATTAATTTTCTTGATTCTCTATTATTCTTACAATTCATGCCTTGAGCTGAAAACATTAGAATTGTGAATATCGAGATCAATCCTTGATCTTATCTTTTAATTAATATCAAGATTAATTTAATCTTTAGTTTTTATTCAGAAACTGTTCAAAATTCAACTAATCAGAGGGCATTTGGAGGAACCCGAAAAGCCAATCAGATTCAGAGCCGAGAAATTTAAATTTTTTGGCGCACATTCAATTAGAGAATTCTCATTGTTCAGAACAAAGTAGGGATATCCAAAAAGAGAGATTAAAGCGGATTAAGCAGAAACCAAAAATGTCCACAGTGGATATTCAGATTAAGCGATCGGGATTAAAGGTTTCTAATCATAAAGTTTTCAGCTCTGTACATTTTATGTTTTTTAAAATTTTCATTTTTCAATAACTGCAACGTTCTACTTACAAGTTGGCCCCTTGTATACATCCGAGCAAACTAAAAAGTATTGATTTTTTTTAAATTCAAATATTTATTCATAAAATCTACTTACTGAGGTTACTGTCTATCTCGAAACTCTAGAATATATCCAATTCATTACAAGAATAGTAAAATTTAAATATTTGAAGCCGAATATTTAACAGAAATTCTTTGTTTTCCATGTTTGACAGTAATAATAATGGCAGCATAAAAGTGATTTCATTTTCTTAGGTTTTAGGAGTTGTGCACTCTGCAGCCATCACAAAATCATTTTTTTAAATCTTTTTTTCTAAAGTATGTTCTGGTGTTCTGGCTGTAAACTGGATATCAAAAGGGGGTAGACAGAGAGATATTTTTGTAAATACTGATTAAAATGACATGATATTCTAAACTATTATTGACTGAACCCAAGATATTGGTTAATGTTGTTTTTGTCAATTTCCGCGATTCAGGGGCGTAGAAATAGGACTTTAAATGTGTACAACGTGTGTATATTCTTTATACACCAGTATTTTTAAACCTAGTTTTTCCGTAGCCTTTTTCTATGAAAGTTTGAATATTTAACATTTCTTCTTCCAAAAACGAAACAAATAGTTTTATGATGCCATTTTCTTTGGTCATAATGTGGTACTTCAAAAAACAATTAACATTTGAAAATATAAGCATCGCCCTCATCACTTTTTTATATTGTCCATGTCAAAGAAGTTTGAGGAAATGTGCCGAAATCATTTTGGATTTATGGTACTTATAAAGGATGAGACTTTATTTGCCGACCTGAACATTTTTAATATGACGATCTGAAGTTTAAATTTAATTAAATAAATTCCATGCAGTCGTCTCTGAAGTTTCATCCTTTCTAGCTTAATATTTAATTTTGCAATAAATTCAAATTTATTCAAACAAAAAAAAAACTTGAATTTTGTCTATGCAGTTCTCTGTTACAAATATACTGCCTGAGAATGTAAGGGAATGTCGTGAAAAACATATATTTCAAGAATTGATATGAATTTTCCTCATATCCTTGACCAAATCCACTTGGGAAATTACGGTTCAAGTCAACCCCGAGACATTCATCCGGATTTATTTTACAACCTAAAGAAAATAGTTATTGGATTATAAATATAAATTTATGGTTAAAGGGACTGTAAGCAAAGATGGCAATGTCAGATACACGTAATAACTGAAATGATAAATATGTTATGTAATGGGGAATGATCAATGTCGCCTATTTGTGCATAATTTTGCATATTTTTCTTTTTTCTTTTGTAAAACTATATATTCAAAAATTTATTTTAACAAATTTAAACTACGCCATTTATATATGTATTTATATCTTTGTGTGTGAATAAATCTGTATAATAATATAATAATATACAACGGTACCCTTAAAACCTTTATCTGATCAAAAATGTGGATAATATTGTCATTGTTCTAGGTTTAAAAATATTAAATTATGATAATTCCTTATATAAGTTTTTCTGCAGTAGAAATGCGCAATTAACTTTTGTAGGGAACCCACGATTAAAAAAAATTCTAAACATTGATATTTATCTCTAACTTGAGCAGACAAAGACTTTTGTTTAATGTTGTGAATCGGGCATTGCTATATTTTAATGGAGAGTCAACTAGAATCTTAAATGACGCCATTTATCAAGTTGCATGTCTGATTCACAACGTTGGTACCAGCCAACCTTTGTCTGCACAATTAACTATTTATAAACGTATCTTTGGGTCCGTGCTGCTCAGACAATAAATAAAATTATCAGAACTCATCACTTTGTATTATAGAAAACGATGATATCTTTCTCATAATTACTCAGATGGATGTTTAAGGTATCATTGTGAATCGTAAAAGTACATACAAATGAAGGCCACTTAATATCACGTCAATGTTCCCTTTAGGAAAGTGCTGATTATTTATTATATTTATTAAGAAAAGGGGTTATAATCCTTAACTAACAAATTATGAACAGTTAGTGGTAATTTTATTTTTATCCGATAATGATAATAATCAAGACTCTGTGATATAAAACGGTTCATCCGATACATCCAATTGAAGTTTTTAACCTACTTTTAAGACATCCTCTGTTGAGTTTCATATCATAACCAGACATTAAGTTGAGAGGCCGTCCATTTTTCCTCTGAAGCCGGTTATCTGTTTAAATAATTTCTAAATATTTTATGAAACTATTGTGTAAACACTTCTTTTTTAATCCCAGAATAGACGTGCTATAAATTATTTATTGTTAAATAAGCTGGATATTATAGTACTGGTCTATAAAGTAATCATCGTGTTATAATGTTAAATATCAGTATATTATGCACGGTGCCATAGAGTATGTTCCCGGATGTTCTGAAAATCTTAAAAATATTTTTTTTTAAATGTTTTTAATTTAAATGCTATTTAAAGGAGCATATTATCTTTGCATATAGACAATACCACACACATTTCATAAAAATAATTATAACACTATTATTTTGACACGACGTGTTATAAAGTGATAAAGAGAAAATTTCTGTCTCATAACTTTATTGCACTGCAAACCAAAATAATAGCAGTCATTTCATATTAGATACTTTCTAGAATTTACCATAATGCGATTTATTATATCCATCTGGATTCATCATGGGAGCAATTTGCCATTGGTAATCAAGAACAGGGTGCTAGAATACGAATTAATGAATAAATGAATGAATTAATCAATTTTCTTTTAAGATTTTTTTAGATCTTAATTTTAATTTTTTAACCTCAAATGGAGTCCGTCTCACCGTTTCGAAAACAATTACAAGTTTCTAAATATTAAAAAATTAACATTTCTATTGCAACAATATCTAATTGCATATTAAGTGTAGTAAAATACATAAACTATGAACAGTTTTAATATCTTTTTTTGGCCGGACAGAGCGTTAAAGCAATCATTTTAATGAGACTAAAAGTATTTAAAAAATTACTAATCATAAAAGTTAAATGAAGTAAATTTCACTTGCGTACTTTTTTCTGTAGGAAAATTTTAAAAGTTCGTAAAATACAAGGGAGTAATGCAAGGAAAGTTAATTGCGGTCGTGTATACTCTGCGTACACATTGAAACCAGTTCTCTTTGGGCGGAATTTGTAAACAATAATGGATTCATCAGTGTTCGTTTAGTATCCGAGGAGGTTAAAAGCATTAGATTTTGATAATTTTGATAATTCACATAATAGTTTCCTATGACCAGAATATTTCATTGATAATTTTATGTGAAAGATGGATCCCATGTCAGGCTTCGACATCCATCTTGTGTTTACATTACCGCCCAGTGATAGTACACTGCAGTACAAAAGATGCGTACACCTCTGAAATAGCTTTCCTTGCATTAAATCCTTGAATGTATTCTAATCTAACTCCGTAGTGCATGATGATCCGAAGGAATTGGATAAAATCTAAAACTCTCTGATTTCATACTCTGCAGGTTCTGTAGACAATCAGTTTAGAACAGTGATCAGAACTCAGAAAGGAATTGAGTTTTAGACTCAGATTTTCTAATCCCTATATCTTTGCAACCTGAAGGTCTAAACCTTAGATATTTCAAAGCTAGATCATTTGATCTAACAGAATTCATAGTTTGACATTGGATTGCAAAGATTTAGGGGTTTGAAAATCAGAGTTTGTGGCAAAAACTCAGAATTACTTTGTTGTGAATCTCGGGATTAAGCATTTATCTCCATATTATGTAGATCTACGGATTAACTTCCCCTTTGATATCCCATGATGGTCATACCCTGCAGGGATAGATTTAACTGAGGGGAGGGATCAAGCATTCATCCTCAAATTTAAAACTTCCCTTATTGGATATCAAGATGAAGCATTCAAGAATAACAAAAGTTTTCATCTAAGTTTCCACCTGGATAATATACAAACACGTGGCGGGGGAAATCCATTCCCGTGCATGCATTCCACAATCAAAAAACAAAATAGGATCTAGAAGTAAAAATATAAAATAGGATCTATAGAAGTAAAAATATAAAATAGGATCTAGAAATAAAAATATAAAATATAGGATCTAGAAATGAAAATATGAAATAGGATCTAGAAATAAAAATGAAAAATAAGATCTACAAATAAAAATATAAAATAGAATCTAGAAATAAAAATACAACTAGGAACTAGAAATAAAAATAGAAAATAGGATCTAGAAATAAAAATACAAAATAGGATCTAACAAAAAATTTGAAGTAGGATCTAAAAATATAAAATACAAAATTGGATCTAGGAATAAAGATACAAAATAGGATCTAGAAATAAAAATTCAAAATAGGATCTAGAAATAAAAATACAAAATAGGATCTAGAAGTAAAAATACAAAATTGGATCTAGAAATAAAAATACAGAATAGGATGCAGAAATACAAATATAAATAGGATCTAGAAATAAAAATACAGAATAGGATGTAGAAATACAAATATAAATAGGATCTAGAAATAAAAATACAGAATAGGATCTACAAATAAAAATACAAAATTTAAATTTCCCCCTCCCGGTCCCCCCCCACATTTTTGGAAAATGTTAAAAGCCTCCTTCCTAGATACGAAATTTCAAAAAAGGATTAAAAAATAAAAATGCTAGAATTAGTATACCTACTTGAAGTGTTGCCAATGATCACCACAAAAATATCATTTTCATAATCTTTCCCTGGGATAAACGTATCCCCAATTTTCTGCATGTAATTAGAACTTTTTAATTGAAAATAAATTATTTAATTCGGAAATTTTTTGATAAGCCAAATTTTCGATAAAAATATTACTTTAAGTTCCATGGATTTGGGAGCCAATTTAGAAAGTTTGTGCAGAAAACCATACGTTTCTTGCAAATTCAAAAATCTGAATGAAAATTTATATATATGTATACATTTTTAAAACTAAATAAATAGACAAAAATCATACTTTTTTGAATTCAAGAGACGTAAGTTTGGTTTGCTAAATCTTGCATCTAAAATAAAGAGTTGGAAATATAGAAACAATAGGCTTTACGACCAATTTCCTATTAACTATTTTAGTTTTTAACTGGACACAACCATCCGAGCAAATTGTCAATTTTCAGACAGAAAATAATATACTATAATCGATTTTTAGATAAAAGTGACATAATTGGCACAAGATTAAAAATGCCATGTCCGATTGACAAGGGTACTTCAAATATTTGTGTCTGATCATGAATGAATGAGACATCATTGGTTTTCTGGTTGAATGTTTTTAAACTGTGGTTTCTTTGAAACAGTGACATGCGGATTTGTGCAGGAGAGACAATGTAAAAATTCTAAGAACTTATCACATTTCTAGATGAAAAAACGACGATATCCTCATTGCTACTTAAATAAAGGTTTAAAGAGTATTATTGTAAATCGGATATAGCACTCTATAAAAACAGAGTCTCATAACTTTACATCAACAGTCGCTTAAAGCTTAGATTTGTAAAAACTACGAAATTACCGAATATTGTGAATTCCTTAAACAAACAAACCTATCTTTTCCAGAAGAAGAATAAAGAGCAGAACCATTTTCAACATTTTTATCAAACCGATTAAAATATCTAAATATTGAAATATGTCATAACGCCATGCAATATCTAGCTTCTCGTTCTTTCTTCTGATGATGATGTCAAAACAACATCGAGTTCTACATTCTACAATTAGAAAACACTTTTAGCCTTCTATATTTTTAGAAAGTCACTGTACGTTGTATATTTATTTTTGCGAATTGTAGAAATTGTATTTTATTGTTTTAATTTCTGATTAAACAAAAAGGCAATTAAAGTTATTTAAACAGTCTTTGCATATTTTATTTCTTTTGATCCAAAGTTTTAATTTATTCTGATTCTTTTCCTGTCAAACGTCATATGTCAAATGTCAAATGTCAAATGTCATATTGTAAGAATATGTCAAATTTTAATGATTAGATGCTCTGATATAATTGAAAATAGCATAACGATGAAGTAGTCCATGATACTCATACACCAACCTGGAAACAAAGTCGAATTTTTGTAGTTTTACAGATACGACGTTGCGAACTTGTAACCTTCGTAGTTGATTTTTACCAAGAGTGAGAAAAGAAAATTTGTTTGGTTATGTCATAACTTATTAACAATAAAGCTCGGGAATAGTTATAATCTTAAAAGGCATGAACATTCTCGATAAAGAGAACATTTCTGTCCCAAAACTGTATAGCACTGCGAATCAAAATAAAAGTGTTATAGGTAATTTTTTAAAATGTTTGTGTACTTGTCTTCATGCAATGGTTATTTTTACGTAAAATAAGTTTTCCAACGAAGCAGTTTTAAATTTAAAGTTAATTTTATTTATATTGAAATTTTTTTTAGAAAGGAATTGAGTCTTTGGAACAAATCTCAATTTTCAAACACCTATATATCTACAACCAAATTATGTAAACCTTAGATATTTCAAACTTTGATTATTTGATATAACAGAAGTGAAAATTTGAAATATCTAAGGTCTGCAATATTGGGTTCTTCAGAAATAGGGATTTAAGAACCAGAGTTTGTGGCAAAGACTCAATTCCTTTCCTATTTTTTGGAGAAAATCCGGGAACCAATCGGAACTTTATAGCACGGTGATGTATTTATATATACAGCTAATTTTACATTATAGACGATGATTAATTTATAGCACGTTCAAATAAAATTCACCATAAAGTGAGTATGAATGATAAAGTACACAATGGTTTCATAAAACTTAAAAAAATACTTTTTCGGAAAAGGGAGGAATGTTTTGAAATGTGCCGGAATCACTTGATATTTTCTCCTAATTTTACGACATACTAGGAGTAAAGGTATATTAGAACTGAATATAATTAGAACCTGGATACGAAGCTATATAAAATTAAATAAAGAATCATATTTAATCGAGAAACTGAATAAATACTTGAAAACTGAAGTTTACAATTAATATTTAGTTTAAAAGATGTAAAAATATTATTACAATAATAATATGGATTTTATAAAATATTTAAATGATCTGGTTTAAGTTAAAACAAACTACTTTTTCTTTTTATTATAAAGGGATTGTTCATTAGATTTAATAAAGGGAGGCACTATGAAACTTTATAGTTTTGCAACCTAATGGTGTAAATCTGATATATTTCAGACGTTTTGTTCGACATCATCCTTATTTCTTAAACTGAATAAATGAAATAAATGTTTCCGAAATAATAAATTAGATTTTATTACTCTTCTCTCTTTCGATCTTCTCTACAGTTAAGAAAGACAAAAACCATCATGACTCACACCTTAAATAAATCCCCTCCTATCCACCGGAACCCCCCCCCCCCCCTAATTGTATCCTCTGCCGTAAGCCTGGAATGTCGTCATATTTCTAACCTGTCTTAATAAGTATATTCTGCAATATAACGTAACCTCCATTCCTACACTATCTATCTATCTTCAGCATCCAGTATCCTCACTAACCTCCTAACTAACCTCACTATCCTCTGCTTTCCAATATCGATCCTCAGCAGTTCGCTGGAGGTCTTCACAGTACACGTTCATATACAGATATACAGGTAGAAATATACAGATATACAGGTAGATATATACAGATATACAGGTAGACATATACATATATACAGATATACAGGTACATACAGATACACAGATATACAGGTAGAAATATACGGATATACAGGTAGATATATACAGATATACAGATATACAGGTAGATATATACAGATATACAGATACACAGGGAGATATATATAGATATACAGATATACAGGTAGATATATACGGATATACAGGTAGATATATACAGATATAAAGGTAGATATATATACAGATATACAGATATACAGGTAGATATATACAGATATACAGGTAGATATATACAGATATACAGGTAGATATATACGGATATACAGGTAGATATATACAGATATAAAGGTAGATATATACGGATATACAAGTAGATATATACAGATATACAGGAAGATATATACAGATATACAGGTAGATATATACAGATATACAGGTAGAAATATATACAGATATACAGGTAGATTATACAGATATACAGGAAGATATATTTAAATATAGAGATATACAGGTAGATATTTACAGATATACAGATATACAGGTATATATATACAGAAATACAGATATACAAATATACAGAAATGCAGGTAGATATATACAGATATTTACGGATATACAGGTAGATATTTACATATATACAGATATACAGACATACATAAGATATGCAGGTAGATATAAATATACAGATATACAGGTAGATATTTACAGACATACAGATATACAGATGGGTATATACAGATATTTACAGATATACAAGTAGATATATACAGATATTTACAGATATACAGGTAGATATATACAGATATTTACAGATATACAGGTAGATATATACAGATATACAGTCTCTTGGAGCTAGGTGCGTACTTTAAAAGATTTTCCTTAGAAAAAAGTTCTGTGAATATACAAAGTGTCGAAGAGTATTTAAAATATTTCAAGATAAACAGAAAAATATTAATTCTAAACACTTTTAGGAGTTGGAGATGAGCACCTATTCCCGGCGGGAAGAGATTCCTCCTGGATACGGAGCTGGACATAGTCAGGTTCCTCCTAGATATGATGGACGGGGAGACTCTCCTCCAGTATACGGAGGTGTTCATTATCCGTCCTTTCCTATCCTAGATCCTACCAGAGTTCGTGGACTAGCTCCAGGACTTGTAGATCCTAGACTAGTAGATCCTCGGCTAGTAGATCCCCGACTTGTAGATCCTCGACTTGTAGATCCTCGACTTGTAGATCCTCGACTACTTGGAGGAGGACGTGGACAGCCTCCAGTTCGACCTCGTAGTGCTCGACGACGACAAGTAGAAGAGGTCGAAGACAACGAGGAAACACTTCATTAAACAAAATATCTTCCATATCTACAAACTTTTTATTCAAAGTGGATTCAAGAAAAAATTTAAATTTAAATTTCAAAATTGTAACCTTCTCTTTCAACCTAAAATAGATCACTGTAAACCAAACATTTTCCTATTTGCCTTCTTATACTTGATAAAACATTTTTGTAGAAAGCAACTTTGTTTTAAAGATTTTTTAAATCTTTTAGTGAAGTGTTTTTGAAGGCTGATGGTGGATATGGATTTGGTAGAGGGAAAACTATAGTTGTCTTTGCTATAATGGTAATAATAATAATGATAATAATAATAATAATAATAATAGTAATAATAATAATAATAATGATAATAATAATGATAATAATAATAATAATAATAATGATAATTAATAATAACAATAATAATAATAATAATAATAATAATAATAATAATAATAATTATAATAGTAATAATAATAATAATGATAATAGTAATAATAATAATGATTCAGTTCACAAGAAAAACTGTTGTTTAAAATTCTAAAAAATTGAAAAATGAAGGAAAAATTACGATGGATACTTTTGCATGAGTCAAGAGACCAAATAAAGCGCAAAATAAAAAAATGTTGATGTTATTATTCAGGTTGGTTGCTTTGCTGTTCTCTGGCCTAAAATATTCTATCCTATGCTGTTTGGAGGAACACCAGCAGATAATGCTATCTATGATGAAGGTTAATACATATTTCAAAATAAAACCTAAAGGTTGTAAAAAAACCTTATCCCGAGAAAAGCAAATCTTAAACGAGGAACATACTTATGTTAAGGACTTCTTATTAATACACTCAAGTGTGTATCAATTTACACTTAAAGTGGCTGACATCGTAATTTCAAGTGACCTACCATTGCAAAGACGACAATAACCTTAAAACTATGTCTGCTCAAGCATGAATTAGATACCAATGCTTATACATTAAGAAACTGATTATTTTCAATTGTGGGTTCTCTACAATTGATATTTAGGCACTTCTACTGCAGGAAAACATAAAGGAATTGTCAGAATTAAACAAGTACTTTTAATCCTAAAGAACGACAATATCTTCCATATTATTGATCGAGAAAGATATTAAGGGTACTATTGTCAACAAAGTATTGCATGGATTGTCACTTGAAATTACGCTTACAGTCCCTTTAATAAAAAAGAAACAAATTCAATAGACAGTTTTTTCCAAGTTTAAAAAGTGTTTGAAACGTTACAAACAAAGTAAACTGGTTAAAGAAGCAAAAAATTCACATATGTTTTATTATCCATTTGTCAAGGAACTGCATGTACACTTACCGCAATCTCTTTATATTTGCAACTTGATTGTGTAAACCTTTGATATTTCATACTATTTGACTATTCAAACTGACATAACTTAGGCTCTAGTACAAAAGGTAGAAAGAATTACAAAAGGTAGAATTACAAAAGGTAGAGTTACAAAAGGTAGAATTACAAAAGGTAGAATTACAAAAGGTAGAACGAGCACTGCGGCTAGGATGGGCTGAGTGCTGTGACCTTTTAAATGTTGAATGTTTCTCCCCTTGTTTTGGGCCAGGTTAGGCTAAGGCAATTTCTTGGACAAGCGCCGCGGCCAGAACAGACAATTACAGTTTCAAAATCTATATATAAATTTGGCTTGTCTGTCTGTCTGTTTGTCTGTTTGTTTGTTTGTATCCAATAAACGTCAAAACGGCTGAACCGATCGGGGCCCAATTTTTTTGTGGAACATCTAGGGACCCCAGGGAAGGTTTATGAAAAATCAAAATTTTAAATATTTGTCTCCATCCACATTCGATCGTCATTAAATTTTTGAAAATTTTGAAAATCCACGAATTTTTTTGTGAAAATCCGCGAATTATTTTTGTTTTGTTTTACGATGTACACAAAGAGAACATGTTCACAATTAATTTAGAAGATGGGCGCGAAGTGCCCTATAAGGGCTAGTTTAAATTTAATTGCTGAATAAGAAGCGTGAAAAAGTAAGCTAAAAACAGTTAAGAGGCCGCAGCGCTCGGCCCAGAAATGGTCTTAACCTAACCTATCGGAACATGATCTAACATTTTTGTAGGTGACCAAATGCTCCATGCTGAATTCAAACGAGAAATGCCGTCTTGGGAATTTCTCAAAAAAGTTTCCTCAATTTTCTGCAAACATTGGAAAATTTTCTTGATTCTCAAAAATTGGAAAATTCGACCTTTGGAACGTTCTACCTTATGTAATTCTACTTTTTGACCGTTCTTGCGTTCTACCTTCTGAATATTCTACCTTTCGTCTTTCTACCTTTTGTAATTCTACCTAGTGTAATTCTACTTTTTGTAATTCTACCATATTCATCATTTATATTTGTCTAAAGCAAAATTACATTAAACAATATAAAAGTTTACAATTTAATACTAATACTCTTTTCGATATCGCATTTTATGATTGACAGGGTTTGCCAAAAAACAGGTTCCATGCAAGACTTTTAGCATGAGTATAGTTTAGCTATTCAGAGGTGGTTTTCAGAAATGGAGTTTCTTGGTCCCAGTCTAGTGTTTTTCGTTTTCTAAAAATGTGGTATGATGACAGCACTGCATGGCTTGATAGATTTTCGCACATTGCTTTGAAACCAACACTGGGTTTGCAGAACTTATGCAGTTTCTTTAGATTTGCTTTATTTGATGGTGAGATATATCCTCTTGAGCCGATTTCAAAAGGGTGAACAGACACATCCGTAGTTGTTATATCTGTGATAAAATGTTCATACTTTTTCATCTTTTGAGCGTTAGCATTTATTATATTTGTTTCCACTGGGACAGTAAGCTCCAAAATATCCATCTTTTCCTCCATTCTAGCTGGTTTCTGTGTGGTCACAAGGAGGTTGGGATGAACAGTACCTGCCCCTGGAAGGGTATTGGACGGGATGTCGGCATACATAAAAATTCGGTCAATATCAATTAATCCAGTGATATATTTAATAAGATTGTTGTGCCTCCAAGTATATCTTTTTTGGTGTAGTGCAACCTTGCAGCCATTCAAAATATGGTTTGTAGTTTCTTGTCTTCTACTTTGCAATTCAGCGCCTGCCTGTAGACATAGTTTACAGAGATCTGATGCAGATTTTCCCCATTGTAGAAGGTTAGTTTGTGTTGGCAGGGTGTCCAAATAGGAGTTGAGTAGAAATTTCAGTGTACCTTTCTTCAGATTGAACATGTAAGATTTCCAGATCATGTCAGATTTTTCAAGCATTGCCAGGCAGAGAAAATGTCCTTGTTTTATGAGTGTTTCTGTATGTTCTCTCCAGAAAGTTTAATTTTCATAAGGTACTTTTCACAGACAAATGTTTAATGTCTTGTAGCTTTGATGTTTGGAAGCTTGGTCGCTCAGGCATTTCTGCTTAAGCATAGTTCTCTAATGTGGCTTGTTGAAACATTTTTTTTTCTGCATAGTCTGTGATGGAAATTTTGCGGAGCCAATTTTTTTCCCTGTCTAATTTAGATTGTAAGGCAGAGTTAACTGTACATCGCCCAGTATTCTTATCCTAGTGTATGCTTGCGTCATAGTTGTTTTGTACAGGGTGGATATTGAAGTAATGTCTAGGCCAGGTTTCAAGTGTAGAGCAGCATTTGTTGCACAGGGTGGTAATCAAGTGCATTTTTCCACAAAGGAATTGCGTTTTTGCCACAAGCTTTGATTTTCTAATTGCAATATCGTTGTAACCCAATGTCGTAGACCTTTAATATTTCAAACTATGAATGCTATTAGATCAAATAATGCAAGTTTGAAATATCAAAGTTTTACTCATAAGGTTGCAAAGATAAAGGTTTTACAAAAACTGAACTTGAGGCAAAGACTCAATTCCTTTATCAGTGAATGTATCTAATTTCTTCAGCTGGCTTTCTGATAATATATGAACAGTGAGCAGAAATCGAATAGAAGGAATGAAATAATGTTTGTAGATCCAGACTTTATATTCATCCCGAATAAGAAGTGCATTAATGTTTATTAGTTTTTTTTTTTCAAATTCACTCTTGATGTAATCGAACGCATCATTCTAGTTTACCAGTAGGAAACAGAAGTTTGCCAAGGAATTTCTGCTCTACCTTTTGTACTGGAGCCAGAATTCATAGTTTTACACAGTAAAGGTCCTTCACAACAGGTTGCAAATATTTAGGGATTACAAAATTAGAATTTGTGGCGAGTACGTTCAGTTCCTTTCTTTTCAGTTCTTAAATAAAGAGCCAAATATTTTATTTAAAAATGTTTCAAACTTTACCATTACATTAATAATTCAATCCAGACAGTGTAAATATTTTTTCAAAAAGTTTTACTTCCCGCGTTATGCATATTTATATAATTTATATTTTGAATTTCACAAATTATTTAATTTTAGTAGTATAATATTAGACTTTTCATGGAAAATTAATTTCCATGATTTCCTTGAATCTTACCTCTCTGGTTTAGAATTGAAAGAATGAAAAAGTGAACGAAAAGTGGTCGATGTTAAATATTAAATTACATCAAATATTAAATTATAAATTTTAATTTTCTTTTGATGTCAGATTAAAACAAAACGTTTTTTGAGAGCAGGAATAGTTAATTTGAATTATACTATTCTCTCTTTTCAATTTTCTAAATTTATTCTTTCAATATTAAAACCTTATATTGTTATTTTATTGGAGGGTAATTATTTTATATTGCTAATTTGATATCGTAAACCAATATCTTTATCCTTCGCTTGGCATTTTTCAGAATCGTTTAAAAAGGGACTGTAAGCGTAATTTCAAGTAACCCACCCTGCTAGGGGGGCAATTCCTGATTTATAACCGTCTGGTCATCGAGTACAGAGATCACGGTGTATTAATCTATCGAAATGCGTTTAAATTCCTGTAAAAGGCGGTGTACGCTGCGCACAGTACAAACACAATTGAATCAGCTTATCTGTTCCTTGAAATTACTAAACATTCAAAGTTAAAGCGATTTTCAAAATTTGAAAGAAAAAATATATTTTCTTAATATTAATATTTGTTTAATATAAAACAAATTAAAGCGTGTCTCAAGATTGATAAGGATCAAATAGATTGTCAAGTACACTTGATAATTAATAAGTACTTGATAATCTATTGGATAAGGATCATTCCGACAACCTTGATCAATCATATATTTAAAGGGCACTGGTGTGAATCTGACACGTCAGTATCAAAATGGAGGGTATCTTTAAAATACTGCCTATTAAAGTACCTTTAAAAAATATTTTTATTTTCATGATCATATATATAAATGTTGAAATTTGTCAACATTAACAAATATCTGTGATTTATTGAAACCAATACATCTTATTACAAACATCACATACAATACATAATTCAGCTCTAGCGAGGTTGCCGTGTTGTTTACAAAGTAGTTCATCTTTACACCACAAGATGGAGTTAAACGCAAGATCAAATATTCTTCTCAAAAAAGAGTGTAAGAGTGTTCAAGACTGAGAATTGTTTGAAGATAAAGCTAGAATATTATAGCTTCAAACGTATGTTAGATTTAGAATCTTAGAATAGTCACAAAACTAACAATATAACAGCACTTTTGACCCCAGGGCCTTCATTTGAGACAATGGCTACTATATATTCTTTAAAATTATATTTTTTAAGCAAAACAATTTTCAATAAATAATCAAAGGAATTAAGCCAAAAACTCTAATTTTCTAAACGCTTTTTCTTTGGAACCAAATGTTGCAGACCTTAGATATTTCAAACTATGAACTCTGTTAGATCAAATAATCTGAGTTTGAAATATCAAAGGTTTACAATATCGAGTTCTAAAGATATTGAAGTTTAAATATTTGATTTTGTTCCAAAGACTCAATTCCTTTCTCAAACTTCGACATTAACCTCAAACTGTGACTATTCGATCCAGGAGAATTTAAAGATTGAATTATCGAAAGACTGCAACATAATGATTGCAAGGATATAAAGTTAGAAGAATAGTGTCCTTTGCTTAAAGACTATTATTTTTAGAACAAACTGTCATGGAATCTTGAATATTGTGCTCCAGAATTTTATCAATAAACTACTAACACAATATAGAAAATTTGCTTACATGTGTCAGTCAAAATTTTCAAGAGAAGAATTTTAATCAGAAATGACAGAACACGGAGATTCTTTTTTGTGTGTGAAAAATGTGTAGTTTTAAACATGGTTTGAATATAAATATAGAAAATTTGAAAATATCTGTAAATATCGACAATCTCGTAAGAATTCTAAATGTCTTATAAAATCTTAATGGACTTTCCATTATGTTCTTTATAAAACATAAATCAATTTTATGAAATCTCTACATTTTCTTAAAGAATAAATTATGAAAAAATTAGTTAAAAAGGATGTGAACTCTTATTTTTTTTATTTTAACCTAAATGTTTGCAACGATTTTTAGAAAATGTGAAAGATTAGAGATAGTTGAGAGAAATCAGTTTCTTTTCCTTCTAAATTTTTTTTCTAACAATTTTAAATAATGTTTTTTCTTCTTAGGTATCTAAAATAAAGAACACTATTTTCAAAGAAGTTATACTTGCCATTTTTTCCACCTATAATTGTTCAACCTGATGGAAGAAAACATTTCAACTTTTAGAAATACATTTAAAGCTATATTCTGAATCTATCTAACTTTTTAGACCTTTTTTTGATTAATAAAATATCTTAAAATTAATTTTAAAAAGTGATTTTTGGAAGAAAAAAATGTTCTCTCTTAGTTCAAGAGCGTCCTGGTCCCGGGTTTCCTAAATCTGGTCCTATCCACGCCGCTATGCAGGAGAGAGGTAGACTAGGAGCTCATCCTGGTACCGGTCCAACGGCGGGCATACCGCCGCCACCGCCGGTCAGAACCGTCGAGAAGGAATGGAGAGATAGGGTAATTTGTTTTACTAAAAATTGAAGCTCTTGCTAAATGAGTTGTTAACTTTGAACCAAACAGTTACTGAAAACACGTATTGGGAACATTAAAAGCATGTTACCGACTTATTAAGCCTCTAACCTTGGTCACATTTTCCGATTCAAGAATTACACGCCTTTGAGTCTTTGCCACAAACTCAAATATTATAGTCCCGTATTTTTGTGCAATCCATGATGTATACAAGATCCAATCCAATATGCTGTGGGACACCCTTTATTATATGACAAAGTTTATGTACTGTATTGTTTAGGGTGGACCCATGCCTGGTATGAGACCAAATATGCCAGGGCTAGGTGTACAAGCACAACAACCTAAGGTAACAGACGTTTCTTCTTGTTTTTAATTTTTAGTTAGTTCGTCGGGCTGTTCAGATCCAATATAAACCAACTAAAACCAATCGGTTAGTTTCTTTATTGACATCAGGGACTAAATTTTATGAATGTGAGAAAGGCTGAACTACGTTGAATTAAACCACTTCTATTTAGCTTGACCCGGTGCACAAGAGAACTGGTTAAACCAGCGGTATGTGGTTCAAATACTTCTCGCTATTTATAAAATCGAGGCCCTGTGTAGGTTTATAATTGGTCAGATTAAAAAGTTTACCCCCAAAATTTATTTGAATGTGTTAGGTTCTGCTTAAAATTAAAAAATGTATTAAAATCGTGAAATTATCTGTTTTTACTAGGGTGGAGGATCTATGGGCGTGATAATGCCTATTTACACTGTAGGAATCATCATTTTCTTCATGTATACAACAATGAAGGTAAACCCTTTTAGGGACTGTGAGCGCAGGGGCGTACGAGAGCATTTGTTTGGGAGGAGGGGGGGGACATTTTGTCCACTGGACTCATCAGACACTCCATCTTAATACTGCAGGTGTAAGTTTCAAGCTAGGGGTGAAAATTAGGTTTGGAAACGTTTCTTTAAAAATATCTATATTTTCATAGGAACGATACATATTGTATTATAGATAATCAAAGATATATTTAAACTGAAGGCAGTATTGATTAAAGCTTTTTTAGTTAAGGGCAAAAGTGAGATTTTAAGGTATTTTTTAAATGGGCGCCCTTCCCTTAAGGGGGGCACGCAAAAGGTGGGTGCAAGGTGCACGGCCCCCTCCCCCCTCGTACGCCTTTGTGTAAGCCTAATTTAATGTTACCCTCCATACAAAGATCACAATGCCCGATTCACAACGGTACTATTAAAAGCTTTGACTAGCTGATAAAGTATGAATTAGATATCAATGATTATGATGTTGTAAACAAATAATTTTCAATTGTGGTATCTATAGAAAGCATTTGGGAATTATGAGATATAAAAACTTTTAAACATACAAACAACGACAATATCTTTCACATTATTGCCCAGGTAAAGGTTTTATGAATGCCGCTGTGAATCGGGCATTGCCATCTTTGCATGGAGGGTCAATGGAAATTGCGCTCACAGTCCCTTTCACAAAATTAAATATTGTTTTTTAATTTGTGGAAAAGTTTCCTAACAAACCCCAAAAGTTTTAAACACAAAGTTTGGTTTGTCAACCCAACTTGAAATTAAACAATAAAGAAAACGGAGAGAAATGCACAGCGTTTTTTTCTTAGGGAGTTGCGACATTTTGGCTAAAAATGTTTTCTTTTGTCAATTCATCATTTTTTGTCATAAGATGATTTTCTGTAAATACCTATTGTAGATAATGTTCAAGAATAATAGTGAGGATGAGGAGAATCAACTAATCTATTTGTAGATAATGTTCAAGAATAAGAATAAGAATGAGGAGAATAAACTAATATATTTGTAGATAATGTTCAAGAATAAGAATGAGGATGAGGATGAAGAAGAGGAGAGTACTGAACCTAATCCTAAACTGCATGAGGAACCATATTCCAACTCTAGGTATCAACTGTTCTAATAAATACAGGGTTATCCAAAAAGAATAAGACTGATTTGTTCTTTTGTAACATAAATTTGTTCCTTAGACCTCTACTCACTTTTTAATCGTGAATTTAAGGTCGTCTTTGAATTCCACCATTTAAGGGTTACCCTGCATGCGCACTACACCTACCGCATCTAAATAATTCATTTGTTTCATTGTATTTTATTTACAGGGATTAGATTTCCACATATTCTGATGATATTTACGTAATCGACAATTTCAACAGATTTAAGGCTCTTTTAAAATGACAAAAATAATGAAAGTCTTTAAAAATCCTTGCAGTATTTTTTAGACAGGTTTAATCGAATTACCTGAAAAAAGTCATTTTATAGTTCAAGTTGCATCGAAGCTTAAAACCTAGTGAAAGATAATGTTTAACAATCCATTCTGCATATTTTGGCATAAATGCTGGGTAAAATGTTTATTGTTCTAAGTACACTGCAGTAGCAAGGCTTCTGTATAATGATTATTGTCTACTGTATACAGGTATCCTGAGAACGGTCGTTTACCTTCTTATCCTGTTCCAGACCAACCTCCTCCCTATCCATACCCTACTAATGGTTCACCTCTGGGTAGTCCTCCAGGTTATACTCCTGGAGTACCTGAAGTACCCGGAGTAACTGAACCAACCGGAGTTCCGGGACTGGATCGGAAGAAGAGGGTTGAGTTCGCAGAACCGCTAATCCAAGATGAAGAGACGGTACCCGGAGCTAAAACTGAACCTGAACCTAAGATAAAGGAACCTGTATCTAGTAAAGGATCCAAGGAAGGATATATTGGTTCCATATTTCCCAGATTAACAGGATCTTCGCAAACACCGGAGGTGGATCCAAGTAAGAAAATATATTTTAATGAATTTTTTATAATTTTCATGCTTAATCGAATTTTTTTAACTACTAAAGGAATTGAGTCTTTGCCACCAACTCTGATTTTCTAATCCCTTTATCATTGTTTAGACCTTAGATATTTCAAAATATGAATTCTCTCAGTCTAAGTTTAAAATATCAAAGGTTTTCACTATAGCTAGGGTGGTAAAAATATAGGGATCAGAAAGTTTGAGAACCTTAGTTAATTTATTATGAAAACTGTTGAAACCAGATTAAATTCTGACAATTAAAACCATGCTACAGTAGCTTTTTAAATTATCTTCTTTTCACGAAAGAAAGCTCTTCGCTCATCTAGAAAAATATACGCTATAGGCGCCCAAACTTGGGCAACGCCTCATATTCCTGTTAGCTTAAGATAAAAACGACCAACTCCATCATTTCTAAGAACGTTTTAGATTCTGACAACTTCCTTTATTGTGAATTGTAGTATAGACCTGGAAACCCCTTTTATAGAGAAACCAAATTAAAAGTAATTAAGTTTCTCATTCATTCTTATTCAGACAAAAAGATAAAGGTACAGTTGTGAATCTGACAAGCCAAGTTATAAATGAGGGATGAATTGAAATTACGTGTACAGTCCCTTTAATTGATTTTCATTTATCAGTCCCTATAATTGGTTTTCATTTATGATTCAGGAGATCTTGAGATCAGTCTCCTGAAGAAGAGGTTAGAAGAGACAGAGAAGGCGATGGAGAGAATAGTTCTCCAGATGGGAGCTGTTACTAGCAGACTGTCTCCTCTCATCCTGGCTCAGGCTATGGAGGGACCCGGAGCCCAGGTAAATTCATGATTAACAGTCAATGTTTCTGATTAACAGACTGAATTAGACGAATTTCATTCCGCTTTATATTGGTTATATTTTTAGAGCATTTTCCTGATATTCTTAATTGTTATCTCTGTTTTAACCATTTTTTTCATTTTGCCAGATTTTTAATGATTTAACCATTTTATTTTTTATCTAAACTTCATTTTTTAAACTTTCTGCTTGATAATCAAAAGCAAATTGTGATGCGGTATTTCAACTGTCTTTTAACTCTGTCTTAATTTGATTTTGAGTTTTTCTGAAACAGTACAATTTGTTTTCTTTTTTAAACCAACTTTCCCTTCTATGTATCATTCTATTTCAGTCTGGTTTTGGACATCAATGCATTCATTCTCATCATGTAGGAACTAATTCCGAAAAACTAGAAGCTAAAGCTGAGTATGTAGAAAGAGTAGATCCTGTTGATCCTGAAAATATTACCAAACCTGAAGAAAACCTCATCAATGATATTACTGAAGATAAACTAGAACTGAAAGAACATGAAACTGTAGATAAGAAAGGCAAGGATTCTAAGAAGATTAATGATGAAGTTGAAGATTCAGATGATAATACTAATGTTGTGAATTCTAATTCTGAATCAAGTTCAGATTCGGACGATAAACTGAAAAATAACAATGAGAAAGATAAAATGCTGAAAGAGGTTGAAGATAGTGATTAAAAATGCTCTTAAAGGGACTATCCACGATATTTTTAAGTGACCCTCTATTAACTGAGTGGCATGTCCGAATCCCAATATATACCCTTTAAAGTCTTTTTCAGACCAGAGCAAGATCTGTCCATCATTTTCTATTTGAATTTTTTTTTTTTTTTTTTTCTATCGTGGGTTCTCTTGAATAGTGACTTGCGCATTTCTGCTTCAGACACACTAGAAGATATTGCCAAAATTTAACACTTTTTAAGCTGAAAGAAAAACGACGTGTCTTCAAGATAATTGGTGAAGGGGTGCTGTTGTGAGTCGGGCATGCTTCTAATTTTTTAAATGGAAAGTCACCTAGAGCATACGATGCCATTGCCTTTAATTTAAGTTAACCAATTAGTCCCAATAATGTTGTTTTCAACCTATAAAATAATCTTATTAAAATTTATCTAATTTATAGAATTAAAGGAGCTGTTATTTAAATAAGGTATTATTAATAGCAGACGATATATTAGCCGTAAAAAAAAAACCTTTAAATGGTTGAAAACAACGTTGGCGTTGATAATTTAAAAGATAAAATACAGTAATCGCCAGCATAAAGGGAAACTGAAAGACGACTTAAATATCGATCTATGTTGTGTTAACTGTTTTCCTAATTTCAAGTGACCCATACGTTGATAGAGTGTCATGTACGATTCCCAACAGGTACCCTTACACGTTTTGTATGATTAAGTATGAATTAGATATTTATTTTTAATGGATTATTCCAATTTGCATAGTTTCCCTACAAAAGTGAGTCGCGCATTTCTTGCTGCAAAAAAATGGAAAATTTTCAGAATTAAACACTGTCCAAGCCAAAAACAAGAGAACGACTAGTATTCCCCATTATTGATTCAGATTAAGGTTTCAAGGGTACCGTTGTGAATTGCACATTCTCTCTGAAGATGAAGGGTTCACTACTTTAAATTCGAGAAACAATTTCTTTGGTTTGAAAGTCGTATTTTTATTCCACAGAAAATTGTTATACATGAGAATTGTCGAAAAATTTTAAAATTGACAAAACTTGACCTAGAACCCTAGAATATATGCAATACACCTTGTAAGACCGGGATATTAAAAACCTGATAATTATTTTTATTTTATATAGTCTTGCCTTTCATATATTTACCTTGTCGTGTTTTATTTATTTTGACCTTTTTGTATAAAAATATAGAATACAACCTTCATTTTTTCTTAGTTTAGGAACCCAGCTTTGCCTGTAAACTTAGTTTTTTTTTAAAGTCAACCTATTCAACCTAGACCAAACTAAGACCATTCCCGTGGTTCTACAGAGTACCTCAGTTAACATTTGAGGCAAATCGATTCAGGGGTTTCTGAGTTTTGCTCCAAACACACAAACAGCCATGCCTACTTAATATTATAGATTCTAGGACGGGTTGGAGTTTTAATAGAATTCTAAATATATTTTTGGACAATTAGTAAGGTTTTTTCCTATCCTCTTTTTGGAACTTTTTACAAGAAAATATAGAATAAAACTTTATTGTTTATTCTGGACGGGTTGGAGTTTTCTTAGAGTTCTAATTAAATTCTAGGATAATTAATCTTTATCTCTCTATCTGCAGAGTCTGTATATGTCTTTCCAGACAGAACAGAGAAGTTCGTGTATTTTCTTTTTCAAACTATTTTTCAATTCTTACATTCTTGCAAGTTGCAACCTGAGTCTAAAACTAAAGAACGAAAAGTTTTGACTTAAATTTTAAGTTCATGGTTAAATGCCACTTCTGACTTAATTTAAACCTGAACTTTAACCGTGAGGTTAAATATTTAACCTTGTGGTTAGATATTTAACTTGCCGAAATCGACGAGTTAAAATTTAAACACAGGGTTAAAATCTTGAAATCCCGCAATCCCTATTTGTCTATCATCATTCAGCAGTAAGCGGCGTTCAACTAATTACGATATATTTAAAATTAAAAACCTTGATTTAATAAATTTAACGTTTTAGATTAATTAATGTTTGCACGTAAACCCAAAATACGGTTATAACTGGAAATATGTTTTGTTTTCCTTCACGTAAATAATTAAAATTTAAAAAACAGCTGATTACCCTTAAAATTTAAAATTGAGAAAGTTTAATATTTAAGTAGCTATTCATTATTTTATAGAACTTTTAACCTCGAACTTAAAATTCGCGCATTCTTTAGTTTTAGACTCAGATGTTGGACAATTTTGATGTTTTAAACATATAAAATTGAACTTTTATTTTTAGAAATTAAAACCGATTGTTTAAAAAGAACCAAAGAGAAAATTAGAGTTTGTGGCGAGTTATCAGTTTATTTGTCTTACAGTGAGAACCAGAAAACTTTGGAATAGAAAGACAAAATAAGATAAATAATTGATTAAATGTTTAGGTTGTTTCAAAGGAAATTCTTTAACTAGTAACTTATAAAATCACATATTAAGTGAAATGTACCTGTTGAAACTACACACTTGTTGATTCTCATGTTCATTTTAATATTTATAGTCATAACTGAAGTCTATAAGTAGTCTTCCTATTTCAGAGTTTTCTAGTTCTTACTTATGTTGCAATTATCTAGGTTTTATTCTGTTATTTCTCTCCTGTATGTAAAATTTCCTGTCTATAAAATGTCCTGTCTATGAAATGTCCTGTCTATGAAATGTCCTGTCTATAAAATTTCCTGTCTATAAAATGTCCTGTTTATGAAATGTTCTGTCTATGAAATGTTCTGTCTATAAAATGTCCTGTCTATAAAATTTCCTGTCTATAAAATGTCCTGTCTATGAAATGTCCTGTCTATGAAGTATCCTGTCTTTAAATGTCCTGTCTATGAAATTTCCTGTCTATGAAGTATCCTGTCTATAAAATGTCCTGTCTATGAAATGTCCTCTCTATGAAGTATCCTGTCTATAAAATGTCCTGTCTATGAAATGTTCTCTCCATGAAATGTCCTGTCTATAAAGCTTTCTCTGATTCTGAATTCAAACTTCCATGTTAAACAAATCAAATTTATTCATGCTACATATTCGAAAACTTTAGTTCCAGAAGTCATCATCTTCATCTTTCTCTGGCCCTGATATATTTCCATCCTTTAGATCAGGTTTCCCTGAGAGTCCTTGGTCGGGTCCCAACCCGTCTGAGTCTGAGTTGAGGACTATCTTTGAGGAGCTCATCGCTAGATTAGCTGCTCTCTGAGCTGCTGGGTGACCCAATTTTCCACCAACTATTCCTAAAATTTGAAAACTGATCACAAAATTTGTTTAGAAAGTTGGTGAACAATCCATCTTAAATTATTTTTATTTGATAAATCTACAAACCTTTACTAATACCCTGAGAGAGAGCTACTGGAACTGGATGCCTGGATCCTCCTCCTACTCCGGGGAAGTTTCCACCACCTACTCCAGCAAAGGAACCCACCAGTCCCATCCCTAGACCGGAGAACTGAACCTCCTCAGCTGTAGGTTGGGCTCCAGAATTTTTCTTCTTTGATTCTTCAGAATTTGAAGATTCTGCGTTAAAGTTTTGTTCATCGTCATCCAAACCAAACTAGGAAAACAAAATGGAGGTTGCAAAATATAAACCAAACCAAACTAGGAAAACAAAATGGAGGGTGTGAAATATAAACCAAAAAAGTGCATCGATTGAGTTCTGAAAACCCAATCCAAACAATTCAAAAATATGATGAAGAATTCGAAAAGAACCAAAGAATACAAACAACATATTTCAAATACCTTCATATTCTTCAATGGCGGTTTTCTAGCTGCGGGACGCGCATATGCTGCAAGTTCTGCCTCTATATCATCTGAACTTGAGTCGTCTTCCACCGCAGGTTGGGTTTCTGGGCGCTTGAAGCCGCCCATTAGCATTTGCTAAGAGAAGAAGAAGTTTAAACACTTATATTAATGAATTCAAATCCTGCTTTTCAAATTTCAATTTAACAATCAAGCAAATTCAAATGTAGTATAATTGGTCATCAAACCTGTCTCTTATTTATTGTAAATACCTTGTATGCATCTGCCATGGCCACAGAACCAGTTTTTCTTTCACGATCAACAGAGTTCTTCTTACTTTCTAAACCTGGGACTGTACTAAGTTCAGGTTTAGGTTCAGGTTCAGGTTCAGGTTCAGGTTCAGGTTCAGCCGTAGAATCACTTTCAGGGGAGTACAGTTTGTCATCAACATTTTCAGAGCCTAAATATATATATATATATATATAAGTTTTGATGATTTTCCTCCCAAAAATGTATGATTTACCTAAACATAGATCTGGTTCAGTTGATCCTGATTCCTTAGCAGGTGGAACCTCTTGTTTTGTCTCTTCTGCAATTTCAATAATGTCCCTGTTTTCTTCTTTGTTTTGCTCAGGTGGATCATTTGTGCTAGCGAATTCTCCTTCTGCTGCTTGTTCAGGTTCAATCATTTTTTCATCAGCATTTTGTATAATTGTTTCTTTGGGTTCATCAGGTTTTATGGATGGCAACTCTATATTTTCTTTGATGTTTATTACAGTTTTTATGTTTTTACTTTCAGCGTCAGCTTTTGGACGTTTAGGACTTTTTCCTTTTCTTCTGAGTTTTCCAGGTTTATCATGATCATGTTCATCTGCAGAAGAGATGTCCCCAGCATCATTGCTTGTATTATCTCCTTCCTCTAGACGCACATCTAATCAACAAAAAGTGGTAACTGGTCACTGGTCAGCCTTATTTTGAATGATTTTCAATTTAAGATTTCAACAAATAGACTCTTAATCTTAATGTGAGAACCTTTTTTATAACTGGCAAGGGACAATTTTAAAGCTATAATTTGAAGGGCATTAGTTAAATTCAAAATACAGGAAATACAGGTATAAAAGCTATAGATAGTGCAGTGTAATAGGAATTATAAAGGTTCCAAAGTTGATTTAAAAATGATTTACCAAATCAAATAATTGAGAACACAAAAATTTAAGTTTCGTTATCTTAACTTGTATATGTACGATTTAGGTAGATGCGTTCCTAAGAAGTTAAGTTGACTATCACTATCTTCTTCCAATCTTCTAGCTGTCTGCCAGTCTTCTCCCGATCTTCTATCTTTCCTCCAATCTTCTTTATACCGTCTTTCTTCTCTTCTCCCCCTCTCCCTCCCCCTGGAATCCCTGATCCAATATTTTGAATCCATGTTTGGTTTTAGGATTTCATTTGAGTGAGTTCTCCTATCTTGATCCGATTCAGCTTGTAAATATGCATCTTCTTTTCTATTTTTATACATTTTCCTATATTCATGATCATATTCTTCATGTTTTTTATTATTTCCTCTCTTAGTATATATTTCATAATCATTTCTTCTTTCTTCTTTCTTCCTCTTATCATGATCTTTTACATAGTTTCTTCTTCTATATCCTTGATAATAATTATACTGATGTGACTGATCATCTTCTTCTGTGCTATCTTGTGGATCATTAAATCTTTCTCTTCGTCCATAATTCTCATGAATATCTTGATTTCCATAGTTTTGCCTTCTCTCTGAAATCTCAAATCTGCCCCTATTGTCTTTACCATCCTCCTGAGACTGTGACCGGGGAGGTCTTGACCGAGGTCGTCTTTGTCCGGTTGATCCTGGTCTTGTTATACGATGATCTAAAGGATGGGTTGAATAAGGTTGTGGAGGATACGGCAGGTCTAAAGGGAAACCCAACCCATAACTTGATTTTCTGAAAGTAAACATTTTTCATCATTCTATATGATAAAGCTCTTCGCTAAGATATATATATATATATATATATTTGTTAGCTATAGCTGGCCAAACGGCTAAACTAAATTGGCTGAATTTTTTTTGGGAACCCATGGATACCCTGGGAGTAACATAGGCTAAAATAATTTGATTTTTTTTAAAGATAGATTTTTTCACAAATATTTTTTTCAAATTTAAATTCGACATTTTTTCTTCAAAATTTGTCATCTATTTTCTAAGTGTTTTTAAAATTCAACGGGCAACGCCGAGCACTCCGGCTGGTTTACTAACAAACCAAAAAACAATCAGTAAAAGGTCAGTACTTTTGAACTAATAATCCCCTGATAAAGCTCAAATCCGTGTCTTAATGGTCCAATGGATTAACCAACATTCTTTTGGAAATCTCCGATTGGCCAATGATAGGATAACTTTAAGTCAGCTTATTTTTAGATTAATAAGTTAATCACTTCAAATTTAATATCTCATACAAAAGTTAGTTTCAATCTCTGATTGCTTTAATTACGATGGTTCTAAGTATACTGTGATTTGTTTAAAATAATAACCTTGTTTTGAAGTTCTCAATAAGATCTGTTAACCTCATTTCTCCCACATCTTCTATCTCAAGACCTTGATAAAGTCTGCCTAGGTCCCCAGGATGCTGACCCCAATCATAGACCGGGGGATGGCAAAACTCATCATATTCAGGAGCATTTCGTAGATCAAGATTCTTTACAACATTCATTGCTTCATCCTTAATTATTAAAAGATTAAGAGACTGAATAAATGTCTTAAAATTCAAATATGACACATTTTAAAGTACTGATGCAACTTTATCATTCTTTAAATCCGACTAGGGTTTCATAAAATGACCATATTTTTTGCATAAAATTTGCGTTGTTTCTTTTGAATGATTTGCGCAAAACCGGAAGTATTGCACAAAACGTAAGTTTGTTTGTGAGCAAATTAGCAAAATTGAGAGTTTCAGTCAAGTTTCAGCACAGAATCAAATTACTAAAGTTTTATTAAAAAAATGTACATACAAACAAAATTATGATTATACTACTCTAAATTGGTTACTTTTAGTTACAAAAACTTTAAAGTGAGGGACAAAAATTAATATGCCATCATGAACCATGTTGCAAAGTAGAGTTTTAGGCAAGTAGAGTAATCAGTTCCCTTTTAAAGCATTTTAATTATATTCCAAAAAGTGCAATCTCATTGATAACAAATGTATACAGTTTACACCTTTCATCAACCTTTAAATGAGAATAATTCCATGAAAATTGCGCGAAACAGAATAACGCAAGTTTGCGAATTATTACGCAAAGTGCTATTTTTTCACGCAAAAATGTAGGGCAACGAAAGCAACATTTTTCGCTTTCTTTTGAAAAAATTGCGCAAAAGTTGTGCGAGTGGAGATCCTAAATTCAAATTTTTATTTTTAATATTCTGTATTATTCTGGCGTTTAACTTAATAAGTCTAATTTATTTTGCGAAAAGTATTTCGAAATATGGAATAGAATGTTAGGTTTGTTTAACAGCTTATATCTTACTTTTGCCTATTTTAGTATCTTTAGTTTAATTTAAACTTAATGCAGCGCTGAAAACGAACAGCCACTGTGGATATCAAAATTAAGCGATGGGGATTATGGGTATACAACATATAAATGCCTAGCTTAGATTTCATTTGATATCTTTTCTACCTTTAGTTTTCTTAATCTCTCTGTTTCTATAGCAACCTGAGCCGCCATTTTATCCACCCGGTCCACCTCCCTAAGGAACAATATTTTTTTTGCAAACTTTGAAACTTTCACTTTTAGTCCGTAGTCTTTAATCTGTAGTCTTGTGTCTTGCGTCTTGTGTGTTCTGTCTGTAGTCTGTATAGTGTTTAGCCGGTAGTCTGTAGTTTGTAGTCTGTGGACTGCAGTCTGTAGTCTGTAGTCTGTAGTCTGTAGTCTGTAGTTGTGGTCTGTAGTTATAGTCTGGAGTCTGTAGCCAGTAGTCTGTAGTCTGTAGTCTGTAGACTGTAGTCTGTAGTCAGTAGACTGTAGTCTGTAGTCTGTAGTCTGTAGTCTGTAGTCTGTAGTCTGTAGACTGTAGTCTGTAGTCTATAGTCTGTAGACTGAAGACTGTTGTCTGTAGTCTGTAGACTAAAGACGGTTGTCTGAACCTGCGTAGATTATCTTCTTTCTCTCTTCTCTGGGTCTCAGATCTGCTGTAAACCTCCCAGGCAACTCGAACATCCTGGAAAACAAATTTTTCTAGATTTGGATTTTATTTTTATAATCTAAGGTGACTTGACCCTTCTCTGCTCAAAAACTTTTTAGCACTGCGAACCAAAATAATAGACATAGCGTTATACATAGTTATTATAACCTTTGATTATTTAATTAATTAGTAATAATCACTTTTGATTAATATCAGTCTAAAAAATAAATTTTTATCCCCTTTAATTGATATAGTGTATACAACTAACATATTGCTATATAAAGTCCCTTTAATTGATATAAAAATAATATAAAATATATAAATAAAATAAATAAAATAATATAAAATATATATTATTAATTACTTTTAATTTCTGCGTAATTCTTGGTTTATCTGCGCGCCCGCTCTCTTTGATCAATTTTCCTAATTCAGCCTAAATATTAAAAAAATTAAAAATTTTGGTAAAAAGTAATGAGAATTCAGATACTATAGAACAGCTAGCTAGGATGTTCCAATTTTTATTTTGCACGGTAATTATTTTGAATACAGTTATTTTGGCAATAAAAATAAAAAATAATGGTAAAAAAATAATGATAATTTAGATACTAGTACAGAGTGTTCAAATAAACATGGAAATGTGAAATCGTCTTAGGTTGGCAAGGCATTTTTTTCAATACAGTTAATTTAGTAATCTACTCAAAAAAGTTGACATCGTTAAAACTTGATGAAGAATTTAAAAAATTTTTCTGTTTCAATTTAATACAATCAAAATTGGTTGAATTCCTAAAATATATATATAGCCAGAAAGATAATAAAAAAACACTTTTAAAAAGACTTTTTTTTCACTATCGGAAGTCAAAGACGTTTCATAAATCCCTCGTATACTGGGGCATCTTGTATGAAATGAAAGCATAAAACAAATTTAATGAAAGGACTACTGCAGTTCTTAAAGATTTACTAATGCATTTACATCAATACTCCGAATTGGTAAATTTTTAATTTGAAAAGTTCAATACTTAAAATAGGGGTTTCAAGTACCACTTAAATCAAGAAAAGGAAATTAATACTCGCAAATTCTTATTTTTGCTTTATATTTGAAGCCTTATGTCGTAAACCTTTGATATTTTAAATGTATATAAACACAAAAAGTTTGAATTATCAAAATTTCACCTATTAAAGTCGCAAAGCTATATAGTGTATAGAACTCTGAAACTTGTAAAGAATGTTTTGTTCCTTCAAAAAAAGAAAAAGAAAAATATTTTACCTCAATCCTTTTGTGAACCGAGTAGTTTGATTCATCAATCTTCATCTTGTTTACTCTTGTTTACTTTTAAACTGTACAATTTGAATTGTACACTTTACACTTTAATCTTACACTGTAAATGTACACGTGACTTTTGTACTTTTATATACGTCTTGACCTATTTTTCAATATTTCACAGTTTTTAACATTTTAAAATGTTTTTTTTATCGTGTATTTTCAAACTTTAAAGTTTTGAAAAAATTTATAACAAAAATGACATATTTTTTTTTTTTTTTCACTTATCCGTTCTCACTTTTTTCTTTATTTTGATTGTCTATTTCTGGAGAATGAATTGATCCATGAAATCTTGTTGCTCAGCTTCTAATTTACTAAGAGCAGTATATTGAGCTGTTAATCGATCCAGTTCACTCTTCTTTTCAACTTAACAGAGCATCCATTAATCAATCAATTAATCACAAGATCAATCAATCACAAGATCAACCAATCACAAGATCAACCATTCACAAGTTCAACCAATCACAAGATCAATCAATCACAAGATCAACAAATCAAAAGATCAACTATTCACAAGATCAATCAATCACAAGATCAACCATTCACAAGATCAACCATTCACAAGATCAACCAATTACAAGATCAACCATTCACAAGATCAACCAATCACAAGATCAACCATTCACAAGATCAACCAATCACAAGATCAACCAATCACAAGATCAACCAATCACAAGATCAACCATTCACAAGATCAACCATTCAGATCAACCATTCACAAGATCAATCACTCACAAGATCAACCATTCACAAGATCAACCATTCACAAGATCAATCACTCTCAAGATCAACCATTCACAAGATCAACCATTCACAAGATCAACCATTCACAAGATCAACCAATCACAAGATCAACCAATCACAAGATCAATCAATCACAAGATCAACCAATCTCAACATCAACCATTCACAAGATCAACCAATCTCAAAATCAACCATTCACAAGATCAACCAATCACAAGATCAACCAATCTCAAAATCAACCATAAAAACAATATTATTTAAAGCGGGTGCTTACTTATACAAAAGATGGAAACTATTGTATTGTGGATATCGACATCAATGATTGATATCGATCTTTTGTTAATCTGCAGATTAATTTAATCTCGAGGGTTGAATAGAGCTTTGCTCGTAGCTAAAACTAAGATATGCATGGAATAGTATAATTTTATGAAAGATCTTTAAATCAAAATTGCCAACAGAAGATCGAGATCAAGCGATTGGAATTATGGCTGAGAATCAAACACAACATTGTCCAGCTCAGAACACAATTATTACAATTCACTCACAAGTACACAGCCAGTCAAAATACAGGAGCAGATATTTTCACAAGATCAATTATAAGCCAAAGTTCAGGCATAAACACAAGATCAATTATAAGCCAAAGTTCAGACATAAACACAAGATCAATTATAAGCCAAAGTTCAGACATAAACACAAGATCAATTATAAGCAAAAGATCAGGCATAAACACAAGATCAATTATAAGCAAAAGATCAAACATAAACACAAGATCAATTATAAGCTAAAGATCAAACATAAACACAAGATCAATTATAAGCTAAAGATCAAACATAAACACAAGAACAAATATAGGCTAAAGATCAGGCATAAACACAAGATCAATTATAAGCTAAATTTCAGGCATAAACACAAGACCTGTTTTAAACACAGGAAATCAAATGAATTAGCAAGGCTCATAAACAAAAAGAAGTTATAAACAAAAATCTCCTTTAAAGAATCTCATAAAATTACAATATAACTCATAAACACAAAATCACAAATGCAAACTGTTCTTTTATAATATAATCCAACAAAGAAAAGTGACAACCACCAAAATTACCAAGAATAAACAGTCAAATGTGACTCAATTTTCATGACTCAAACTCTAAATATATCAACATGAACTAGAAAACTGTATTTTTTTACAGGAAAAACTCAGACCAAATTGAATATAAAAAGGGCTTGTCATTTTCTTACCAATTAAAGCCCTCAACTGTTCCTGCTGAGCTTCTCGTTGCTTAGCGTAGGATTTTAAAAGATTTCTTCCTCCAATAGATTTAATCTTCTCTCTTTCTACTTCCTATATACAGTGATTAATATCATTATTATTGTTATTAATATTGTTGTTATTATTGTTATTATTATTGTTATTATCATTATCATCATTATTAAGTTCATTATTATAGCTATTATTATAATCATTATTATTATAATTATTATTTGTATTATTATTATTATTATTATCATTATTAGCATTAGCATTATTATTATCTGATTAACCTGTGAAACAGTATCAAAGATAGATATAAAGCTGTCAGCAATCTTCTGAAAATCTTCAATATCTCCCAGGAACTCTTGACAGCAATCCTTTAATTCTGCAGCCTGGAGATAGAAATATATGAATTGTCAGCTATCAATAATTGATAAAAATAAATTAAAAAGTTAACAAAGTAAACATTAAAGTAATCAATATCAAATTCATTGTCAGCAATTTATTTTTTATCAACAATCAATGATACATGTTTGTTAGCAATCAATTATAAATATTTGTCAGCAATCAATGAATTATGGTTGTCTGGAATCAATGATGAATGTTTGTCAGCAACTAATGATTAAATTTTGTCAGCTCTATCAATAAATCAACTGCCAGGAATTAAAGGGACTGTAGGCGTAATTTCAAGTGACCCTCCATGCAAAGATGAAAATGCCCGATTCACAACGGTACCTCTGAAACCTTTGTCTTATCAAGTATGAATTAGACATTAAAGTTTAAAATTTTGAAAGCTGATTATTTTGAATCTTACACCCCTGTATGCCGGGTCCATTAGCGCCTGATCCAATCAGGGTTCAGTCATGTATTTGTAGTCTATTTTAAACCAATAGAAATTGTAAGGAGGTAACATCTATCTCATCATCCAATTAGAGTTATGAATCCTTAAATTAGTAAATGGAAATATTTACTTCTACTGAGACAATGGTGCTTAGTTTCTCTGTCAAAGTGACTTGTGCATCTCTAGTGCAGGAAAACTTATAGAAATTATCGCAAGTAAACCCTTTTAAACCTAGAAAAGCGACTATATCTTCCACATTTTTGATCATATAATGGTTTAAAAGGTACTTTCGTGAATCGGATTTTGTCATTTGTCTCGTCTGGGGTCACTTAAAATTACGATCTCAGTCCCTTTTATGAAAAATAAAGCGTAGTTGGTCGTGTTAAAGTTACAGGACTGCAAAAGAAAAGAAAAATTTGTACTTTTTTCAAATTTGTTCCCCCAAGAATTAATTAATTTGTCAACCTGAGATGATGTTTCATCATCTAGAACTCTGATCCTGTTCAAATCATCAAAATACATCCCTGCTCGCTCAAATGCATCATTCGCCATTGTTGTCTTTTTCTCTATCTATCTATCTCCATTAGTTCACGGCAATTACTACGCTTCAGTTCCTTCAGTTTCTCTGTAAAAGTCAGAATAAAAATATTATAAATCCAACTATCTCCAGTCCTTACGCGTATTTAAACTTTAGATCCACATCACCGGTTATATTTAGTCCCAACCCTTCTCTGGATTATTGTGAGATAAAAACCTTCTCCAGGTTCTATTAATATTAAACCTTTCTCCAGGTTCTATTTACACCTAATCTTTCTCCAGGTTCTAGTTACACCCAATCTTTCTCCAGGTTCTAGTTACACCCAATCTTTCTCCAGGTTCTATTATGACTCAATCCTTCTCAAGGTTCTATTCTTACCCAACCCTACTTTATGTTCTATTTAAACCCAACCTTTCTAAAGGTTCTATTTAGACCCAATTCGTCTCCAAGTTCTTTTAAGATCAAAACCTACTCCAGGTTCTAGTAAGACCCGAACCATCTCAAGGTTTGATTAAATCTTATACCTTCTCCAGGTTCTTTTCACACTCAACCTTTCTCCAGAAACTATTCTAAGCTGTCCTATTATAGTCCTGGATCAGTGCATAAGAATGGTTTAGTCCTATTATAGTCCTGGATCAGTGCATAAGAATGGTTTGGTCCTATTATAGTCCTGTATCAGTGTATATTAATGGTTTAGTCCTATAAGAGTCCTTTAGATCGTTTTTAAACAAATCCCAACCTACTCTCTAGTTCTAGAATCATATAATTTTCTTCTCAATAACTTTGGCATCATCAGGAGTTCGTCCTATAATATAACAGATATAATAGTCCTGTAGTTGTGTATTAGAACGGATTGGTCCTATTATAGTTCTGTGTATAAGAATGGATTAGTCCTATTAAAGTCCTGTGTATAAGAATGGATTGGTCCTATTACATATCTGTATCTGTGTATACAAATGGATTGGTCCTAAACTAGTCTTGTATTAGCGTATAAGAATTCATTAGTCCTATTATAGTCCTGTATTAGTGTATAAGAATGGTTTAGTCCTATTATAGTCCTGTATCAGTCCATAAGAATGAATAAGTCCTATTATAGTCCTGTATCAGTGTATAAGAATGGTTTAGTCCCATTATAGTCCTGTATTTGTGTAAAAGAATGGTTTTTTCCTATTATAGTCCTGCATCAGTGTATAAGAACGGATTGGTCCTATTATAGTCCTCTGTATAAGAATGGATTGGTACTATTATAATCCTGTGTATAAGAATGGATTGGTCCTATCATAGTCCTGTGTATAAGAATGGATTGGTCCTATTATAGTCCTCTGTATAAGAATGGATTGGTCCTATTATAGTCCTGTGTATAAGAATGGATTGGTCTTATTATAGTCGTGTGTATAAGAATGGATTGGTCCTATTATGGTCCTCTGTATAAGAATGGATTGGTCCTATTATAGTCCTGTGTATAAGAATGGATTGGTCCTATTATAGTCCTGTGTGTAAGAATTAATTGGTTCTATTATAGTCCTGTGTATAAGAATGGATTAGTCCTATTAAAGTTCTGTATCAGTGCACAAGAATGGATTGGTCCTATTATAGTGACATAGTCCCTGTGTATAAGAATTGATTGGTCCTATTAAAGTCCTGTATCAGTGTACAAGAATGGAATGGTCCTATTATAGTGACATAGTCCTTGTGTATAAGAATGGTTTGGTCGTATTATATTTTCTTGTGCATAAGAATGGATTGGTCCTATTATAGTCCTATGTATAAGAATGGATTGGTCCTATTATAGTCCTGCGTTTAAGAATGGATTGGTCCTATTATAGTCATGTGTATAAGAATGTATTGGTCCTATTATAGTCCTGTGTATAAGAATGAACTGAATATATGAACCAGGATTGCAGTGACGTCACAGCTTTCCTATTAAAGGACGGCAGGTAAATGAAATAGTTAATAAAACATAAAACATAAATAAACAATCAATATTTACACAAAGATCAATATTGTGAGAAAATCGATAATAACAATAAACAGAAATATGTTTAAAAATATCTAAGGCACCCACACATTTTGGAAAATGTAACAGTTACGTATAGCAATTTAAAGGCGGAATTTATTATTAATTCGAATAAAGAGCTAATTAAGGGTATTATTGTATAATCAACCAAATTCATTAAAAGATGTTTATTTTAATACACATATTTATTTCAACGTTGAATTGTTTAAATTATAAAATAATTATCTTTGGGTTCGTCTAATTTCATTAATTCATTTTTGTGAGTTTCATGAATGTAGTATAAACGTAAAATTTCTTGATTTCACTATAGGGCAACTGAATTGCAGACTGTAGAGGATGCAAAAATACTGGAAACCATTAAAATATGAGGGGCCTCTTACGCAAAAATATCCTAGAAACTTTTATATTTATTAGTTTGACATTACAACTTTTACAGAATTTATAGAGATTTTTTTGTGAAGTATAAAAGAAAAAAATTGCCAACTTAAAGTAAATATCTCTAAGATTAATTCACATTGCCGCCATTTTGGCAAAATATATCAGTTTGATCGTGATCTTAAAGATGTGCTGAAAAGCGTGTTTTTAATATTAAAAACATATGGATCAGTTCAAAATATTTTTTTGTTCATTCAAATCTTTGGAACCATGGACCCAGCGTTTGCCTAGAAATTTAAACCTGTCTCCCCCCCCCCCGCAGGACATAGTCTACAGTCTACACTGTTGCACAGGAGGGTTTAAAAACAATATCTATTTCTCAAATTAGTTAAAAATTGATAAAGAGTTTAATATTTTGTATTTTCCTAACTCTTATACTTTTCAACAATCTTCTCCATCTTAAAATTTTCTATTCATTTTTTGTGAAATTTCTCTTTTGAGGTTTAAGCCTTCCGGCATGGCAACACCACCCTTTCTAGACCTTCCCCCTTACAGGTTTTAAACCATCTATGGTTATAATTCCCCCTCCGTTTGAAATATCTCCCATTTATGACATTGGATTCTTAAGATATAAGGATTATAAAATCAGAGTTTGTGGCAAAGACTCAATTCCTTTCCGGGACTTTATCTGGATCAGTTGCTCTATGATATGATAATTATTTCTTAAAGTGTCACGCAAAGTGTCACGCCTTCCAACAAAATAAATTTAGTTAGAATAACCTTAAACAAGGTCATCTTGTATAAAAATGGGTTAGTCCTATTATAGTCCTGGATCAGTGTATAAGAATGGTTTAGTCCTATTATAGTCCTGGATCAGTGTATAAGAATTTAAAAGTTTAAGTTTGAATTTGACACTTGAACTGGTAACATCCGAGGAACCAAAATTAATAAAAATTTTCAATAAAAATCATTTTATATTTTTTTAGATAGTCCTCTCATCAGAAGCATTTAGTAGTTTTCTATAAAATGTAAACATAGTTTTAGATTGGTGAGAAAATGGAAATAGATTGGGCTAAGTGGGTTTGCCCAATCCTGCTCCCCATCTCGTTTATCTGGGATCAAATACAGTACTGGTCTATCATCATAGGATACTATGCCAGGTATAAACTTTATTATGACTTTTACCACATAATATCTTCATAATTACCTTTATCATTTAATCCTATTCCTATTTGTCCTCAGCTCCTACTCCTTTCTCCTTTTTGTCATTTTTCTATTCCTAATTTCTCCTATACTCCTACTCCTACTCCTACTACTATTTCTACTCCTTCTCCTACTCCTACTCTTACTTATACTCCTACTCCTACTCCTACTACTATTTCTACTCCTTCTCCTACTCCTACTCTTACTTATACTCCTACTCCTACTCCTACTCCTACTCCTACTCCTACTATGTATATCAGCAGGTTCTGGGGTAAGAGCCATGAAGAACGTGTGAAGTCGGTACAGGATCAAGTTATAAGATGGAGAACTGAAGGGAATGGAAGAAAGATGTGTACTGCTAGACCAAGCTGGATGAGTGTATCACAACAAGTACTAGGATACAAGGACAAGATGTACAAGTAAGTTAAATCTAAAATTATAAAAAAAAATTTTTCTCTTATTTTGGATTTATTCTAGAGTTCGCATTGATCTCCGTAACGTGCTGGAGATAGATACCAAGAAGATGGTTGTACATGTTGAACCAATGTGTACTATTGGATTCCTAAACCGACTCCTAGTACAGAACGGAGTCACTCTTCCTATTGTACCGGAGCTAGACTTCCTTACTATAGGAGGACTAGTGATGGGAGGCGGGATCGAATCCACCAGTCACATCCATGGTCTGTTCCAGCATATCTGCCTAGAGTATGAGCTGGTCACAGCCAATGGAGAGGTCACCATTGCCAACCTGAAGGAGAACGCTGATCTGTATCACTCTGTTCCGTTTAGCTACGGAACTCTGGGATTCTTGACCAGAGTGACCCTGAAGTTGACCCCCTATATACCCTACCTCAAGCTAACCTATAGACCAACATACACCGTGGAGGATGCTACAGAAGTGCTGGACAGAGAAGCAAATAGAAGTAAGTCTACAGTTTACCTTTATTCCCATTGTTTCATGTTTATGGTGGAAAAATCAACAAGAAAGGTTTAAGCAGTTTGCATTTAGTCACGAATTAAATTGCTCATCTCTTAATCAAACAATTGTCATAGAATGAGTAATCAAGCAGATAGAAAGAAGTTTATTAGATAAAAATATAAGGAGCTGAAACTTTTAGAATAGATGAGAAAATCGTTAAAACTTGTAGAAAAAGGTAGAATTTTAATTTAGCCCAAAATCTTGTTTTAATCCTTATTTGGTTCGTTTAAAAACTTTTATGGTTTTTGTAATCTTTAAAGGCTCCATTAACATCTGAGAAGCTTAAAAAATGTCAAAATTGTTTATTCAAAATTTCCTTACAGTACCCAATTTTAACCCAAAGAGAAAATATGCAATCCATATTATTTTTGTTAAGTTAAAAATGTTGGCACAGTTTAATAAAAGCAAACTTTCTAAAATCTAAAAGCTTTAAAATATATTTTTTAAAAAAACCTATTTGCCATCACTACTTACATGGTCTTTAATTTTTTATCATATATTTTAAAAATTAATTTTGAATGTATCTAGAATCTGGAAATGATTCCGTTGAAGGAATTATGTTCACGGAGAACACCGCGGTCATCATGACCGGGGAGTTCGTGACCGAGGACAAGGTGGAGAAGGACAAGATCAACAGGATGGGACTATGGTATAAACCCTGGTTCTACAGATACGTTAAAACATTCCTTGACAAGGTAGAATGAAGAAATGAACTATAAAGTGGGGAAATAAAACTGTGGAAAAAGAAAACTCAAGTTATGATTCTAAATATTTCAATAAACATGAAACACAGCAAGTATATAACACAGACCTGTTTCACTTGTCAAATCTATTTTCAAACTACTGCTATTTGCTTTATAAATCATTAAGTACTTATAAGATTACTTCAATGTCGTCTTCCTATATCACAGTTTTATGAGTCCCCCCCCCGTATCATTAGATTTTAAATTGTTTGTCCCTTTTCTCATTTTTTATTTTTTTAAATCTCCCTGTCGTAAAATCAAAACTTGCTAAACACAATTCTCTTTTTTTTTAAAATCTCCCTGTCATAAAATCAAACCTTGCTGATCACAATTCTCTTTTTTTTAAATCTCCCTGTCATAAAATCAAAACTTGCTAAACTTAATTCTCTTTTTTTAAATCTCCCTGTCATAAAATCAAAACTTGAAAAACACAATTCTCTTTTTTTTTAAATCTCCCTGTCACAAAATCAAAACTTGCTAAACACAATTCTCTTATTTAAAATCTCCCTGTCATAAAATCAAAACTTGCTAAACTTAATTCTCTTTTTTTAAATCTCCCTGTCATAAAATCAAACCTTTCCAAACACAATTCTCTTTTTTTTTAAATCAAAACTTGCTAAACACAATTCTCTTTCTTTTAAAATCTTCCTGTCATAAAATCAAAACTTGCTAGACACAATTCTCTTTTTTTTAAATCTCGCTGTCATCAAATCAAAACTTGCTAAACAATTTTCTTTTTTTTAAATCTCTCTGTCATAAAATCAAAACTTTTTGAACCTCATTTCTAAAACGCTAATGTATATATATATATCGTTTATAAAAATATTTCAGGGTCTCATTTCTTCAAATAAAAAAATATTTATTTCAGGGAGAGACTGTTGAATATGTTCCTACTCTACATTTCCATCAGGTATATATATATTAGAATTAATCTCTGTTTTTCTGTCTATTTATTTGTTTGTTTGTTCATTATAACTTATAATTCCCTGGACCGATTTGCCTCACATTTTGATATGAAAACTTGGAAAAGCAAAAGCATGTTGATAGTTAGATTTAAAAATTATATCTTAAGAGATTAAGATTTTTATAGAGAAAAAATATGTTTCAGTCAAGGCTGGGTTCCAAGTTCCAACCGTACAGTTATAAAGAAACTGATTACTCGCCCCAAATGCTTAATCTTGAATACATATACATTTTTACATTCTTAAGGTGTAAACCAGTAATTTTTTAAACTTTAAATTTTTTGTTGTTGCATAATTCATGAACTATAATAGGGCCACGACGTCAGGGTGCAGAGATTAAAATATACGAGTATATATATTTCATAGTTTAATTAAATTTAAAAAAAAACTTTTTTACAGCGACACAACAAGCCTGCTTTCTGGTTAACTCATTACTGGCTTTTGCGCAGGTTTCTGCTGGGATGGATCCTTCCCTTTAATCATCAGCTGATGCAGTTTCTCAAGGTATAAAGTTAATATGATTTATGTACGAATATATATAAATGGGATCCATTAAAATCGTAAAATTAGAAAATTGTCTTTAGACCCTTCACATTTGGCAAGACAACTTTAGAAAAATTTAGTTTTCCATTATAAAAAACTCAAATTATCCAATCTTTATTACATCTTAACACAACCTTTGATATTTCAAACTTAGACTTTGAGTTGCAAAGATGTAGGGATTAGAAATTTAAAGACACAATTCTATAGAATTTAATTTTTACGAACGTTTTCAAATTTAATTACTTTTCATTTTTAATCCACTTTTGTTTTTTTGTAAACACTCCCTTTTATTGGATTTTTAGCAAGTTATTTGTTTTAGGAAAAGTTTGTTGACAAGGATTTCGAGGATAATGTTATTCTTCAAGATTTCATTATTCCAATCAAAAATGTGAAGGGTGCACTGGAACTTAGGTAAATTTTAAAAGATAAGAGAAATATATTAAAAATGTCTGATTATCATTTGAACAATAAATCACGAAATTATGATAAACAAAGATAAAGGAGATATTTCAGGCCACAAACTTAACTTTTATAATTGCTTAATCTTTGCAAACAAATGTCGTAGACTTGGGATATTTCAAACTATAAATTCTCTTAGATCAAAAAATCTGAGTTTGAAATATCAAAGGTTTACACCATAAGGTTGGAAAGATATTGTGATTAGAAAATTCTAGTTTGTTGCAAAAACTAAATTCCTTCGTAATCTCAAAAAAATGTTTTGTGGGAGCAAAAGTAAAAAAATTTACCAACATTTTGAAACTTGGTAACAAGGATTTAAATTCTAAAAATAAAATTTTATATTTTTTAGTCGTGATATTGTGGATGTGTGGCCGATCTGGATGGTACCCTGCAAACTCTGGCACGATTGGGTAACTAGTTGATATCATTATTCAATATGAATTTTTAATTAAGTATAACAATGTATATGCACATCTAGAGTATTTAAAACCGTCGAGTCGAACAAATGTAGTTATTTGATGATAGCTCAAAAATAGAAATATGATATATTATAAAAAAACTGAAAAATAAAGTTTTTGTATTTTTTTAGCAACCCGAGAGCCTTAAGCCAAGGGCTGGAAAGGATGTCATGTACTTGGACTTCGGAGTATACGGGCTCACCTTCCTGCCTTCATTCCAGGTATAGATCTAACCTTCCTTCCTTCATTCCAGGTATAGATCTAACCTTCCTTCATTCATTCCAGGTATAGATCTAACCTTCCTGCCTTCATTCCAGGTACAGATCTAATCTTCCTGACTTCATTCCAGGTATAGATCTAACCTTCCTGCCTTCATTCCAGGTATAGATCTAACCTTCCTGCCTTCATTCCAGGAATAGATCTAACCTTCCTGTCTTCATTCCAGGTATAGATCTAACCTTCCTAACTTCATTCCAGGTATAGATCTAACCTTCCTGACTTTATTCCAGGTATAGTTCTAACCTTCCTGTCATCATTCCAGGTATAGATCTAACCTTCCTGCCTTCATTCCAAGTATAGATCTAACCTTCCTGCCTTCATTCCAGGTATAGATATAACCTTCCTTCATTCATTCCAGGTATAGATCTAACCTTCCTGCATTCATTCCAGGTATAGATCTAACCTTCCTTCCTTCATTTCAGGTATAGAGCTAACCTTCCTGCCTTCATTCCAGGTTTAGATCTAACCTTCCTGTCTTCATTTCAGGCATAGATCTAATTCCTTCCTGCCTTAATTCTGAGTTTATAATCCCCCCCCTTCCCACAACACTACAAATTATTTTATCTTAATGATAGTTTCTCTATCATCTATTTTTCAGGGCCGTGACAAGACTTTGAAAATGTTCGAGAAATGGACTTTGGAAAATGAAGGTTACCAGGTAAATAAAGTGATAATGCAACCATTTGAAATAAATTGTCAGTAATCTCTGACAATTGATCATTTTAACCTGCGCAGCCATGATGGTAATATAAAATTCAACCACCTGCACTTAAAATGTTACAAGCAAAGTAACTTGGAAAAATTACTAAAAATAGTGAAAAATGGGTAATCTTGGAAAAATCACTAAAAATAGTGAGAAATGGGTAATCTTGGAAAAACTACTAAAAAATAGTGAAAAATGGGTAATCTTGGAAAAGCTACTAAAAAATAGTGAAAAATGGGTAATCTTGGAAAAATTACAAAAAAATAGTGAGAAATGGGTAATCTTGGAAAAGGTACTAAAAAATAGTGAAAAATGGGTAATCTTGGAAAAACTACTAAAAAATAGTGAAAAATGGGTAATCTTGGAAAAGTTACAAATAAATAGTGAAGAATGGGTAATTGTTACTTTGTAGGTTGAACAACGCTATCATTTATTGGATAACGGTTAGAAGCAAAAGTAATTTGTAATAGTCGGAACACTTTTAGTTCACACCATTTAATTTTATTCTGAAATATTGTATGCTTTTATTCTAATTTCATTTCTCAACAATGAAAGTCCCCTATTTGCTCTTGGGTGTAAAATAGAAAAGTTTTGAGGTTGCACATTTTGGCAATCCGATTAAAATCTAATATTTATTTTACATAAATTTTCAAATTGCATAATTTAGGCTTTGTATGCTGAAACCTTGATGTCCTACGCCGAGTTCTGTGAGATGTTCCCACGTGGTCTCTACGATTCTGTAAGAAGATTTAAAAATTTATTTTTTATTTTTGTATCTTCAGGATTTTTAAATCTACCCCCTAATTTTATCATTTATTTTTGTCTTTTAGGGTAGTTTAATCTAAATTTTATCATTTATTTTTATCTTTTAGGGTAGTTTAATCTAAATTTTATCATTTATTTTTATCTTTTAGGGTAGTTTAATCTAAATTTTATCATTTATTTTTATCTTTTAGGGTAGTTTAATCTAAATTTTATCATTTATTTTCCCAAATGGTGAGATCTTTGACTCTTTGGTGGAAAGTGAAAAATCATTGGGAAACATGTTTTTTAAATTTTCAAAGAAATTGCCACAAACTCAAATTTTCGAATGCCTATATCTTTGCAACCTGATGGTGTACACAAAAATTAGATATTTTATCGAACAGATTTTTTTTTTTTTAAACTAAGGTCTCCGATATTGGGTTGAAAGGATATAGGGATTAGAAAATCAGTGTAATTGTGGACAAGTCTCAATTCCTTTTTTAAGTCTCCGTCGATAAATTAAGAAGAAAGAAACCAGTCATGTTCCTAAACGTATCTTAATTTAGGTTCGTAACCGTCTCCCCCTGTGCAAGGAAGCGTTCCCCGAGACCTATGAGAAGGTGAGCAGAGAGGGCAGGAACGCTTTCAACAAGAAACACAAGTAGATCAAGTAGATCAGAAATATAAAAAGCTGCTCCAAATCTAGACCAGATGGCTGCTATGAATTCACTCGGGCTGTTTGATACACAAGAGCAGCTTTAAATCAACCAGAGTAGCTTTCCATAAACCAGAGAAGTCTTAAATCTACCTGTGTGCAGCTTTGTAACAACCATAAAGCTGCTTCAAACCTTTTATCAACATCGAAAAGCTTCCGGAGTATTTTCCTAAACAGCTTAAAGTAATCAAAAACGAACGTTAATAAAGTCTAGATAGAAAATCTAATTAAGAATCAAGAATCTTCCGAAATATTCATGTTAGAGCGTAAAAAACATTGCTCAAAACTAGAAAATATCATTACATATACTTTTTACTTTATTACATAAATTAAGTTTATTGTATTAGAAAATCTGTTTATTCTCTATAAAATTTAAACCAAAAATATTTTCCAAAACCCTTCCATATTTAATCTATTCTAACAATACAAGAAAACCGTTAGGATTCACTATTGTTAGTTAATTTTATTAAAAAACCTTGAAATTCAAAATTATTTTAAGTATTGTTCTTTGTTATCTAATTTAATGAAAATTTATACAAGCTCTGTTTGTAATCTACCCTATTACAAAATGATATCCAGTGACATGTTTTATTATATTGTTAACCTGGAAAATATGTTAAATAAAGAATTGGAAAAATATTCATAAAAAGGAATGTGCGTATGGGGGGGGGGTTGTGCCCCACTGTAGACTCCTTAAAGAGGTTGTTCACCAATTTTAAGAGACATATCACCATTAACCATGTCTATGTACAGGATGTCCAAGTAAACATGGGAATTGAGAGACTGCTTGATTATCGTCTTTGATTTTCGTTTAATAAACTTTACAAAATGTGGTCTATCTTTTTTGTATCTTTAAACTTTACGGAAATATGAAACATTTAAACATTTTTGATTTTCAATAATATCTCCGTTAATTTTGAAGGTAAATAAGCTAGGTCACATTTTGGAAATTCTGAGACTAGCAACAGAGAAATGGACCAATTATACACGACGTCACAAGTGTCAAATATAACAAGGAAAACGAAATTTCCTCACATTAATTGACATGTTTTCCAAAATCAAATAAAATGTAGAAACAGAAAATAAGGAACGCATAAAATTGCACTTATTTTACTATAAGATAATCATTTTACTCTAAAATTATCACTATTATTAATCATTTTGTCGGACACAAAAACTGAATTGACACTCGTGACGTCAGAATAAAGCTGTACTGCAAGAGTGTACACATTCTACGTTGCCATCTATTGTACAAGAATCTATTGGGAGACTGGTAGTTTTCGGTGATAAAGGAAACCATGTTTCTAAGAAACCATTTTTCTAAGAAACCATGTTTCTAAGCAACCATGTTTCTAAGAAACCATGTTTCTAGGAAACCATGTTTCTAAGAAGCAATGTTTCTGAGACATAAAACATGTTTTTTAGAAGAAATTTTGGTTTGGTTTCATTCAAACTTTTAAGTATTTTAGTTTTGATTACATAGTGTAGATAACATTTATTTATAAATCTAGATATTTACAGTTAGATTTATCATAAATGATGAAATATTTGTAAACCGGTTTCCTCCAAGTCTGAGAAGCTTAACCTGAAATAAAACAGTTTAGTTTTATTCAAACTCAAAGTATTAAATATTTATAATGCAGGGTGTCCCAATAAAGATGCACAGTTTTGTAAAGATTTTATCTATATAATAAAACAAGACATTTTTCGGGGACACTCATGGGTTTCCTGGGGGTGACATAAGGCTAAACAAATTCGAAATTTTGTTTCAAATTTTTTAAAAAATTTTTTTCATTTTATTTAGATTCCATGGGCAACGCCGGGCACACTTCAGCTAGTAGTTAATCATTACTTTAGTGGAACCAATAGAACTTTGAAATAAGAAGATGACTGTGAGACTCAAGTTATGAAATTGATAAAAAACTGAATATTGCAACCGTGCAATGTTCCCAGACCTATTTCACTTTATAAGTTGACTTCCTGATCAAACAGTTTGCTATATTAAAACATAAAAAACTTGATTGCTTCAATGTCGTCTTCCTATTCCACAGTTTTATGGGTATCACCGTGCGTTTTTCGAGAAATATGTTTAAACTTCTGAGTTATCAAAATGTGATCTATCAATTTTAGGTTAAAATTATTTCAAAATTTGTGATTTAATAGCTCAGTCCTTATTCCAGCAAGCTAGGACTTTCGATCCCAATTTAACCTATTAAACATAATCTTTTCCCCTTTTCTTTTTTACTTTTTTGTTGGCGTATGCGTTTTAATTGAAAAAGAATAAAGATATAATTCTTATGTTTTTAAATATTCGGAAACTAGGAGAAGAGTTTACACATTTAAGTACAAAGTGTCGTATAAGTAAAATAAAATGCTGGGCAAAAAAATTGCTTTTTTTTGATTAAAAAAGTTGAGAATAATATATTTAAACCAGAGCTAGGAACTTTTGAATGGTGGATATCGGGATTAATGCTTGATCCACTTTTTTTCTTAATCTCGAGAGTAAATAAAGCTTGTTCTCCTCTTGTTGTTAATCTCCAGATTAATTAACCGATCGGGATTAAGGATATTCCATTATAAAGTTTTCAGCTCAGTTCTGATAACTTAGTTATAATGTTTTATTTTATTTTCAGATGGAAGCATAGTTCATATTCACCCTTTACGAAGTTAATCACGAAACCTTGTCCTAATTTATAATATACAGGGTTACCCACATCTAGCATGAGACTTCAGAGACGACTATACAGAATTATCTCTGTCTGCTTCATCATATTCATGATTCCATAAAACTGTAAAATTGTTTTTTTTTCCAAATCATTAAAAAAGCTGTTGAAAGACTTGATTCAAGACAGAAGAATTGATTTAACATAGGAATCGTCATATTTTTAGAGTTTTCAGTCATATTCAAAGACTCATTCTTTCTCAGATACTATATTCTTAGTGTCTCAAGTAAAAAAGATATAAAGCACTGCGTGTGGGCCTGGCACACCCTGGACTAACAGTGAGCAGCATTTGGTTTTTTTCTATTGTAAATCAAACGTGTTTTGGTCATTTTGTTTATTCTATAAATTTTCATTCAAAAAAGCATAAAAGGAAAAAGGCTTACAAATTATGTTTAATAGGTCAAATTGTGATTGAAAGTCACAGCTTTCTGGAATATTGACAGAACCGTTAAATTCACGTGGGCATGGATACCATGAGTTGTAGAGTGAGAAACAGAAAAATGCAGGAATATGACGATATTAAGCAATACTAAAGTGTATTTGATGTTGTTGCAAAGCAAATATTTTTAAAAATAATTTATTAAATCGTGTAATCAGTGGAATAGCGTTTGTTTACACTGCACTGTTTGTTTACACTGTTTCTCATATGTTTATTGAACTATTTAAAGTCACAATTGGAATTTAAAAGTCATCTACATAGTCCAGAATTTTCTGGATCTTAATTTATTCATCTAAAAGTATGATTTCGAGACCTTAAAAGGTCATTTCAAGAATCATTAAAGATACATGAATTGATTGAGCAGAATTAATTAGTTCAAAAAATAGAGTTTTATACTCTTGTGTGTTATTATCTAAATTGGTTTTTGGAACGACAATTTACAAGGTTCATGATATTTCTTTCAAAATAGATATGCACATAAATTTTGATTTTTGTTTCCAGATGATGAACACAACTTATTTAAATTGATGTTACAAACGAAAGCATCAAAATTATGTACACTGTACAGGATGTACCATACCAACATAGGAAATTAATAAACTCTCTTTGTATTTTAAGATTGACGGAGATATCAGATATGCCATGGACAATTTATAATTTTATTCAATAAATTTGGATCTTCAAAATATTGTAATTTGAGACAAATGTTTTTTTTCTCAAACAATCATTTTGAACTAAATTAGGTTAAGTTTATAACTGCTCAAACTCAAATTATCAAAAAATTAGTTAAAAATGAAATTTACAATTACGATGCCCATACTTACTGACATACATAAATATATATCTACTTTAAGATATGGATAAGTAAAATGATAAGGTTATCATGTGTTGCATGCAACTCTCGGCAGTATATACACGGCCCAAATACTAATTATATATATGTGTTTATCATATTGCGGGTTTTTTAACCAGAAGTAAAAAGTTAGGTTGTATTTATAAAAGTTGTTTATATGCTTAAAAAGAATTTAACATGTTATAAAAAGTATTAATAAAAAGTTGTATAAAATTACTAATTCAAAGATGTGGACGATTACCGAATTAGTCATGGACGAATATTAATAATGTGTTTACGAATCTAAAAATGACGTGAGCTAATATTTTCACGATTTGGACGAATTTTATAAGAAATTTAACCTTAATCTCTGCGTTTTTTTGGGACCAGTACGTTTTCTGTAATCACAAAAGTTTTGGTGATTTATCTTACAAAATGTTGCCTTGCAGAGAGTAAGACCCAGTAAGCTCCAATATATATTTGATAAAAGATACTAACCCATCGTGAATAGATCTGCTTGTACTTGTAGCTCCAATATATATTTGATAAAAGATACTAACCCATCGTGAATAGATCTGCCTGTAGCTCCAATATATATTTGGTAGGTTTTATATAGAGTATCCAGGATGAATATTGCAGTGGCAGCAACACCTAGGACATATTTTTTTTTTAAATCTGAAGGTGATTTTTGTCTTATGCATTATAAATATTCTATCAATGATTTACTCAAAGATTTTGCAAAGGAAGGAATTGAGTCTTTGCCAGTGCCACACACTCTGATTTTCTAATCTTTATTCATCTGTGCAACCCAATATTGAAAACCTTAGATATTTCAAACTAAGAATTCTGTTAGAAAAAAACATCTTACTCAGATGTATCTAAGGTTTGCGCCATCATGTTGCAAAGATATAAGGATTAGAAAACTTAAGCTTGTGGCAAAAACATAATTTCTTAATACAATTTTGTAAAGTCGTGTGTGATTGAAGAAATTGAATATAAAAGTTAAATTTTTGAAAATTGTTTTGGAACGAATTTTTAAAAAAATATTTCAAAAATTTATATATAAATTTCAAAAAATTATTGAAGACAAATCTTTCTTTTACTTTAATTTTACCAATATTTCTTAATTATTGCTTACCAATGGCAAGATAGATGGACTCGTATGGCACTCCTGCGATACCCTCTACAGGGGCGTTAAAATCTACCAGGGGCCCTGGGATCCCCTGACGAGATATAAGGGGCCCTGGGAGCCCCTGGCGAGATATAAGGGGCCCTGTTAGACTCTGACGAGACATGATGGGTGTTGAGGAAATTGTAGATGGATGAAAATACTCCTGGTTCGAAAACTCTTGGAAGACTTCTACTCTATTTCTTCGCCTCTCAGCAAACTAAAAATTTTATTCTAAAGGGACTGTACATGTAATTTTATTCTAAAGGGACTGTAGATGTAATTTTATTCTAAAGGAACTGTACATGTAATTTTATTCCAAAGGGACTGTACATGTAATTTTATTCTAAAGGAACTGTACATGTAATTTTGTTCCAAAGGGACTGTACATGTAATTTTATTCCAAGGGGACTGTACATGTAATTTTATTCCAAAGATTATGGAGATATTTTTGATTTTCTATCTAAAAAATCATATATTTTGATTGCACTTTTCTTTAAAGTTTTTTAGATGGTTATACAAATTAGATCTATAGTTTTTGAAAGAAAAAACTATTAAACTAAACATTAATTTTCCATATTATATGCATGTAGCCTATATCAACGTGGTGACTAGAGAATGAACAATAAGGACGCACATTTTTAGAACGGACAAAATTGTGAAATACATACAACTTTCTTTGCAGTTTTATATTAAAAATATAGAAATATATCAGCTATGCCAGAATGTTCATCTTTCATTGGTCGCCATTTTAAATAGTTCTGCTTGTGTGGTTGAAGTGCAATTAGCAATAAGAACAATGACTTGGCAAACATTGCATATATGCAGATTAACAAATTGGACTCTTATTGCATTTATGCAGACTACCAAACTGGACTCTTATTGCATATATGCAGACTTACAAACTGGATTCTTATTGCCTATATGCAGACTACCAAACTGGACTCTTATTGCATATATGCAGACTAACAAACTGGACTCTTATTGCATATATGCAGGCTACCAAACTGGACTCTTATTGCATATATGGAGACTGACAAACTGGACTCTTATTGCATATATGCAGACTAACAAACTGGACTGTTATTGCATTAATACAAGCTAACAAACTAGACTGTTATTGCACATACAAAGACTAACAAAAAGGACTCTTATTGCATAAATGCAGACTAAGAAACTGGATTCTTATTGCCTATATGCAGACTAACAAACTGGACTCTTATTGCATATATGAAGGCTAAGAAACTGGACTCTTATTGCATATATGCAGGCTAAGAAACTGGACTCTTATTGCAAACAAACAAAAAATAAATAAAGTTTTCTTTTACACCAAGACTGCAATAGATGATTTATCTATTAATCTTTACGGGATAGGTTGGTTTGGCAGAGACTAGCATTTATTAAATGATTTCTAAAAAGAATTCATATTCAAAACCAGAAAGATACTGAAAAATTTCTGGGATTTTTTATTTACTCGTGCGATTTCCATTGGAGACATATTTTACCAGAAATCCCTAGTATTTCATCGGAGACCCACAAATATTTAATTGAAAACAGTATATTTTATTTGAAACGCCATTTCTCATCAGAGACCACCCCCCCCCCTTATCTCATAGTAGACAAATGCATTTTTTTGAGGACTTCCCCAAGTCATCAAATTCCTGGCCCCTATTACGAATTACGAAATGATGCAAACGCCCTTATTATGTATCAACAAAAAATTTTCTTTTTATAAAAAAAGAATTATTACTAACAATACCTTTAAAAAATGATTTAACATTCAGGGTGAACTGGGTGACAGGGGTTAAGAACTGTCCCCTCTCTAGTCTTTGAATATACTGTTGATTGGAATAAGCAGTCAGATAAAATACTCGTTGTATACATATATTGACATAAACTTGATTACGCCCAACCTTTTTTAATCAGACGAATCTTCCGCTACACTCTGCAGACTTACGTGGTTTGTGCACCATGCACCGGGTACAGTTTAGTATATAATGCCCGGGTCAGATCCTTAAACCATCAGTTTATCTAAACCAACTCAACCATTCAAATCATGAAGGTAAATGCTGTACATATCAACAATGATATAGGTTGAAAATATTTAAATTATGATATCTTAAATTATTGCATTAGCAAACTCTTCAGAAACTTAAGATTAAAAACACCAATGGTTTCTTACAATACAATGCTTTTTCTTTTTTCAGTTTTTGCCTCTTTTATAACAAATTTTATTTCCAGGTCTTTATTGTTCTTGCTCTGGCCGCTGTAGCAGCAGCTGACAATGCTCCCAGATACGGATATGCACCTGCACCAGCTTATGCTCCTGCACCAGCTTATGCTCCTGCACCAGCTTATGGTCATGCTGCTCCTGCCTATGCTGATGAGGCACCAGTCTATTCCTTCAACTATGGTGTAGCTGATGATTACTCTGGAGCTACCTTCAACCATGGTGAGAACAGGGATGGATATGCCACCTCTGGATCCTACTCTGTTGCTCTTCCTGATGGCAGAATCCAGACTGTCAACTACAAGGTTGCTGATGCTTACAGTGGATATGTTGCTGATGTTACCTACTCTGGAGAGGCCAAGTATGCTTCTGCTCCTGCTCCTTACAAGGCTGCTCCTGTCTACAAGACTGCTCCCGTCTACGCCCCTGCTCCTGCATATGCTCCTGCCCCTGCCTACAACCCTGCCCCAGTCTACCATGGATAATTTCACAGCCATTTGTATTTATATATTTAAGAAATAAAGACTGTCCAATCTATAATAATTTAAGCCAACATTTAAGATCAGCAATGGTTATTTATAAAGCTAGAGCAATCTAGAAATAATATTAGCATTTAAAATAAAAGCTATGGGCATCTAGCCATGTTTTTATGAAAATTGCCGAATCAATATCATTCAAAAACAAAATCAATTCTTAAATTGATTCCACAACTTTCTTTTTAATCAGCAATAGTTGATCTAACCAATTTGGGCAAAAAGTTTCACGATTTTAAAATTTTCAGATCAAACTCAAAGAAGCATGGTTGTAACAAAAAAGAATAAGGCCAGGAGAGAGAAATAAATTATACCTCGAAATAACTGAAATATAGAACTTTCCAAAGACACCTTGATTTGAAAATTGAACAAAAATTCTTCCCACTTCCATCTCTGAAATTTTTTTTCTAACACTTTTATAAAAGAAAAAATTTTAAAAATATAAAAAAATTACTGACAATATTAATCTTTAGAATGTAACCCATAATCTTGAATAATTAAAAATGCCTGGGTAGGCTAAAAAACTTTTTTAAAAATAGAACTCCATTAAAATTCTTTATAATCCTACTTTAAAGGGAGTGTTCGCGAAAAATGAAAGGGGGTATAGGCTTAATGCGATAAAAAAGCGCTTTTTTTTTCTCCTTATAGACGCAACAGATAGAAGTAAGATTAGTAGCGATCTAAAGCGCTTTTTTATCGCATTAAGCCTATACCCCCTTTCATTTTTCGTGAACACTCCCTTTAAGAGGTTTTTAAATATCTAAAACCTCTAAAGTTTCCTCTTAAAATATTTAAAATGGAGAAATCAGGCTTCCAACAGTTCTGTGCAGAAACTTTTTTTAGAAGAATCAGAATGTTAAATAAGAATAAAAATTTTCATTGTCTCTTTAAATCTTAATCTAGTTTTTTATTTATGATAATAACTCCAAAATTTCAGAAAAGCAAATTTTACTTTTGTAAGTTTACATACTCTTCATTGCAAATGTTGTGATATTTCAAAGAAAATTTTCCAATCATTGCAAAATATTTTGTCATAACTTAGACGTAAAAATTGACCTTTAAACTTCTTAAGAAAAGTATCAGATAAATGAGGATTAAAGATAACATAGAAAAAGAAGTCAAATATTTCTCTTTAAAAGCATGTCATCCTTAATTTTCCCTTTCCCATTTTGAATTAGTATCCAAATTAATCATTTCTTTATTAAAAGCTGGGTTTTTGTATGCAACAATTTTGATTGTATCTAACAATGATCAGTGTAGTTGATTAACCTAAATACATACGTCACAATCTAGCGTACATTTTCCTCCATTTGTCCTGACGGGCCCGTCAGGACAAATGGAGGAAAATGTACGCTAGATTCTGACGTGTGTATTTAGGTTAATCAACTACACTGATCATTGTTATTAGTTGCAGTACGCGGAAAAGGGATTTGAAAATAAACCAAAATTTCGTGGAGGGGGGGGGGGTGATTTTATTGATGGACTATTTGGGTTATAAAAAGAATTGTAACTTTTTCTTTACCTTAATCATACATGATAAAATTGTAAATGAAGACAACTTCTCATAAATATACAGTGCTCCCCAAAATAATATGGTAAGTGATGATGACTTTTCATAAATATACAGTGCTTATTGAAAAATAGATTGCATATTAAAGAAAAGTCGTCTTCACATCACCCTTTTATTACCGTATATTTATCAAAAGCCACCAATCTTTACCATTCAATTTTGGGAAGCACTATTTATTTAATACAAGTCGTCTTTATTTTCCACTTTATTTTGGAGAGCACTTAATATTTAAGAGAAGTCGTCTATTCCTACTATATTTTTTGGGGGAGCACTGTATATTTATAAGAAGTCGTCTTCATTTTCCATATTATTTTGGAGAGCACTGGATATTTTAAAAAGTCGCTAATACTTACCATTTTATTTTGGGGAGCACAGTATCTTTTTGAGAAGTTTTCAATGATTATTTTTCCATATTATTTTGGAGAGCACTGGATATTTTAAAAAGTCGCCAATACTTACCATTTTATTTTGGGGAGCACTGTATATTTATGAGAAGTTGCCTTCATTTACCATTTTATCATGTATGATTAAGGTGAAGAAAAAGTTTCAATTCTTTTTATAACCCAAATAGTCCATGAATAAAATCCCCCCCCCCCTCAGCGAAATTTTGGTTTATTTTCAAATCCCTTTTCCACGTACTGCACCTAATAACAATGATCAGTGTAGTTGATTAACCTAAATACATACGTCACAATCTAGCGTACATTTTCCTCCATTTGTCCTGACGGGTCTTGTTAATCTAAAAACTTATCTATGCAGGTTCATGTTAAAACAATCTCTTTTCAAAGAAATGTTATTTACTTTCTGAAAAATTAAAATCTGCAGTAAAAGTTTTATACCATTTCGCAATTTAAATTTCCATTCCTTATCATTTTTTTCTAAAAGTTGACTTGTTTATGCTAATATCTTTTTTTTAGAATGAGGAATTGTAATGGTGTAATAAAAGTTGTCTTTTAAAGCATTGTATTTTGTAAAATTGCTTAGATATAGCAAATTATAATTTAGTACATAAGGGAAGTTTAAGCAGGTTTGAGTATTTTATTTTGGTTAAGGATCGAAAAAAGGTCAGTTTTCTATAAATAACCCCCTTTACTTTAATGATACCATGAAATGCAGAATGTAGAACGCAACTAATTATAACCAGGCATTAAATAAACTTAAACCAGGCATAAAATAACTGAAACTTTATTTGCTTATTTCTTTTTCTGTAACCACCATCATTAACACCCTGTATTTTAATTTATCTCTACATAAATATCCCTCTGATCTCAACCTGCCACAGATCACCTGACAATCTCCTTCCTTCCAATCAACTCCTTACCTATCCAAAAATATATCTTGATATGTGTAACCAATTATATTCAGTATCGTAAATTAACTTTGGGCCAACCACTCAAAACAACCAACCCTGGTAAGGCGGGTCCAAACTGCATAGTAAATTGTGATTGCTTAATTATACTATCTCATGCTTTGTAGTTGAATAAATATATGAATAAATGAATGAAAATGCAAGTTGTATTATTTTTATTTATTTCATAAATAAATAAATAAACTGAAGTGAGTTAACTTATCCATGGTAGACTGGGGCAGGGTTGTAGGCAGGGGAAGGGTTGTAGGCAGGGGCAGGAGCGTAAGCAGGAGCAGGGGCATAGATGGGAGCAGCCTTGTAGACAGGAGCAGCCTTGTATGGAGCAGGAGCAGAAGCATACTTGGTCTCTCCAGAGTAGGTAACATCAGCAACATATCCACTGTAAGCATCATCAACCTTGTAGTTGACAGTCTGGATTCTGCCATCAGGAAGAGCAACAGAATAGGATCCAGAGGTGGCATATCCATCCCTGTTCTCACCATGGTTGAAGGTAGCTCCAGAGTAATCATCAGCTACACCATAGTTGAAGGCATAGACTGGTGTCTCATCGGCATAGGCAGGAGCAGCATGACCATAAGATGGTGCAGGAGCATAAGCTGGTGCAGGTGCATATCCGTATCTGGGAGCATTGTCACCTGCTGCTACAGTGGCCAGAGCAAGAACAATAAGGACCTAGAAAGAGGGAGAACAAATGAAAAAAAATTTCATGAAAAGAAACATAAAAAAGGAATTATGCTTTATTTCTGTATTGTATTATTACCTTCATGTTTGGATTGTACTGTGTTGGTTAGAATCAACTGATAGTAAAACCATCTGAACTATACATTTTATATGAATCTCAAACCGGTGCCAAGTGCGCCAACTACCCATTGTGTTGGGGCGTCACCACACATCAATCTGGATATTTTGGAAAATAAAAAAATTTGTTTAATTTATTTTCATCAAAATAGTGCTTTCAAAACATTTTATTCTTTTTAAGATTTAAAAAAGCATACATTTTTGTCAACTTTTTTTCTAATCTCAGTCTAATCAAATTTAATTAGTAGAAGTCATTGAGATAAATTAAATTATCAAAATTATCATATTATTTACTTGCAGAAACATAAACAACATTTTTTAAGATACAATCAATAATTATGCATCTAAGACTAGTTTGGGTTTAGTATAAAATGAATTAATGAGATAGGTCAACCATCAGTTGAAACAAGACAACCAAACATGAAGGTGAATATCAATATACATATATAAGTTTTTTTTCGCACAAAATACTTATCATTTTTGTATTTTCTCGTATTTACATATTTTTAGGTCTTTATTGTTCTTGCTCTGGCCGCTGCAGCAGCAGCTGACAATGCTCCCAGATACGGATATGCACCTGCACCAGCTTATGGTCATGCTGCTCCTGTCTATGCTGATGAGACACCAGTCTATGCCTTCAACTATGGTGTAGCTGATGATTACTCTGGAGCTACCTTCAACCATGGTGAGAACAGGGATGGATATGCCACCTCTGGATCCTACTCTGTTGCTCTTCCTGATGGCAGAATCCAGACTGTCAACTACAAGGTTGACGATGCTTACAGTGGATATGTTGCTGATGTTACCTATTCTGGAGAGGCCAAGTATGTTTCTGCTCCTGCTCCTTACAAGGCTACTCCTGTCTACAAGGCTGCTCCTGTCTACGCCCCTGCTCCTGCATACGCTCCTGCCCCTGCCTACAACCCTGCCCCTGTCTACCATGGCTAAGCTATCATTAACGTATTTCTTTTTATTTATCTATTAATGGAATAAAACATAAAACCTCTTATTTACGAAATTATTATTTGGGACAATACTCGAATAACACTGAAATAATAAGGTAATAATTGGTAATAGCAGATTCAAATTTTAGAATGTCCACAAATTTAAACTTCTTAAAGTTTTATTGAAGCATTATTCATGTTTTATGCTGTTCCAGCTTTTTATTAGATGTTTAGAGATGCTTTACAGTTAAACCTTTTGCACCAAGAAACCAGGCTTTTGCTCAGGAGTAGAAATCTAAACACTTCTAAAATAAAAGTGATAGAAAAATGGAGAAAAATATGCTATAAAATATTGTAAGAAAAATTGAAATCAAAAAGCTACTTAACCAAAAGTAATAGAAAAAAAGAGGTTCCTACAATGATCTAAAAAATATGTTAAGAACACATTTTTCTAGCTAAATACTTTCATTAAAACAAATATGAAATTAGATTTAAGATTATTGCCTCAGTGTACAATGGAGAAATGAGAAAGGCATCTTTTTAATTTGTATTTGCAAGGCTCAATAAAAAATTTTTTTGATCTAAGGCTCTGTCACTATTAAGCAAAGAAATTTCACTTTTAACTCAATTTTGATTTTGAAAGTCGGCCTTGCGTTCAAACGCAGAATTTATACATCATTTAAAAGTTTTATGTGTCTCAAATGAATCCTAAACAATTTCTCCACAATTCTACATTCTCAGTTCAACTGCCATACATTGCCGGTCACTCCCTTAAATGGTATTTTCCAATCTATTAAAAATTTACCATTTGTTACAGATATCATTTTCATTAAATGGACTTTCAAGTGACCTTTCGTTCAAAGAAGTCCAATTCAGATTCACAATGGTATCCTTTCAACCTTCAACAGATCAAGGAAAAGGGAGACGCCTTACTTATTTAAATGAAAATTAGAGTAATATATGAATTATATGCTTTTTTGTGGATTAAATCTAAATTTGTTGAATAAAAGCATAAAATTCAGCAAATATTTTTTTATATAGTTTCTAAAGGCGGCAGAAAACAAAAATTATCAATAACATTTTTACATTGGTGAATGATGTATAACAATAAATAAAAGCATTGACGAATCATGTCCGTTTAAATTTTTTAATTGGACTGTTACTGTAAATAACATCAAATCATAAAACTTTGTATCATATTTTTAAACAATTATTGAGCATAAAAAACGTTATCCTTAGGTTAAAACACATTCACTTATTCTTTTTTAATTGACCATTCTTTTTTCTTCAAGATTTTTCAAATAAATGATTTTTTCCTTCATATGGACTTTTTATGGACTCTTTCCATTCGCTAATTAAACCTTGCCCGACCATAGTTAAAACAAAATATTTCTTGACAAGGCTTTTCTTTTCATACTTTTTTCTATCCATTTACAAACAGATTAAATAAATGTTTGAATATGCCCAATTCTAGGTTTAAAACTTTGTATTTGTAAAACTGCTTAGATTTATTTTTACTCCTAAAAGCCAAACAACTTATGATGTTTTGAACCATGCTTAAAAAAAAGATTCGTATAACTAAATACGGACCACTTTTTTTCTAACTGTTGTTAATTATATTGTTTTATGTTGTTAGTAGATGAGATTCGATACAAGCATATTTTCTTACAAATGTATTTCAGTGGGGTTTCCATTCACTTAAACCATATTCCATAGTTATAAAATTAACTTTTTTCATAACATGCTTACTTTACAACAACATCAAAAACATGAAACAGTCATTAAAACAAATTTGCTTCCTTTTTTTGATAATTTTGATGTTCTTCCTAAACCAGCTAGTTTTATTTAGATAAAAATTATTTTTGCATTCACTTAAGATTGTGCAAATTGTAGAATTTAACCATATAAGAGAAGGTCAAGAATGGAAGTTTAGCATTTATATTTCTTTCATAAATAGATAAATACATATTGCTACTATGAACTTATCCGTGGTAGACTGGGGCAGGGTTGTATGCAGGGGCAGGAGCATATGCAGGAGCAGGGGCGTAGACGGGAGCAGCCTTGTAGACAGGAGCAGCCTTGTAAGGAGCAGGAGCATAAGCAGGAGCAGAAGCATACTTGGCCTCTCCAGAGTAGGTAACATCAGCAACATATCCACTGTAAGCATCAGCAACCTTGTAGTTGACAGTCTGGATTCTGCCATCAGGAAGAGCAACAGAATAGGATCCAGAGGTGGCATATCCATCCCTGTTCTCACCATGGTTGAAGGTAGCTCCAGAGTAATCATCAGCTACACCATAGTTAAAGGCATAGACTGGTGCCTCATCAGCATAGGCAGGAGAAGCATGGCCATAAGATGGTGCAGGAGCATAAGCTGGTGCAGGTGCATATCCGTATCTGGGAGCATTGTCAGCTGCTGCTACAGTGGCCAGAGCAAGAACAATAAAGACCTAGAAAGAGGGAGAAAAAATAAAAAAAGATTTCATTAAAAGAAATGCAAAATAAGTTTAAGTTTTGTATCCTATTTTTACCTTCATGTTTGGTTTGTATTGTGTTGGTTAGAATCAACTGATAGTAAAACCATCTGAACTATACATTTTATATGAATCTCAAACCGGCGCCTAGTGCGCCAACTACCCAAAAAGCGTCGGGGCGTCACCACTCACCACACATCAATCGGGAGAACTTTGGAAAGACACAAAATCAGTACAATATTTTTTCTTCGTAGTATTGAGTTATAGCTAAAACCAAAGAAAACTTAAAATTTTGAGAACCATGTTTTAAAAGTAAATCCTAACAATCGTTTATACGTAAATTAAAAATGCTTTTGTTCATGAAACCCTTGTCCAGAGGCGCAAATATAATTTAAAGTTTGATATCTACGAGTAACTGTAAACTCAACACAAATAAAATACAGTTCAGAACTGTTTTTACATTAAAACAGTGGCCTTTAGCCTTGAGAATTGAGAAAGATAAAAATATATTTTTTAAAACTAACTATAGTATAATAAAATTTCTACAATAACTCTTTCTTTCTTTTCATTCTGCAGGCGGGGGGGGCGCCCCCCCCCTCTCAGGTGCTAGGGGAGGGCACGCGCCCGGCCGCCCCCCCCCTAGTTGCGCCTCTGCCCTTGTCATAGGAAATAATCAATAATTATGCACCTAATAGTTGTTCAGGTTTAGTATAAAATGAAAAGATCAGATAGGTCAACCATTAGTTGAAACAAACCAACCAAACATGAAGGTGAATATCAAAGTATTATTTCAAAAACAACATTGTTGTCATATTTTTCCCCTCAAATTTTCTTATTTCAAGGTCTTTATTGTTCTTGCTCTGGCCGCTGTAGCAGCAGCTGACAATGCTCCCAGATACGGATATGCACCTGCACCAGCTTATGCACCTGCACCAGCTTATGCTCCTGCACCAGCTTATGGTCATGCTGCTCCTGCCTATGCTGATGAGGCACCAGTCTATGCCTTCAACTATGGTGTGGCTGATGATTACTCTGGAGCTACCTTCAACCATGGTGAGAACAGGGATGGATATGCCACCTCTGGATCCTATTCTGTTGCTCTTCCTGATGGCAGAATCCAGACTGTCAACTACAAGGTTGCTGATGCTTACAGTGGATATGTTGCTGATGTTACCTACTCTGGAGAGGCCAAGTATGCTTCTGCTCCTGCTTCTGCTCCTGCTCCTTACAAGGCTGCTCCTGTCTACAAGACTGCTCCCGTCTACGCCCCTGCTCCTGCATATGCTCCTGCCCCTGCCTACAACCCTGCCCCAGTCTACCATGGATAAGTTCTCTTATTTCTGTATTTATCTATTTATGAAATAAATATCAAAGATAAAGATTGTTTAATGTAAAATATCTACAAAGATTCTAAAATTTTAGCCTACCTTGTTTTGCATTCTTGATTTAGGGCTTCTCCTGACAATTTTCTTTTTGATTATGTGATGTGTTACTGACAGATTTGGTTGATTTCTTCCTCCATTAATATTTGGTTGATTTCTCGTTCCATTAATAATATTCTCTTGTGAATTTGTGGATTGGATTGCGGCATTGTTTCTCAACTTGGCGACTCTTCCTAGGCCATCAATCAATCAATTTTTTGTTTGTGCTTTATAGAGAGAGCTAATAATAATTCAATTGCATGTAAATAGTAAATAGATTTAAAAGCGGGATCACACATTTTGAAAGGGGGGTCGGGACAATTTATTAAATTCATTGTCAGGCCTAAGAAGACGTTAGGCAGTTGGATTCTTGTCAGTCCTCAATTCTCAGAATAAATAAAGCGTGGACGGATAAATGTGCTGCCATATAACGACCCCTGCAGGCAGATCAATATAAAAATCCCTACAACACCAAACTTTCGCAATTAGATCGTAAGAACCTGATCATGTTCCGGGGACAAAAACATCTCTTCTTTAAATTTATTTTGACTAAAATGATTATTGTGGAGTTAATCTCGTTTTGATCCTAGTAATTCTAAAGAAAGACAATGCTCTGCGTTAGCTCTTAAACCTAGTGGGGAGAGATGAAAAAAAATATTATTATTTTCAAAAGATGAAGGTGACAGGATAATTAAATTATTGTGTTTCTAGAAGCACTCTGCTGATCATGATTTTTGGTAATCTAAAAACTAAAACTAGCAAATAACTCTTTGAATTTTTAAAATTTTGTTGTACGCTTTTTTAGAATTCGCGGTTCCTCCCTTTAAATTTCAACTGGTTACTAAATTGTTTCATAGAAAAGTTTCATTTAATTTAGCGCTTAAAGGGGTCCCGCTTTCATTCTTTTGATATATTTATGTTTTCCTGTGTCCAGTCAACGCTTAAATTAATGTACTATGGCAAACCCCCCTCCCCTCCCCCCTCCTACTCTATCTACCCCCCCCCCAGGCTATCCTTTCCTTACCAAGTTGAAATGAATAATTGGTGTGTGAACTTGTTTCTCCAACATTCTTCCAAATCAGATACAGTGTGAGTCAACTTACATTACTCTCAGATATTTTCCTTTTTTAATCATTTCAAGGGACTGTAAGAGTAATTTCAAGTGACCCTCCATGCAAAGATTGATATGCCCGATTTATAACGGTACCCTGACAATAATGTGAAAGATATTGTCGTTTTTCTAGGTTTAAAAATAATTAAAATCTGAAAATAAGTTATAGAAATGCTCCAGCTATTTTTTGTAGTGAAATCAGAATTGAAAATAATCGTTTCCAAATTTGAAAACATTGATATCTAATTCCTACTTGATAAGACAAAGCTGCTAATGGTACCATTGTGAATCGGGCATTGTCTTCTTTGAATGAAGGTTAACTTGAAATTACGCTTACAGTTCCTTTAATAATGATTTTTTAAATTATTAGATCCGCGTTTTCATCAAGAATAGAGAAGACTTTGAACGCCTTTAGGATTAAATTCCGCAAATTTTGCTTTCACTCATAAACGTTAAAAAAAAACATTTTTTAATTAATGCTTGTCTAACTTTTTTTTAAAAACCCATAAAATATAAAAAAATTAAATACTGATATATTCGAATTCGAGTAGTACAATTTCTAAAAAACTCTTCTCATGTTTTCTGAGTTACCCTGTAAACTGGATTGATTGATTGAATCGGTTCCTGGTGTGAACACGGTTCTATATATTTCAGGTTTCATCGAACTTGTCTCAGGGTGTAGACTAATACTTTGCTCCTTATTATCTTTAGAACCTGCTTTACCAAGAACCGCATTATTTAGTTCAAAATCAACTTTAACGACTTCATTTTCAATCACACTTTTACCTGTCTCAAAATCAAAATCACGTTTCTTTATTTCGATGTTTGAATCACTTTTTTGTTTCTGAATGTTTAAATCACTTCTTTTTACTATTTTTCCTCTTTCGTAATTTGTGATAACTTTATTATAAGTCTTTTCAACAAACTTCTGTTTTGAACTTTCGTTTTTAGTTTGACGAGGATTTGACGAAAAGTGTTCCAAAGTGTCATTTATTCTCTTTTTCTGATTCTTTCGTTTAATAGAATTTGAAGAATTTGCTTGTTTGAGCTTTTTTATATATTTTGTCTTCGTAATATCTTTACCTGGGTTGGATTTCGTTTTTTCTTTGGAATACGTAGGATCTTTGGAATATGTAGGATCTTGAACTTTATATCTGGTGTTTATAGGATCTTTGGAAGTTATAAAATCTTTGGATCGTTTAGAATCTCTGGCTTGTGTCAGGTTTTTAGGTTTGGGAGAGTATTTGGATTTTGAAGACTTTTCATCTGATGCTTCAGGGACTGTATCATCTGTAATAGTTGCTTTAGGGACTGTATCATCTGTTGTTGATACTTCAGCTACTGTATCACCTTCAGTAGCATTTTCAGAATTCGCATCATTAGTTTTATATACAGCGTCATCTATTGCACTAATTGTATAAAAGGTTCCATGTCCCAGCTCTAAACTGTTTCCCAGAGATCTTATTGTTCGTCCAAGACTTGGATCTGAAGCAACAACTACTGATTGGGTTGTATTGGATTCTAGAACTCTACTGAACACTCTGAAATAGAATGAAAATAACATCCTAGGAATAGTCACCTCTAGCCCCCCCTCTTTAAAAAAGAAAACAACCTTAGTGAATATATTTCTATTTTAATCGAACCTAATCTAGAAAAATGTTTGTAAAGCAGTTGGGAGGGAACCAAGGAGTTCTCATGCCAAGGAATTGAGTCTTTGCCTCAAATTCAGTTTTTGTAAAACTTATATCTTTGCAACCTTATGATGTAAACCTTTGATATTTCAAACTTACATTATTTGATCTAATAGCATTCATAGTTTGAAATATTAAAGGTCTACGACATTGGGTTGCAACGATATTGAAATTAGAAAATGAGAGTTTGTGGCAAAAACTCAATTCCTTTTGATCCACAGGGAATACTAATTTTCGAAGTATGAAAAACGTTAAAAAATAACTAAACATTGTGCTCAGAGACCTACCTAACAAGAAAAACTGCTAAAACAATAACTAAAAAATTTACACCATTTTAGAACAAAAAATAATAACAAAAAATTTTCTGGTTAAAACATTTACGTTTTTGATTGTCTTAATAAAGATGTTAGAAAAAGGTATACAAGATATCAATGGGTCTTTACATGTTATACATATTATAAATATCTAAATATGAGATTTTGAAGATTTAAAAATTATAAAAAAAAAGTTCTCGAAATTTTTATATTATTTAAAGATAATTTTTTTTTGATGCTCTGATGATGTAAAGAAAACTATTTCTTAGACATCAAGGAGATTTTTCACAAATGTATTCTTTTACGATGAAGAAATTGTTTAAAAAGTGAATCTTTAAAGTTATCAAATTAAAGTTGATTCATTTATTCAGGATATTAAAGAAAAAAATATTTAAACTTGAAAATTAAGGCGTTGAAAATGAAAATGGTTTCACTATGTAATATAATATAATATATATAATATAAAATAATGTTAGAAAGTATTTTGTAAATGTTTATAAAAATGATATATTCCTGAGAAGAGTGTAGCAGTATCTAGGGTAAATACAGAAATACCGCCAGTTTGACGATCTTCATCTGAAAATAAATCATGATGTAATTAATAAGTTCTTAATTCAAACTTTGATTAAAATTAACGATATAATAGGGTGTCCTTTAACTTGTGTCTTATAATTTTGCTTCCGTTTGTGAAATCCAAATCTGTGATTGAAAAAAAAATTATATTTAACTATATGCATGCATTTTAAGTTGGAAAAAAGTTCGACTCTTGTCAAGTCGAAAAAAATATTTTAAAAAACCAAGAAGACTTTCCTTTGAACCGACTTGATGATTCCGAAGATGTTTGAAATATAGCTGAACACAACTTTTATCAGAATTTAGGGAGCTAGACCCCACAAAGTGAAATTTTTATTAATCAATGTCCATTGTCCATTGATCAAAGTATAGATTGACGGGTTTTAGTTTCCGCCAGTCTCTCTCTGAGTATATCTTAAGAATTTATGAAAACAATTTATATTTAGCAGAATTGGATTGAGATAATTAAAAAATTACAAATTGACACATCTTAAAATACATTTCTGGAAAATTGAATTGCACGAATATCGACGAATTACTTTTGTAAAATGTTATAGGAGTCTTTTCTTATATATTTAATAATAAAGATAAGGATACCGTTAATAATTGATAATAATATTAATAATAATGATAACTGGCTAAAATGGGTTTGCCCGTGGAATTGTAGGCATATGCTAAATATCCTACGTTACCCAAGAAGGGGAGAGGGGGGTTATTCGCATTTTGTTACATCTTTTGAAGTGTTAAGGGTTGGCCTGCAATAGGTAGCATTTACAATCTATATATAAATTTGGCTTGTCTGTCTGTCTGTTTGTTTGTATCCAATAAACGTCAAAACGGCTGAACCGATCGGGCCCAAATTTTTTGTGGGACATCTAGGGACCCCAGGGAAGGTTTATGAATAATTATAATAAAAATAAAAACAGCGATAATAATATTTTTACCTTCGATTAACATTTTATTCCTGTTTTCTGAACCAAGATTTCATTTTTAACTTTTCATTTAATTCTTCTCATTGTTCCTACATATTACAATTCACATTTATGATTATTTAAATGCCATGTATGATGTCACTTTAATGTAGGTGTATACCGTGTTTATTGAGTATACACGAAGTAATGTATAGTTCTGATTTCCCGGAGCTCCTCCAACCCTGTTTTCTCTCTGGGTTCCTGGTCAGTACTGAGAGAAATTCACGAAACCATTCCAGAATCTGCACTCTGCAATATAAATCATTAATTATGCGAAACTAGGCTTAACATGGCATTAAAAGCATGCAGCAAGCTGTTATTATAATTAATTGCTGTAAATAATTCAATTTTGAACATGATTTTATGTTTTGTAACACAAAACTTTCCTTCTCCTGTTTTATACCGATAAACGTGTATTTACTTTTCATAATATTTTGATGAGCATAGATTCTCATATTTTATCATTCTTAATCTCATTACAGTTCAGCAGTACATTTACACTTCAATTTTTTGTATAAATAAATCAAAATTATGCAAGTTCATAGAGACGAAAACTCATTTTATAAAGTTAATATTTCGGCATACAACCTTCCTCCGTAACCCTTGCCATGTTATTTACTTTTTTAAAATATATTAATAGGTTTTGTGTTTGGTAGGGTTATCTAAATCTGAATCAAAATTTATTTTTGGCCTACACACACTGCACAGAGGTTTATCTTTTATATACAGGCAATACAAAACCTACACACTTCTAGTCCACTTCTATCCCACTCCAAGTCCATTACTAGTTCACTCCTTGTCAACTCCTAGTCCAATCCTAATTTACTCCTAGTCCACTCCAATTCCACTTCTAGTCCATTCCTAGTCCACTCCAATTGTCATATCCTTGTCCACTCCTAGTCCATGTCTAGTTCAATCCTAGCCCACTCCTCTCCACTCCAAATCCACTCCTAGTCCACAATAAGTCCACTCTAAGTTCACTCCCAGTCCACTCCTAGTTCACTCCCAGTCCACTCCTAGTCCACTCTTAGTCCACTTCTAGTCCACTCCTATTCCACTTCATTTTCACCGTAAACGCTCACAGTAATATACTAAAATATATATATATATATTCAANTGTATATAATTTATATAGATTATATTTGTTGTAGTATTTATAATTTACATATATTGTATTTGTATATTGTGTATATAATTTATATAGATTATATTTGTTGTAGTATTTATAATTTACATATATTGTATTTGTATATTGTGTATATAATTTATATATATTGTATGTATGAAGTTTGATATGAATTCAAACCCAAAGATAACAGGTATGACATGATTTAGATTTGCTAATGAGAACATTTTATTCCACACTTTAATTGCCTCTTGTTTATCATATCTCGGACGTGTATGGAGTTTAATATTTACAGGGACATATAATAAACATAATTATATCACAACATAACATTTTTATTCTTTAACACTCATAGCAAAGGCTTCGAAAATTCAATAAAACTTTGACTGCAACAATTACAATTCTTATATGTTTTAAAACTATAGATCGTGCATGATTGATTTGACAAGGTCTGCTCAATTTGAAATAATTCACTTTTAAATTTGTCGTAATTTCTGCTAAAAGGAAAGATAAAACAGGCTAAAAGGGACTGTGGACGTGATTTTAAGTGACTCTCCATTTTTAGAGTGGCATGTCAAATTTACAACAGTACCCTTTAAACAGTACCCTTTAAACAGTACCCTTTAAACAGTACCCTTTAAACAGTACCCTTTAAACAGTACCCTTTAAACTGCTCAAAGATTTATGCTACAGTGACAGTGTATGAAAATGTATGTAATGAATGGATGTTTGAAGATACAGGGTGTCCCAATAAACATGAGAATTCAGTGACGAATTCGAGATCGTCTTTGTTAAGAATTAGCATTGTAATACCTGATTTCAAAAGCCATAATCTAATTATGTCTGCTATAGTTTATTTTATGAAAATGGTAAATGGCTGCAATAATGTGTCTGTAATTTCTCTTCAAGATGAACCGTTCAGCCGACTTTGTTAACTGTGTTTGTGTACTGTAATATTCTTGTTTTACTAAGTACAACCGTATGCAGTCAAAACATAAACAAACAAATTTTAAACATAGCAGACCAAAATCCTACGGATTACAGCTTTCTCAATAGGTATCACTATACTAAATCAAAGAATTATTTAAAAAGACGATATCGAATTCGTCACTGAATTCCCATGTTTATTGGGACACCCTGTAGCAAAACCGGAATGTGGCACCAATGTGGGGCGGATATGCCAAAAAATAGACTTAGACTAGAAGGATAAATGTATTAAAGGGAACTGAACACTTGCCACAAATTCTAATTTTCTAATCAATGCTTCTTTTCAACCCCTAGAAATATTTCAAACTTTAGAATTGTGTTTTATCAAAGAGTCTAATTTTGAAATATTATAGCTAGGTATACACCATCAGGTTACAAAGATGTAGGGAATTGAATATTAGACTTTGTGGTGAGTGTGTAGTTCCTAAAAAGTCTTTAAAGTTTATATTGAGTTTGATTTTAGTCATGTTTTGAATACTGGCCTCAATTAGGTGGAATATTTTAATTTCATGCAAAAGAGTACAATAGAATACACTAGGATGAGGAGTATAAAAACGTGATTGCAAATATGGAATTGAATAAGGAAAATGGAAAAAGGATTAAGAGTAGTTTTATGATTAAGTTCCGCATGTAGTCATCTGCTAAAAATTAACTAGAAAACCCTTCTGAAAAACCATTGATATAGAGCAGATCCTACTAGAGACCCATTGATTTAGAGCAGATCCTACTAGAACCTCATTGCTTTAGAGCAGATCCTACTAGAGACCCATTGATTTAGAGCAAATTCTACTAGAGACCCATTGATTTAGAGCAGATCCTACTAGAGACCCAATGATTTAAAGCAGATCCTACTAGAGACCCATTGATTTAGAACAGATTCTTCTAGAAATCCATTCATTTAGAGCAAATCCTTCACGGTAGCCATAGATTTAGAGCAGATTCTACTACTGACCCATTGATTTAGAGCAAATCCCAGTAGGGACCCATTGGTTTAGGGCAGATCTTACAAGAAACCCATTGATTTAGAGCAGATCCTACTAGAGACTCATTGGTTGAGAGCAGATCTTACAAGAAAACCATTGATTTAGAGCAGATCCTACCAGAAACCCAATGATTAAGAGCAGATCTCACAAGAGACTCATTGATGTGAGCAGATTCTTCTAGAAACCCATTGATTTAGAGCAGATCCTTCAAGGAAGCCATATGTTTATTGCAGATTCTACTAGAAACCCAACGATTTATTGCAGATCCTACTTGAGACAAATCGATATGAGAGCACATCTTTCTGAAACCCTTTGATTTAGATCATATCCTTCTGATACTTTTTAATAGAAGATCTTACTTTATAAAAAGGCCATTGTTTTGTAACACATTGTATTCAGTCAGGGAAACTAGAAGATTTGTCATAATTCACACTGAAAACCTTAATGTCCTAATCTTCATGTTTACGCAAACCAATGAATTACCGAATCGACGCTTTACGTATTTTCCTGGCCCTGAATATATGTTGAATGCGCGTAGAGAAACTTCTATATGTACATTTTTAGATTCTTAGTCGAGCAAAAGAATTTGAAATTAATATATACCTAACTTGAAAACCTCACAGTTCACACACATTTGAATGAATTTTGATGTTTTATTATGCAATTTTTTTTTAGGAAAATTTGTTTGTTAAACTATCTTCTTACTTTAATATTCTACTTGAAATCTTTATTTCTAATCCTTAAATTTTAATCATAACTTCTAACCTCGCCAACTAACCTCAATGTCTAACCTAAACTTCTACCCTCAACTTCTAACCCATAACTTTTAATCTCTAATCTCTAATATCTAACATTTAACATCTAACCCCTCTAACCCCCTAATATCTAGCTCCCAACCCCTAACATCTAGATCTTACATTTTCTAATAAATTTTGACATTTTTAAAGGGGCTGTAAGCGTAATTTCAAATAACTCTTCGTGCAAAAATGGCAAAGTCCGATTCACCCTTAAATCCTTATTTGATCTATAATGGGGGAAGATATTTTAGTTTTTCTAAGCTTGAAAATGTGTTTTATCTAATAAATCCTTTATGTTTTCCTGCCGCAGAAATGCGCAAATCACTGTAGTAGAGAAACCACAAAGAAAAATATAATTAGTTTTCAAAATGTCAAAATGTTCAAAATTTAAATCTAATTCATGCTTGATCAGACAAAGATGTTAAGGGTACCGTTGTGAATCAGACATTGTCATCTTTACTTGAAGGGGCACTGGAAAGTAAGTTTATGTTCCATTTAAGACAGAATCCCTGATACAAAAATGAATCTTGAAAAATAGGTGAAAAAATGTAAAAAATGCTAAAAGGGACAGACCGGCTATGTAAGGTAGTTAAACTGAGTATGCAGTGTTGTGAACAAATTCTTTAGGATTTATTTGAGACATATCATGCACCTCTGCCCCTTTCGTAAAATTAAATTCAACCTTTAAAAAGCATACAGTCTGACCGCGTCAACCTTGTTGCACCGGCTAGTCCTGTCCTTAGAGCTAGGTACAGTACAAATTGGGACTGGAAAGGTTGACCCGGCTCGGAAATTCAAATGTACTACAGCTGTCCTTGATATAAACTTTTTATATGTTTTAAATTTTTATATGTCTCAAATGAATCCTAAAGAATTTGTCCACAACACTGCATACTCAGTTTATCTACCTTACATAGCCGGTCTGTCCCTTTAAACATTTGACAAACCTGATATCCAAATTAACATTTTATCTTGATATTATTGATTAAATTTAACGATATTCGACATGACACAAGTACATTGCCTATGAGTTTATATAGAGGAGGGGGTGGCAGCTCAGGACGGAGGGATGGGGAGGGGGGGTATATTTTAGGTTAATGATAAAAAGTTTGTTTAAACAAAGAAACAATACAGGAAATGAAAGTATTGCAATAAGAACTATATACTTGAAAGAACTGGTTTAATTTGTTTATCACAATTTCTTTTCTCTGTAAGAAACATCAAATTGGGCGTGGTTTCAACAAGAATATGGTTTTTGCAATAAACGTCCAATTTTAAACTATTTTCTACAATTTTTCAGTGTCGAAAATTATAATTAATTGAGGCATGCTAAGGCATGCTATAGAGTTTAGAAACAGAACTAACTCTATCATCTGCAGTTAGTTTTTATTATTTAATATTTGATAAGTATCTATATCTCTGTTACCAATAATCAGACACGGATTAAAGTTGTGAATCA